GTGTGTGTGTGTGTGGGGGGGGGGGGTCTGGACCTGAACCAGTACAGGCAGAGACCCTCAAAAGACCGGGGACCAGGACGACAGCAGGTTGAGCTGCAGCTACAGAGAGCATCGTGAGTTTACAATGTTTATTTCTTATTTTATAAAGTTTAAAAAACCAAAAACCTGAACCTTCATCCTGCCGAAAAACCTGAACAGAAACAAAGACCGGCTCTGAACTTCAGGTCCAGATTTAACATCTTTAACAGACTGTTAGATTCAGGCTTTTCATTGAGTTTTACATAGTTTCTTATTATTTTTTATATTTTTCAGGTCTAATATTTACAGGATTGACTTTTTGTCCAAATGACCATTTGTTAAGTTTTGATTTACTGATATTATTGTTCTGTTTTTTAAACATTTTTATCTGCTGTTGGAATTTCATTTTATCCCTTCATCTAATGATGAAATGTTTCGATATTATAATTTTTTTGTCGACAAATCAATACATTTGATATTTTCTCTAAAGTTTTCCTATTTTTTACTCATTTACCCTCTAAAGTCCTATAAAAAATTTTTTGGGTGTAAAACTTGTCTAAATAAAGAATAGTGTTTTCTTTAAGATAAGGTGTATTTAAGGATGAGTGACCCCTCCCTCCCTACAAACAACTCCCTTAATCACTCTCATTCACACAACAACACAATCAACTGTCAAATCAATGTTGAATCAAAAGTATATAATAAATAAATAATAATTGATTAAAATAAATCAATAAAATATAGTAATGAATTAATAATAATAATATATATAGATAAATCAATAATATATGATTAATACATAAAAATGATTCAAATAATTCAATAAACTGTAACAATAAATGTGTATAAATAAATGGTAAAAATAAATCAATAATTTACAATAACAAAAAATAAATAATTCAATAAAATATAAATATTTATTTTTTTTCTCTAGTCAAGTTAATATTTGTTCATGAATTTAAGTTAACGTTACAGTTTGTCCCTGGCTATTAGCCCTGAAGGTCACTGTAGGCTCTGAAGGTCACTCTGAACTCTGAAGGTCCCTCTGCACTCTGAAGGTCACTCTGGGCTTTAAAGGTCACTCTGAGCTCTGAAGGTCACTGTGAAGGTCACAGTGGGTTGATAAAAAAAACTGTTTTTTCCTCAGGGACTTAAATCTGCAGAAAAACTGTTTGTGCATCTGCTGGTCTTGGGTCCGTCTGGTCCGGTTTCAGGTGGTCTGGTTCTGTTGGAGGTTTGTGTCCATGATAAAGAACGTGTCTCTGTCTTCTGTGGTCTCACTGATGGTGTCTCTGAGTGAATAACAGAACACAGACTCCCTATCTTCCTGCTCTGTTACTGGAGGAACTTTTGGAGAGGATTATCTGTGGAGACACTGAGCAGCTTTGAACCTGAATCAGCGAACTGGAGAGCTCACCAGGTTCACCGTGTGTGTGTGTGTGTGTGTTTCAGGGTGTGTACCGCGTCCCTCCCAGGGTCGGGAAGGTCCGGGATGTAGTGCACTATTGTCTCTTCTATCTCCAATATTGCACTCGTCCCGGCCTCCCCAGCTCAGGGGTCACGACCCTAAAGTCTTAACCATCAGGTGAGACACATCGTGGGAGCTCGGAGAGACCAGGTAACGAAGACTGTCAATGACAGGAAGTAGTTTTATTCTGAAAGGACATGTGTGTTCTGACCATAGACTGTATATACTATGGACAACTTGGTTCCGCCTACTGCCTGTATATGGATTTGAAGCCAAAAAGCTCTCGATATTTCAGGGATTTTTCTTCATTTCCTGAAACCAACCCTGCGCAGTAGCGATGCGCACATTCGGCCGCGCAGTCGCCGAGAGTTACTGTGATGACGCTCGGCTCAAACAGCGTATCCCCGAGCGAGCTACGCAATCCCCGAACACCCATAGGCTGTATCAGGTGTCAATCATGGAAAACATGAGCCTCCTAATAACTTTTAAAAATGGAGCTTCACAGAAAAAAGAGGACTTGAGCACAAACCAGTCTTACAATAACTACATGTCAACATCAGAACCGGGGGGGGGGGGGGGGGTTAGATTCTGTGTAATATATTTGCTCGTGGAGGCGGGATTTATGACCTATACTGCAGCCCATCAACAGAGGGTGCTGTTCTCAGAGTGGCTTCACACAGCAAGGAGGCAGACTGTCCATTCTATATACAGTCTATGGTTCTGACCCCTGCTGGGTTTACTCTGAATCGTCTCTTCCTCTGTGGTTGTCAAGACGTCAGGCAGCAGTAAGAAACTAAGGCTGCACGATATGAGATTTTGGTCATATCCCGATATAGCTCATTTTATATCCCGATATGATATACATCACAATATAGTACATTTTTTGTAAATTCAGTTGATGTATAGCTTATATAAAATATAATATTCGTATGTAGGCTTGAAGTAAATAACTCATCTGATCATTAAAATAAATGATCTGATCAGCCGTGCCGACGCATCAGCAGCAGGATGGAGAGGATACGGAGACACGTCAGGTGTTGTGCCATAGAATGTACCCCTGCTGTAGAATGCCCCCCTGACGGGAGCGCGGTTGAAGCTACATAACAAGGCGAAATAATCCAAGTTTTCCTTACCGTTGGACTGTTTCTAAAGCGTGTGCCTTTAATGATTTCATTCGGGCTATTCAGATATGCCGAAAACAACAACCCTCTGATTCAGAATATTTGCTGCCCCGAAAATATAATGTTCTCTACCATGACAGCTAACTGTACAGTTTAAATACGCAAATACACCTCTCTGTTTTTAAAAAAAAACCTAAAAACAGAACGAAAGTTTGCTGCTCCATTTGACATGTTGTCATGATCCAATACTCGTGTTTTTTTAAATATGAGATTTTTTTTTTTCCACTTTAAGACGCTAATGAGTGGATGGGATGCAGGGGTGCATTCTACGGCATAACACCTATCAAGCTGCGCGAGGAAGAAGGAGGATAAGCGGGGAGACGAATTATATATCTTGTTAACTTCATCATGTGTGACTGTTTACTGGATATTTAATTTAATGCGGTTTCAGCTGTTAATTCGGTCAGGTGGAGTGTCCAAACGCGCTCATCAGATCAGATATAGATCAGAGTATATCGATATAGATTTACATATATGTGCTGACTCAGAATAAAACTACAGCGGTCTGCTCCGTGTCGTTCCTTTTAAAACCAAACCACGACCACACAACCGACGTTGCCCCCCGTTTCGGCAGCAGCTCCTCCGTCTGCGTTGGCTCGTCTGCGTTTGATGCACGAGAATTGTCATCTCTTTCGCCACAATAACCCGGCTCCTCCATGCTTGTTTGTGTTTTTCACAGTGGCCGTAGCGCGTGCGGGCATGCAATATATGGAGCGTCACGACGTAAAACACTGCCGTAAAGCGTTTTTGCGACACCGCGATAGAAACGATAGAGCTCATGTATCCCGATAGAAATTTTCTATCGTTTAGACGAAACATATCGTTATATCGTGCAGCCTTATAAGAAACAGGAGACACAGTTCACATAAGTGAGACCAAATTGATTTAATGCACTCTCTTTAAACAGCAGAGGGTGCTGTCTGCCTCAGACTCCTCAGACGTTATATCTTTTTAAACAGCAGAGGGCGCTGTCTGCCTCAGACTCCTTAGACGTTAAATCTCTTTAAACAGCAGAGGGCGCTGTCTGCCTCAGACTCCTCAGACGTTGTTAAATCTCTTTTTTTTTTCGTCTTATGAAGGTGTTCGGACTCAGAGGAAGCAGATTCAGACGTCGTAGATGAACCTTCAGTTTCCCGCTTATAAACCAAAGCAGTCTGATAACGCTGGTCTGAGAAACTTTAAACATTTTAAATAAACTGCAGGTAACAGATTTTGTACATAGAGGAACATTATGACAAGAGCTGATGTCTCCACAGGGGGCGCTAACACAGTCAACAGGTCTTACTTCCTCCTCTCTTTCTTGCCTCCTAACTTTGCCACAATCACAGAAAATAAAAATCAGGTTAGCGGGGCGACCTCCTCTCTGAAACTGGAACAGAAACTAGAAACATTAAAACCCATAAAATGACCTCAAACACTTGAGTTCTGAATCAGGTTCTGAGGTTCTGAGTCTCTCTTTAAACAGCAGAGGGCGCTGTCTGCCTCAGACTCCTCAGACGTTGTTAAATCTCTTTTTTTTTCGTCTTATGGAGGTGTTCAGACTCAGAGGAAGCAGATTCAGACGTCGTAGATGAACCTTCAGTTTCCCGCTTATAAACCAAAGCAGTCTGATAACGCTGGTCGAGGGTAAGTTTGGGTTTTCCTATTCTACGATGCGGGTCCACCTCTTAGCGAGGCGAGTCTCCATGGCAGCGTCCCTGCCCCTTAGCAGGTTAGGTTCCAGACTGAACTCACCGAGTATAAAAAATGCCCCCCTGACGGGAGCGCGGTTGAAGATACATAACAAGGCGAAATAATCCAAGTTTTCCTTACCATTGGACTGTTTCTAAAGTGTGTGCCTTTAATGATTTCATTCAGGCTATTCAGATATGCCGAAAAACAACAACCCTCTGATTCAGAATATTTGCTGCCCCGAAAATATAATGTTAGCGGGGCGACCTCCTCTCTGAAACTGGAACAGAAACTAGAAACATTAAAACCCATAAAATGACCTCATACACTTGAGTTCTGAATCAGGTTCTGAGGGTTATGAAGGTTCTGTTTCATCCCAGCTATGGAGGTTCCTGTCACACAGTTAGTTAGTCACAGAAAAAGATCTCGTTTCAGCATGTGGAGCATGTTAGCATATCGGTCAATCATTTAATCAATTATATAATCAATCAATCAGTTTTATTTGTTTAGCACCAAATCCCAACAATCGTTATTTTGAGATACTTTCTGGAAAAGACTAAAGGACCAAACTTTACAAACTCAGGAAAAAGACGACAGAAAGGTCAAACACTTTTTCAGATCAGTGAATTCAGAAAAACGAAAAAATAACTATAAAAACGCCGTTTAGGAGAGGGGGCATAGTTTATTCAGACAGAGATATTTACAAACACATGATCTCCTCTCTGTCAACAGTCTGTGTGTGTTTGTGTTTCTGTGTGTGTCTCTTTGTCCGTTTGTTTGTGTGTTTATGTGTCTGTCTCTTTGTTTGTTTGTTTTTTTGTTTTTGTTTGTGTGCTTGTTTGCTTGTGTTTGTGTTTCTGAGTATGTCTGTGTGTTTGTTTGTTTGTCTGTGTGTTTTTTGTTAGTGTGTTGTCTGTTTGTTTGTGTTTTGCTGTTTGTGTGTTTGTTTTTTCTTTGGTTAATTTGAGCAGATCTGGGGCCTATTCGACGAAGCAGGATTACTGCGTAGCGAGGTAACTTCGAGGGTAAGTTTGGGTTTTCCTATTCTACGATGCGGGTTCACCTCTTAGCGAGGCGAGTCTCCATGGCAACGTACCTGCCCCTTAGCAGGTCAGGTTCCAGACTGAACTCACCGAGTATAAAAACCCCGCCCACTGACCAATGAGCTCTCTCGAAAAATGGCTTGTCCATTCTTGGAGGATCCTATAGACGGCGGTGCTCGCATTGTCCGAGGAGCACTCAGGCGTGCAATAGTTTTCAGGGCCCGCATGGACCCACTTACTTTTCCAGATGACCACCTTTATGAAAGGCTCATATGGCCTACATATCACACAAAAAATGTAAACACGATAGGAATGAACAAATGAATGAATTCATCTTGGAAATGAATTAGACATGTCTGGTGCATGTTAAAAGCGCATGTTGAACAGTGCTATTTCAGGGTGATAATGGCATCTAAGATTTTTTGCGCACTATACTTACGCATTGAGACTGTCTGCAATTTTCTGCCAGCATTCCTTCCGTGCTTTTGCAGTGGTGACGGTGTTGCTTTTGAGGTTTATGATAGATTTGAATTCTTCATACTTTATCATAATCGTCTCCTGCTCCTTGTTTGTAAAGCCTGCAGTCCTTCGCTCTGCGGCCTGCTCTGACGCTCCAGTTTGGTCAATGTTCGCAATTGGTCAAATGCGGCAGGCTCCGCCTTACATGCCTGCACGTGCTCATAGCAAAGCTGGATCCACTTACGAGGTTGATAACTAGCGTTGTAAGACCGTTTAGCGAGACCGCTGGCTACTGCGCTAAGTTGAGCCAGGTAGCCCCAAGGCTACCTCGCTAGGTCGAACTTGCTCCGTAGAATAGGCCCCTGCGCTAACTCTAAAGCTTTTTCATAAAAACACTAAAATAAAAAAAACATCATTTTACAGAGACGATAAAATCAGACTGATGATACGCTGGACCCTCCGTGTGTGTGCGTCTGTGTGTGTGTGTTTGTTCAGGGGGTCTACTGTTGTTAGACCTGAATGTGCATCATAACTTGTTTACGGTGAGTCTGGAAGTCTTCAGGCACCGTGTCTGCAACATAAACACACACACACACACACACACACACACACACACACACACACACACAATCAGTGTTTGAATTCATAACAAACCACAGTACACTCATGAACTTGTCTGTCTCCAGTTAACATGTTTGAGTCCATTTATAAATGTGTAAATGTGTATATGTGTGATCAGATGTTTGTGTCGTCTGTACCAACTGTGATTGTAGCTGCTGTAACACTGTGAGTGTGTGTGTGTGTTTTCAGGGTCAAAGGTCGTACCATTACACCTGTAACGCAGGTTGGACCAGATGATGTTTTCCTGAGAGAAACAGAAAACACCAAGCCGACCACCCCTCATGGTGGTGTCGATAACTACACCAGAGTCCGCCACCATCACAGAGCCCTCGAACAGCCTCACCCTGAAACACACACACACACGGTAACACAAACACACACCCACACACGTATAAAACACAATAAAAAGCAAAGTCTCACCGAGAGACATTGACCAATCTCCCTAAAACTGCAGCTCCTCTCCTGACCACCAGAGGCTGTGTCCCAGAGTAAGTCAGTCCCCATAGAGCCCCATGTTAAACTTTACAGCAGAAACAAACGTGTTAATAACAAAAACAGTTTGTATATCTACAGATTATCTCACCGTTCAAGGAAGAATCTGTCTAAATCAGATTAAAGATTAAACTCACCTGTCTAAATCAGATCAAGGATCAAACTCACCTGTTTAAATCAGATTAAGGATTAAACTCACCTGTGTAAATCAGATTATGGCTGAAATTTACCTGTTTAAATCAGATCAAGGATTCAACTCACCTGTCTAAATCAGATTAAGGATTAAACTCACCTGTAAAATTAGATTAAGAAATAAATTTACCTCTCTAAATCAAATTAAAGACTAAATTCACCTGTCTAAATCAAATTAAAGACTAAACGCACCTGTCTAAATCAAATGTTGTAAAAATACAGAACCTCCTTCAGTCTGACTGTCCTCACTCTCAGATTAAACCTCTTAGAGGACATGTCTCCTGTGGAAACTTTCCCCGTCTCTCTGTCTCTCTCTCTCTCTCATCTGCATATCAACGGCTGCCCAGGCGGATTCTTGCCAGGGCTTTGGTTGTCATGGATACCAGTACAATAGAGGACCGGGGGGCCCCAGGGCCACAAAGAAGATTCAGAGGGAAAAGAATGCAGTAAAAGTACAGACAGAGAGAGTGAGAGAGGAAAACGCACGCATGCACACACGCACAGATACAGCACTCCTTAGTTCAACAAACAACTGCAGAGTACTACAGTAGAGTCCTGCTCAGTCCTGCAGACTACTTCAGAGTACTCTGAAGAACTGCAGTACTTGTTCTTAGAGCTGTACACACTAACAAATACTGAAGTATTTATTTCAGTATTTATTTGGTTCCAGCTTTACTCACATCTGTACGCTGTTGATCACCTGATTTAAGGTCTAACTGATCTTAGCCCACTTAGTTCCAGGATCCTGGTTGAGCTCTAACACAGCCTTAGGTTTGATCCTGGTGCCTGTGGTCCAGTTTTGGTCCTGGTGTGACCCAGCTTGTGGTCTTGGTTGTGGTCTCACCTGATGTAGCCCACCTGGGGGCGATGGCTGAGCTGCCAGCGGTACGATGTTTTGTCTCTCCAGCCGACATTACGAGGATCCTTCCAGAGCAGCGTCACCTCTCCAGGCGTGTCCCCAGTGTGCCACAGAGCGTTTCTCAGGAACTCTCCAGGTCCGGTCCGAGACTTCACCGCCTGCAGAGCCATGAGTTAAAGACCTTTGGATCATTTTTCTGTTGGGATCAAACATGAGAAGGTTTCTGAAGGACCTCTGAGCTAAACTTCAGTATACAGACATGTAGGAAGAACCAGATCAGCTCCTGGTACCGGCTCTCATCATGTCTCACACTCAGGACTCCCAGCAGGTACATTCAAACCTGCAGATGAGCGCTGTAGCCCCCTGGTCTTTAATCCAAAACGGATCACAGCTAGATTCTTATATAGATGATATTTATAGATTATTATAGATATATTATTATATTGATAATTATATATAGATTACCACATAAAATATTATATTGATGATTATAGATATATTATTATATAGATAATTATATAGATGATTATAAAGACGATTATAGATAGATTATTATATTGGTGATTACATAGATTATTATTTAGATTATTTTATGGAGGATTATGTAGATTATTATGGATATATTATTATATAGATTACGATATATAGATTCTTAAAAAGAGGATTATATAGATTATTTTAGAAAGATGATTATATAGATGATTATAGATATATTATTACATAGATCATGATATGTAGCAGGGAGCGGGTAACTGTAGGAGTGGACAGTCAGACCTTGAGCTGCAGGGCAGGGGCAGCCATGGATTTGAAGGGGAGGTGCTGCCAGTACGTCTGCTCCGTCTGTTTCCACATCACCACGTAGAAGCTGGAGGAGTCCTGGTACCCAAAGATGAAGCCGGCGTAGTCATCATCAGTTATCGTGTTCACATGAAACGTTCCCTCAAAGTCCACGCCGTTAAAGGCTGTGTAGCCTGCACACACACACACACAAACGGGGTAAAGGGATCCACAGTTACACCAGGACTAAATCTCTGCTGGGTTTAATGAAGCTTTAGATAGAAAGACATACCCACAGCTAAACCAGGGTCACTATTCATGGTCTGGACTATCTCCATCCCCTGAAACAAACAAATAGGTGAGACGCTTAGTCACACCTGTTTACACCTCTGACTACACTGTAATTGATGACACATGCTCCATCTGTTTACATGGAGGAGGCAGACTTTATGACCTTTACTATCAGCAGGGGGCGCTCCAAATATCTGGGCTTCAGAGGCTGAGGAAGGAAAAGCTCTAAACACGTGAAAACATTCAATCGTGGTCCTTAGCAGGTGACCACAGTATCATCAGGATTACAGAAGGTCACCTGGTTCAAAACCACCCAGTTGGGGTCAATCTGGGCATCGCCCTCTGGGTCCAGGATCACCGTCTGATAGGCTCTGAAGTCTGTCAGAGTGACCTCAGCACTCTCTGGACACACGTCAATCAAATCCATCACAGCGTCGTTATCAAAGTCGTTCTCACAGACGTCCCCGATGCCGTTCACTAGGGACAGACACAGGCACAGCCACAGCCACAGCCACAGACACAGACACAGACACAGACACAGACACGGACACGGACAAAGACACAGACATGACACAGACATAGACACTCAGACACGGACACAGACAGACACAGACACGGACACAGAAACAGACACAAAGACACAGACACGGACATAGACACAGCCACAAACACAGACACAGACAAGGGCACAGACACAGACACAGGCACAGACACAGACAAACACAGACACACAGACACAGACACACAGACAGGTGTTCTTAGTCTTCATAGACAAACCCCTCCTCTCATTAATCATGTTTCTCGTCTTTCTTTACTGTCTGAGTCTTTCTGGTTGGGGTTGACAATGAGTCGGCAGTTGTCATAATCGTCTAGGACGCCATCATTGTCGTCGTCATGGTCACAGTCGTCTCCAAGGCCATCGTTGTCCGAATCCAGCTGGGAGCTGTTGGGGATGTCTGGGCAGTTGTCTCTGCTATCCTGGTGACCATCTCCGTCCCTGAGGGGGACAGGAAGTTGGACATCACAGACTCTCAGGTCGGACTTTAACTTCAGTTAAAAGATCGAAGGTTAGTGTGTATGTGCGTGCATGCTAAGTGTAACATACGTGTCCTGGTTAGTGTCACACACGTCTCCCACGAGATCATTGTCGATGTCAATCTGAAAAAACACACACAGATAAACACATCATGACCTCTGACCTCCAATCTGTTGTTGTTGTTGCTGTGTGTATTTGTGTGTTCCTGCCTGTCTGTGTGTACATGTCTGTTTGTATTTGTCAGTATGTACTTGTCTGTGTGTTCTTGACTGTGTGTACCTGTCCGTGTGTACCTGTCTGTGTGTTCTTGTCATTGTGTACTTGTCTGTGTGTACCTGTCAGAATTTACTTGTCTGTGTGTACCTGTCTGTGTATACTTGTCTGTGTGAACTTGTCTGTGTTTATCTGTCAGTATTTACTTGTCTGTGTGTACTTGTCTGTGTATACCTGTCTGTCTGTGAGTACATGTCTGTTTGTACTTGTCAGTGTGTACCTGTCTGTGTGTACTTGTCAGTGTGTGCTTGTCTGTGTTAACCTGTCCGTGTGTACCTGTCTGTGTGTTCTTGTCAGTGTGTACTTGTCTGTGTGTACCTTTCTGTGTATACTTATCAGTGTGTATCTGTCAGTGTTTACTTGTCTGTGTGTTCTTGTCAGTGTGTACTTCTCTGTGTGTACCTTTCTGTGTATACTTATCAGTGTGTATCTGTCAGTGTTTACTTATCTGTGTAATTCTGTCTGTGTGTACTTGACTGTGTGTATCTGTCAGTATGTACTTGTCTGTGTGTGTCTGTCTGCGTGTTCTTGTCAGTGTGTACTTGTCCGTGTGTACTTGTCTGTGTGTACCTGTCTGTCTGTGAGTACATGTCTGTTTGTACTTGTCAATACGTACTTGTCAGTATGTACCTGTCTGTGTGTCTGTCCGTGTGTGTGTACCTGCATGGGGTTGCTGAGTTCAGGACAGCTGTCACAGGCGTCTCCCACCCCATCCCTGTCTCTGTCCGTCTGCATGGGGTTTGGGACCTTTGGACAGTTGTCCAGGACGTTTGGGATTCCTGAACACAGGTGTGAAAACGTTCAGTCAGCTGATGTGTGTTTTTGTCTTCTCAGTGTGTTCAGGATGAACATCATTCACAGACAGAAGTCTGTTCCTCACCATCTCCGTCGATGTCCTGGTCGCAGGCGTCCCCCTGTCCATTTCCGTCGGTGTCTTTCTGGTCAGTGTTGGGGACATTGGGACAGTTATCACAGGCGTCTCCAAACGAGTCACTGTCCGAGTTCTGCTGGTCTTTATTGGAGACCAGACGGCAGTTATCCTGAAGGGCAGAGGACAGGAAAGGTCACATGACCACACACCGACAGGCTGACACAGACTCACACGTCGTCTCACCTCCACATTCTTGATGCTGTCTCCATCGGCATCTTCGTCACACTGGTCTCCGATGCCGTCGTTGTCGGCGTCCTCCTGACCAGAGTTCGGCGTGAACACACAGTTGTCCTGGACAGAGACAGGAAGTCACATACTCACTGTTTGAGCAATTTTATCAATATTATTCTTTGGGTTTTGTTTTGTTACTTGTACAATCATTCACCATAAGGGGCACTTCAGGTGAATGGACAGGTAAATGTTGCACAAGGGACACAGGTGAAGCAGTGATCTGGGGAATGGAAAGAGCACTCTCACCCTCATCACGTACATCACCATCATTGTAATGTTGACGTATCTGTCTTTTTTTGTTTGTTAACTCCGCCAAGGAGGTTATGTTTTCGGTAGCGTTGGTTTGTTTGTCTGTTAGCAACTTTACGGAGAAAGTAACAGGCGGATTGACCTGAAATTTTCACCAGAGGTGCGTCTCATCAAATTTTGGTGGTAATCTGGACAAAATTCTGGATACTGTGATCCAGAACACACAAAAATAAGGGTGTCGTTGGAATTTTCAATGCTGAGAGATTAGCAATGGGCGGCACAGTGGTGCAGATACGTGGTACAGTGGTGTAGTGGTTAGCACTGTCGCCTCAAAACCAGAAGGTCCTGGGTTCGAATCCCAGTCAGGGTATTTCTTGTTTAAGGGGGAACATGAGCTGCTTGGTGGAGGTCTGCGCTCTCTGAGTGCTTTTTTAGTTTTTCATTTAATCAATAAATGGCAAGAATATAATTTAACAACAACCTTGGATTGGACATTGGATTGTACTAGATGCGCATCAAAAACACCTCACTCCTGCATCCAGACAGTGATTAAAATTCATGTCAGCATAGTCACTACACTCACAGACAATCACAGCTTAGCCATGAGGAAACTAAGTAATGTGATAGGATGCACTGAGCGGAGGACAGAGAGAATGGATGTCTTTATTTTTTAGAGTGACTGTTTTGGTCAGAGAGGGAGATGAAATACGATCAATCTGACATTTATTTTGGTGAGAATCATCCAAACTAAGGTAAGGTGTGTCTTACCTGTTTGCAGTGTTTGTTGTTGTCCATGCAGGGCAAAGAGCGGTCAGGATAGCCATCGATGTCTGTGTCCACGCCACAGGTGTTCCCATTACCTGCCCAACCCACGTTACACTACACACACACACACACACACACACACGCACACACGCACACACACACACACACACACACACACACACACACACACACACACACACACAAACACACACTTATATACACACACATATCACATATGAATACCCAGCATGCTTCACACACGCTGAGCTGATTATGTTTGACAGACAGACTCTCATACCCTACACGCCACCTCTCCGTTCCTCTCCATGGTGCAGTGGGCGTTAGTGTCACAGGGGTTAAAGGTCAAAGCAGCACAGGACTTCCTGGGAAAGCATCCTGATGTCTGGTTACCAAGGAAACCAGGTTTACAGCCTCCACACTTATATGAACCCTGAAAGGGGATATTACAGGGAAGGTCCACAAGTATGTCATACAGTAAATGTTAATGTGTGTGTGTGTGTGTGTGTGAGTGTGTGTGTGTGTGTATATGTGTGTGAAACACAGACAGAGATGAACTGACCACAGTGTTGATGCACACAGAGTTTGCTACACAGGCGTCCGGTAGATCCAAACACTCATCGATATCTGCACATTCCTGAAACAGACACACACACACACACACACACACACACACACACACACACACACACACACACACACACACACACAAATAGACACAGACACAGACAGACACAGAGACACACAGAGACACACACACACACACACACACACACACACACACACACACACACACACACACACACACACACACACACACAGAGACAGAGCTTACTTCACTGGTTTCTGATGATCTCATCTCTACATAACGCAGCAGACATCATGAAGTCAAACTGATGTAACACAGGACATGGTGAGTTTTTATGACCAGAATATGAAAACATCAGGGGGGATCTGATTTAATATTTTAGGATTTAGTGGCAGTAAGAAAAAAGGAGAAACCATCATTTCAAAATAAAATTGAGGACCTACAGTGAGAAAGAAACTCCTTCATTTAACAGCTAAATTAGGAGAAACTGTCACTGTGCTTCATGCTCAGGTTTATTAAAGAAGTATTTTCTTGCACATTTACAAAATGATTACAGCTGTAATGTTTGTGTATTTTACCCCTTTGTATTTCATTCATTAATTTCTGATTTCCATGTTTCCATGTCTGAAAGATCAGTGCAGGTACGTTATCAGATCATCTGCCTCCTCACCTATAATGCTTCCTCTGTGTGTGTGTGTGTGTGTGTGTATCTGACCTGTCTGTGTGTCTTGGCGTAGTCCAGTCCTGTCCCAGCCAGTGGCGCCCCCCACAGTCCTGGAGGACAGGGCTTACAGGTGAACCCCCCCATGGTGTTTACACAGGCATCAGGAGAGAAACATGGATACAGCTCACACTAAGACACACACACACACACACACACACACACACACACACACACACACACACACACACACACACACACGTTGCTGTGTTGTGTTATTGTTGTTGTGTTGATGTTGGAATGTTAATGTGGGTGTGTTGTTGTTGTTGCGTTCTTGTATTAATGTTGTTGTGTTAATGTTGTTGTGTTGAATGCTGTGTTGATGTTGCTGTGTTGATGTTGTTATGTTGACATTGTTATGTTGATGTTACTGTGTTGTTGTTGTGTTGATGTTGTTGTTGTGTTGATATTGTTGTTGTGTTGATGTTACTGTTGTTGTGTAATTGTTGTGTAATTATTGTGATGATGTTGCTGTGTTGATGTTGTTGTTATCGTTGTGTTATTGTTGTTGTTGTGTAATTGTTGTTCTGTTGTTGTTGTGTAATTGTTGTTGCGTTGATGTTGTTGTGTAATTGTTGTTGTGTTGTTGTTGTGTTACCTCGTTGATATCCTGGCAGTGTGTCCCGTTACCCGAGGTTCCAGGTGGACAGGGTCCACAGGTGTATCCAGGGTACTGTAGACTCTCCATGCAGGCCACGCCCTTAAAGCAGGGGTTAGGGGAGCAGCGGGAGCGTGGCTCATGAAAACCTGTGCAGGTGATACACACACCGTCTTCTATCAGGTCCTCAGATAACAGACAGGCCTTAATCAAGATATGAAAAAGCTGACTCACCACAAACCTGACACTCCAAGATGGTGTTTCTGATCAAAGACATCTCCTTCACCTGTCAGAGGGATGACATCATCAAGATGAAGGTCTCACCTGTCCTTTATCAACCTGTCGGTCTCACCTGTTCACTCTTATGTCCTGTCTCACCTGTCCTTTATTAACCTGTCCTCTCTCACCTGTTCTCTGATGTCCTGTCTCAGCTCCCCCAGGATCTGGTTGAAGATGATGAGCTGACCAATCAGAGCCTTGGTGTGATCACCTGTCAGAAAAGCATGGATCCATCAGGGTGTCAGAACAGTCACTGAACTGAGCTGATCCTCTGTAATAATTGATTAGTGAGAATAAAATTGATCAATAATATGAATTTATAGACTGACCCAGGATGGAGTTGACCTCTCCGCTCACTAAAAAACAAAGAAATAATTACAGAATGAAAGAAAATCAGCTGTCTGATTAAAAACTAAACAAATCTTCTTCAGTGGAGACTCTGTGGTTTTCAGGGGTTTTCAGTCACTCAGAGTCTCCTGACTTCTCATTAACCTTAAAAAAGCTCCACAGATGTGACTCTAACCTGATCTGCGGTCAGGTGATCTTTGTTATGGTGATGATGATGATGGTGAAAAGTGAGGAGTTAAAGGTTTGACCTGTGTTATAAGCCGAAGAGTCTCCCTGGAAAGGACAGTCTGTGAGAGCGCCAGCTTTGGCAACACTGCCCCCTAGTGCCATCCTGAGGGACTCCACCGCTCCCTGATGGAAGGGAAGAAGAGATGAACACGTCATGTTCAGTGGTCAGAGGTCAGAGAGATCAAAGGAGGAGGAAGACTGAGATCGTTAAGCTAGAACCAATCAGAAGATTGTTCAGTTCAAACCAGAGGCTGCCATGCTCTTTTTATCCGATCTAAGCAAAATGCATCCTGATGACTTATGGGATCAATTTACCCCCAATTTCCCCTGCATCCTGAACGTCTACTAAAAGGTTGTATCCTCCGATCATAGCTGATCATAACCATTCAAGTTAACATGTCAATTTCCACCGGCTTCTTTCCGTTCCTCTGCGGATCGCCGGACTCCACAGCTGATCGCAAGAGTTCTGTTTTTTTCCGGATGCCGGAACATGCCAGTTAAATTCAGCACAGATTGACCCGTGCTGGAAAGATAGTCAGGCACAGACATAAAATAAAACACCCGGCTTCTTTTCAAAATAAAACACTCCATGTTTCAGGTGGCTCGTATTTCACACCATGCAAACGGGCAGAGACGAACAAATGAAAGGTTTTTAGACGTCATTTCACCCCGATGACACCATGGATGAGGAGATGCTGATTCTAGAAGTCGATTTTCTCCTCTGGAAGGACACAATCTACTGCTTATATGTCTATGTGGCTGTCTTTATAGAGACAACTCGTTATTGTGCGAGTGCACGTGAATCCACGGATTCTTGTGAGTTCTTGCGACTACCTCTGTCTGTAATCAGCCAAGAAATTCGCCTCACAAATGGATCTCGTAGGAGTTGGCAGACGGTGGAAAAACATGGCCATTCCGGAATGGAACCGTTCCAGATGCAGTGAAAATTGGACTTGAATCTTTGGTTGTACTGTGGATGATGGTGTGGGTTACTGTGTGTGTCTGAGTGTGTGGATGTGTGTGTGTGTGATTCACAGATTGTAAATTGATTCAAATTCACAGGAACTCCTTATATGTGTGCAGACAGAGGATGTGGTGGTCATGCAGTGGCGGTCTGGGGCAGGATTCTGGTCCTGCTGTGGTAGATGAAATCCCCGTCCTGGTGTGAACCCAGTTGAACATGATCCTACAGGTTTGGTTTGTTATTTTCACTTTATCATTATTACTATTTTTTTTTATATTACACATTACAACAGACTCTCACCTGCAGGCGGGCGTAGGCCTTCTGTCCATGTCTGATCTCCACCATCTCTGCTTCTCTAGGCAGAGGGACCAATGGCGGCAGGCCCTGGCTGGAATCAGCCAATCGGCAGTTGACGTAGAGCTCCATGTTCATATTGTCACGCTGAAGACCGCCCAGTCTGAGGATGATGGAGTGAGTCCGACCATCTGCCAACGCTGCGTTCTGCAGGTTCACCGTGTGCAGCTTCCCATCAGCCCTCACGTAACGCACCAGGACTGAGAGGACAGGAAAGAGCGCCAAAACAAATCAGTGATGAAAGAGAAACACGAACATCGTGACAGCGGCGGCGGCATCATCAGCTGAATTTGGATCGAGTGTAAATATCAAGTTTGAACCCTCAGACACACACTTCAAACACCTCCTCTCCACCAATCAGTGACTCCTCCTCCTCCTCATCATCATCATCCTGAGCAGCTGCAGGTGAAATAATGAACTCTTTCTTTACCCAGGATCAAAGGTCACACTGTGTCCAAACACACACACACACACACACACACACACACACACACACACACACACACACACACACACACACACACACACACAAAGTGTTGAATAAACTGCGGGTCAGATTACAGTCATTAGGCTGGCAGAAGAAGAAGTCTGTCATTATCATGATGGAGAAATCATTAAAGTGATAACAGGATCAGACCAGGGTCCTCATTTATCAACCGTGTGTTCGTACAGATGTGTTTGCGTAATGAGTGTGTACGAACATTCCCACGTTAAGTCTGGATTTGATCAACCTGTACTTGTTCTTAGGAACGTGAGTAAAATGAAGCCCAACTCTGAGCATGCTTACACACAAAGCCTAGTGGTAGAATAGTGAAACTACAACTAGAACCCATTAAAGGAGTCACAACGTTCAGCTATCTCAGACTTCACACATGTTCTCTGTTCCCTCTGTACAAAAGTGACCAATTAGTTCAATAGTTCCAATTAGTTAACCTCAGAAGATCTCTTACAAGTACAAATACAAGTAAACATACAAGTACAAATACAAGTATCATGGTTTATTTTGGACTATTGGAGGACTCAGAGAACCATCCAGAGCAAGAGACAAAACGTACCAAAGCCATCCCAGTGACCATCCAGCTCCTGTCCACTCTAACCCAACGCAATAATTTCTCTGACCTCAACTTACATCCAGTTCCCAAACACACCAGCAACAAGCTGAAATAAAACAAGGATTTCACGCCATCGCCGGATTCCCAAACATAATTGGAGCCGTAGATTTCCCCACATCGTAATAAAAGCACCTTCACACAATAAATTCAGTCAACAGGAAAGGATTTCATTCAATCGATGATCAATAATCTGAGATGATCATATGGATCTGTTAAACGTTGGAGGAACGCACGACTCCTGCACCTCCATGATTTCAGCGAGGGGGAAAAAAATCCATTCAGGCATTTTTAAAGGGATTGTTGATACCATGTATGGTCAATTGGAGGTGTTTCTGAATGTAAATGACCCTAACCATGAACGAGCGCGCTAGGAAAGAACAGGTGGGATTTATCATCACCGATTACTTATGAGTGTGTGTACGACCGGTATCCACATGTTTGAGAAATACAGATTTTTTTGTTCTTACGCACATTCGACATTTCATTCCTACACAAGAATTTACAACCTTTTCTGCGATAAATGAGGAACCTGGTCCCAGAGACAGAGACCCCCTCTAGTGGACACTCAGGGAAGTGCAGGTTTGGGACCTGGGTGAAAGGTTGGTCTGGTTTTCCAGCTCTGAGATTGTTACATGCATATTATCAGAGTGAGAGCAGAGCTGGAATACTGGACTGAAAACCGTCTCCTCCTCCTTCTGCTGTCACGTTCACATTTTCAGTCCAGTAAAGTCTCGATGAAGTTCTGGTGATGTCAAAGTTTCCACACACTCCAGGCTGCTGAGCTCAGGGGGAATATTTCCATTCATAAAAAAAGTGTGTGTGGTTGGAGCTGTTCAGAGTGGAAACACCAGAGAGGCTCAGTCCAACATCACACAGATAACACTATCAGACAGCATGTCAGGTATCGAGAGGAAACCTAAGGAGAAATCAGGAGAAGGGAGGAGACTCCTAAAGGGACACACACACACACACACACACACACACACACACACACACACACACACACACACACACACACACACACACACACACACACAGACACAGACAAACGACCTGATGTGTTAGCTGCTCACTAACATTCTCAGACTCTGGTGGTCCAACACATGCTCTACCTTTGTTGATCTTTCCCATGACAGCCACCTCCAGATACTTCCTGTTGTCCTGTTTGCTGTAGATTCCCATCAGGACTCCGCCCAGCTTCACTGGCAGCCGCAACGTGGACACAACATAGACATCACTGAGCGTGCTCAGACCCCCAGACAGCTTCTCCACTGCTGCTATGCTCTGCTTTGAGTCCTGGAGACCAAGAATATCGATCACTGAGGAAGTGGAGGAGATAGAACAAAAACCAGAAGATTAATAGATGTCAAATAAGTACGAGACAAAGACCTTTTAAAAGATCCGCCTATTTTTACAACTTTTCAATCTAAACACCAAGAGACGGCTCACAGGATCACTCATCAGTCTGAATCAGGAGTATAACTAAGACCTCATTCAAAGATATTTCATCTGGATGTTCAATTAGTGGAGAAACTGTCAAGGTTTTGTCTTCAGGACATCTGAACTATGACAATCCCTCAACCCAATGACTGTTCACAATCTCAGAGGACATCAGCTTTCATCTGATGACAATCTCTGAGAACAATCCTCAGCTTCCTAGTTTATCCTGTTCCTCAGTCTGTCTGTGGAGAGTCTCAGATTCTCTCTAAAAAGTCTCTCTCTTCTCTCTGGTTTCCTTTAGCAGTAACCTGAAACAGAAGCTGATGTTCTTGTGATGTTCTCCTCATTAACAGGTCTTCTGTTTGCTGAAATAACCACATCATGATGCAGATCAGTCCACAGTCCAGCTGTCACAGGTCTGTCTTCAAGAGGAGGAGGAAACGACTTTGAAAATGTTTGTTAGTTTATTTAAATGGAGGTCAGATCCATCATTTCTGACACATTCAGGGAAGTCTGTAAATTTAACCTCTGATTGTCTTTGCTGACCTTCATGCAGAGTTCTGTAATACAGAGACAGAAATCGTCCTCATCATGGAGGACCAGATAATACTCAAACAGACATTTATATCATCTGTACTTCATACTGAATCTGTTAATAGGATCAGATATCATACTAATGTTATTCAGAGTCACATGATAATACCCTGTTATTAACCTCATGATTAATTTAATTGTTTTTGGTTCAGCCTTTTGGACTTCATGATTTCAGAATCCTGCAGAGACCTGACACACCTCTGGATCCTCAGTGACCCGACTGTAAAGAGCTGACTGTTCTGTTGATATCAGGCAGGACAGAGACACCACAGAGGAAAAAAACAGGACATTTTCAAATTTAAGATCGCTGTCGTCATTTTCTTCTGCTTCATCAGCGTCAGGGTCGCGGGGGCAGCAGCTTCAGGAGGGAAGCCCAGACAGCCCTCACCCCACCCACTTCCACCAGCTCCTCCAGTCAGATTCCCAGGCGCTCCCAGGCCAGGTGAGAAATATCATCTCTCCACCTGGTCCTGGGCCAGCCACAAGGTCTCCTCCGGGTGGGACATGTCTGGAACACCTCTAACGGGAGGCGTCCAGAAGGCGTCCTAACCAGATGCCTGAGCCATCTCAGCTGACTCCTCTTGACGTGGAGGAGCAGCGGTTCTACTCTGAGCGCCTCCCGAGTGTCCAAGCTCCTTACTCTATCTCTAAGGCTGAGCCCGGCCACCCTGCGAAGGAAACCCATTGCGGCCGCTTGTTTCCGCGATCTTGTCCTTTCAGTCATAACCCAAAGTTCATGGCCATAGGTGAGGGTTGGCACGTAGATCGACGGGTAAATCGAGAGTCTTGCATTACGGCTTAGCTCTTTCTTCACCACGACTGATCCGACTGATCCGCCTGTCAATCTCCCGCTCCATCCTACCCTCACTCGCGAACAAGATCCTGAGATACTTGAACTCCTCCACTTGAGGCAGAACCGCCCTTCCGACCTGGAGAAGGCAATCTACCTTTCTCCGACTGAGGACCATGGCCTTGGACTTGGAGGTGCTGATTCACATCTCAGCTGCTTCACACTTGGCCGCAAACCGCCCCAGCAAGAGCTGAAGGTCACTGCTCGACAAAGCTAGAAGTACCACATCATCTGCAAAAAGCAGCTATGGATCCTCTGCCTCGAGATACTTACATTAATCGATTTTTTCTCCCACCCCAACAAAAAATACAAAAACATTTCACAAAGTGAAAAAAAAAACAACAAACTGCACAATATTTTAGTTAATAAAAAAAAAAAAAAACAATACAGAACAGAACATAGACCCCTTTGAAAAAACAGTTTCTAACTCAAGTCATTAAAATTCAACTGAACACAAACAGCAGGTTTTGTAGTGGATCGGGTCTTTGAGTTCTGTACCACCTGACTAACCTTACTGGATCAGTACCTCTGCTACTTCTGTAGGGGAGAGTGGGGTAAGATGAGCCAAAGGTTCAAAGCACATGGGTGAAGGGGTTAGACATTTATGTCCAAAAACACCTTTTTCACTCTTGAAAGTGAATTTAGTTTGTCATAAGTTTGATTAGAATTGTGTTCAGACCAAAAAAAAATCATTTTAAATTAGTTTTACACATCAGCTGTGGTATCTATGAGCTCCAACATGAGGTCAAAAACCTAACATAAAAGTCCACCATTTTAGCTTCAAGGACAAATAAAGTCATCATAGTAGTTCAGGGGTAAGAAAAGGAATCTGATGAGAGGATCAGAGTTTCAGTTCAGATTGTTGAAATGTTTGATTTTTTCTTTTCAAAAACACAGCTGTGAATGTTCTGAATCACTTAAAGACATTCTCATGATCAAATGTTTTTTTTTTTATTAAACAGCTTTTTAGCAGTTATATACAATAATAATAATAAAAAGAATGATTGTACCAGTTGAATAGTGTATAATAGATAAAAATACACATGAATGTGAAGAAGTAACTGTTATTTAGGGAGAGAGAAGGTGAGGGAGGGCTGAGGGGGTAAGTTGACCATAGGAGACGACTTTTTTTTGTCATGCTATTAGGCCTGTCGCGATAATCAATAAATTGCCTAATCACTCGGTAAATAAAAATGAGGTCGGTAATTTTGCCAGCCTCGATAATTAACGTGCGTTTGTTTTCTTCCTCTCTCGCTACCAATCACGCTGGATGAGAGAAGAGGTCTCACTCTGCGCATTTTTCTCGACACCTGGTGTGTTGGCTCTATAGCGGAATGAATGCAGCGAGTGAACCCTCCTGTCAGTCATTCAGTCTCTTTGTCATGGTGGGGCGGTAGCTGGGCAGATAACTGTAATAATTGTTCACTTGTGGATAAAAGCACCAAAATTGGCACACGTACTCCTTAGAAGTTGCTCTTTTGATATTTCTGTCTGGCCAAATGAAAATTCAAGATGGCTGCCATTTTTCAAGATGGCCACCAATGAAAATACAGTAATATTGCATTTTGCAATAAAATTCCATAGACTTGTCCTATTTGGATGAACTTGGTGTCATATCATACATTTTCCACTATGCAGAATCCAAATTTGGACTCATGGACTTAATTACTGGCTTCCTTGTACCATATTTAAGTCCCGGAATCCGAATATTCTGATAAATTTGAATTTCATCTAAAATGGATGGTAGCACCATGGGATCACTCTTTGTCTGGTCTCTATCCTTTGAGCTGTTTGGCGTGGGTGACCCTGCCAGGAGTACAATACTCCAGCTGGCATAGCTCTAGGGGTCATGGAGACACACAAACTGCCCCACCACGATAAGGTGGTGATCCCACCTAGGCAGGTTTTTTTTTTTTTTTACATGTAGGCTGTTTGGATGAGTAGGCTTTTACTACAGCGTTTCTAAACCTCACACCTGCAGCTGCACAGTGCCGTGCAGGTCAGACCAAAGCAGTAGCATTTGCATCGACCGCAGCATTCCGACTTGCATCCACACTTGGTCAGCTGCTGGCAACTCTCTGCAATGGGTGGGAGCTCTGTCCAAACAATCTGCCACAGATCTCCTTTCTTGGTCCAGCCCCAGTTGGCAGGACTATGTGTTTCTGGTTGACATACTATTGACTGACTCCAGATGCAGCCCGCTTGGTAGGATGCCCGCATGACATGTTGCTTAAGTGCTTATCGAGTTGGAGGAATGGCTTCGTACGGCCTCTGCTTCCGAGCAAACATGTCCAACCTTGCATTGTCGACACCTTCAGCTGTGCTGGATCTGTCGTACAACATGACCACAAACTTCTCCAGGGTTTTCAGGTCTTCATCATCCAATACAGGTGGGTAATGGCTGAGTTTGCTGAAGACACTGGAAGCCTCATCACAAACATTCCAGGTTTGCCAAGCAAACTTCTTCTCTTTGCCACGGAATGCTGAGACAACATCACAACCAGTGAATGCATGGAAGAAGAGCATCCCTTTGCTCTTTTCTGCAAGAGTGCCACACAGGTCATGAACAGGAATCCACTTCAGGTTCTGTCTTTGGCCAAAGGCAACCTACAACTGCTGCACACCCAGGTTCTGAAGTGCCTGCAGAACACTCACTGCGATGACAACAACATCTGTGTTGTTGGCTTTGACCATGATGACCTTGCTGCCTGCTTCTGTGGCATGCCTGGCATGCGCAAAGATCCATGTGTCAGCTTCTTCATGACGGCATGGTGACAAAGAAGGGGAATACGACGAACATGCACAATCATCCGCAGGGATGATTGTGCTTGAGGTGCGCATGCATGTTCTTTGTTGACCTGTTGAGGAATAGCACCCAAAGCTTATTATTTAGTGCAATTTTGTTTACAGACTCGAGACTCCACTTTATTTATTGTTTTAATAGTTATGTGTGGAGTGAAGTTTTTGTTCCGTACCAGAGACAAAGTCTATTTTTTTATTGTTTATAGATGTGATTGTGGTTTTTATTTGAATGCAGTTTTTGATAAAATAGAATGTGGTTCCATTTTATTTCATTTCATTCGTTTATTATATTTGTTCATCCTAGTTCAAAGTTCTTAATCTTGAGCAATTAAAGTTTATTGCTTTTGACATGGTGTACTCGCATTATTATGCCATATATTATCATTACCTATAATTTAAAAAACGATGTCAATAATTTTGTTTATCGGCAATAATTTGTAGCACAATTATCATCCAGCAAAATTTGTTATCGTGACAGGCCTACATGCTATATAATCAAGATTACAGTTGTTAAAACTCATTCTGTTGGTTTGCAGAGATGAACAACATCCTGAAATATATGCAGATACACTAGTTAGAGACAAAACTATGATTGACTTGATGGAGTGATCCCAAATATGAAACATGGATCATCTTACCTCACTCTCCCCTACTGGACGAGTAAAGACACGGAGTGTAGCTTTAGGTCAGGTCACAGATTAAATAGGTCACACTTTTTGGTGGAACACCCACCGTCAGTACTCAGGTAGAAGAACGGAGACAGGTTCTTCTACCTTCTACCTAATCTTCTTTATGTTTCAGCGGGTTAGCTCATTTACCTTGAACGTCTGGTCCGTCTGGGATTCCCGCCGTGAGTCCGACCCAGATGACTGACAGCAGAGCCGGGATCATCCGACCCATGTCTGCAACTGTAGACGATGAACCCAGACCTGAAGGACAGAAAACTAGACCCACAAAAACCGGGTCTGAAAAACACGAAGAAGATAAACTGGAGCAGAACCGGAGTCCAAAGTGACAGCTGTCAGCGTGGGAACCGGACCGAAGGAAACTTCGAGCCCAGAGGAGAGGAAGAACCGAGCGGATAGACGATGACAGCGGGTCCCGGAGCTCGGGGACGGAGCTGCGGGGAGTTCGTGGACAACAGACGGGTCACACACCGACGGACCCCCAAGCAGAGCGGGGAACAGAGGGGACGGTTAGCTGGAGAAGAGGACCGACAGACCCGCTGGAGGAGACACGAGCGGCCGGGCGGGTTCACGAGCGCAGCTGGAGACTGCTACTGCTGCTGCCGGCGCGCGCTCAGCTCCCCCCAAAGTCCGCTCGTGCGCGCAGAGGAGATGATTAGCATAAAGCGCGCGAACGAAGACGAATAAATATGCAGAAAATAAATCAATAATATTAATATTAACTCTAGAACACTATCGATAAAGTTAGTAACACCATGATTTTTACCTGAAATAATATACCCAAGAAAAAGTACTTGTCATCCAAATATATCAAAATAGGACAATACATGACAAATTAAAGTAGTTTTCTTTTATTTTTAACTGTTGAATGTTTAAAGGGAAGGAAAATATGCCATGAGGGGACCATATAAAATGCAAAAAAATAACTGAAATTAGGCATTCATGAACAAAAAAACTTTAGAGTTAGTTTCTTTTCCACCCATTCCTGGGACATGTGAGTCTTCCCTGGTGAAGACTCAGGGTCCTTGGCACATTAACAGCTGCAGGAGAGAGAACCAAAATACGGCAGATTTGGAGTGAGTAAAAATTACGACGGAGTATTAAGGCCAGAGATGGGAATTGTGGAGTCACCAAGCCATCTCCATGCCATGTATTTGTTCTGCTCTGTAACTGAACCAGCTGCTTTCAGTGAGCAGCCAGGAAGGTGAGCTCATTAGTAAAGGCACCTGGTTCAGTAACTGAGCAGACCAAATACATGGCATGGAGATGACTTGGTGACTCCACGATTCCCATCTCTGATTAGGGCCACATTAAGAAAAAAGAAACTGAGGACTTCCAGATTAAAGTCATTAATTTACGTGAATAAAGTCATTACTAACTAGAATAAAGTCGTAATAAAATCATTAAGATACTTATGATAATTTGGGCGGCAGTAGCTCAGGAGGTAGAGCAGTCGTCCAATAACTGGAAGGTTGGCGGTTTGATTCCCCCCTATCCCAATTCTGTCCGTTGTGTCCTTGGGCAAGACACTTAACCCACCTTGCTCCCAGTGTGTGTCCTCCACTGGTGTATGATTGTGAGTGTTGTGTGGTGGTGGTCGGAGAGGCCGTAGGCGCAAAATGGCAGCCAAATTTCTGTCAGTCTGCCCCAGGGCAGCTGTGACTAAGGTAGTTTATCACCACCAAAGTGTGACTGTGTGAGTGAGTGAATGAATGATGTATCCAATGTAAAGCACTTTGAGGGTCTCTGATAAAGCGCTATATGAAATCTGATGCATTATTACTATAATGTGGTGCTGATGTGCCAAAAGATGAAGTATCTCCTTGTTTGAGAAACATATATTAAAGTACATTTTCACCAAATGCTCCATGGCTCTAATTTTAACAACTGTCATCTTAAACAACAGATTAGAATATAAGGACTTTAGTACGACTTAATTCTCGTTAGTAATGACTTTTATCTCGAAGTCTTTCTTTTATTTTCTTAATGTGGCCCTAATACGTCGTAAAAAACGACCAGCTGACTCAAATATTTCTTATCATCATATGAATTCCCTTGAAAATCACTACTTTGTGATAGTTATTCATAACCACTGCGCTAAAGAAAGACAGCATGCAAATTCCAGGACCACTCTTACTGACCTTATTCCCTACATGCAGCTATCAAATCCACCCAAACTTTACTTTACCTTCTATCACTATTGCCGGGTGAAAATCACCCTGTGAACACGTCTGTAGGAAAAAGCAGGTTTTGGATCAGGGAAACAAATATGCCCTCAAAGATGTCAAAGGAAATGCTGAAGCTATCCAGGGACCCATGATACTCAGACAAACACAACATCATGAAAATCACCTAAAAACATGTGTGGTCTGGTCAAAATCACCCGGAGATAGTCTTCTAGGGTTAAATATCATCATTATCTGTGTGATTTACAGGTTATATTATAAAGAACTTAAAGCTAGCATAATAAATGTGTCAAAAGAATTATTAGGATTTAATAAGAAAACGTCAGCTCTCCACATGTGCATGTATAAATATCAGTAAACTGGACACTTCCTCCTCATTGTACCAGTGTCAGTTGTAAACAGCAGGTCAGGGGTTAAATGTCAAAGGTCAGAAGCAGCCTGGGAGTCTCTTAGTTCAGCTTTTGTTTTAGACTTCCATTCAGTCTTGTAGCAACAACTGACCGGGTCCAGAACCACCCTGAAGACCCCCAAAGTGGGTTCGCTTTGAATCTTTTTTTCCATTGATGCTCCTGTGAAAAATGTAGCTCCCCCTGTGGTCAGAACAATTTTGACTTTTCTTGTCCCTTGTATGATTAAACAAAACATCCTGCTGACTGTTGACTGTCACATGTCATTTTTTATGAACATTATTAGATTAGATTCAATTTTATTGTCATGTTTAAAACAATGCAACGAAATGCAGTTTAGCATCCAACCAGAAGTGCAATAGCGTAAGTATATAAATACATACCTAGATATATAGATATAAATACACATAAGAGACGTATGAGGTTGCTATTGTCAATATTTACAGTAATTTCATTATATTACATTTAACTAAGTGCCATTAGCATGCTTTAACAGGGTGAGAGTTCAGTGTTTGTGTCTTTTATCAAAAAGCACTCTGTTCTCCGACACGTAAACAATCAGCCGGTCAGCCATGTTGGATATACCGGTGAATCTGACGTCGCAACAACACGAAATCTGATTGGTCAGAAGTGGACACACAGTATGCAAAACTTTTGAAAAATCGACAATGATCCGAAAAAATAAATGCCACAATATCGCAGGACGGGAAAACGTCACTGATGTGAACGCTTGTATTGAAAGGATACGGGTTCCAAAAAAAATATTGACGTTGGAAATAATTGACAAAAACGCTCCCGGTGTGAAAGGACATTTAGTCTGCAGGTTTTGACCCGGAGGCTCCTGTAATGGAGGCCAGAGGGCAGGAGGCTGAAGAGTCTGTGTCTATATGAGGATATAGTAAGGCCACCTGAGACCTTTTTTTAGCATCAGTTATTGGTGAAAGTGAATATTTAATATATTCTGGACTCATTACATGTCAGCTACACTGATCCGAGCCTTTGTTTGAATTTTTTTGAAGTTATTTTGACCTTTAGATCAAAATGTTTAAAAAGCATATCCCAAAGTGTCCGAATATTTCAGTTTGAGTTCGAGGAAGGTGAATTTCTTGCTCTTGTTTAGTAACCAAGAATACTGCTGACTGACCATCATTCAGAACATGATGGTCAGCAAACCATTTTGTAGTAGTATTGGCGCTGTGAGCAGGTACTACATTGTAAATACTGTGTACATCCTGGTGTGGTTCAAACACAACCAAAGTCTGGACCCCCTCTTTAAGGGGGGTCTGCCTCAGATTTATTGACTGAAGGGAGGAAAAGGAGACCGAGAGCAGTCTGGAGAGAACTGTCAAAGGAAGAAATTAGAGGAGGACTGGACCAAGGCTGGGGTCAAGCATCAGGAGCCTCTACACATAGACGAGTCAAGGAAATGGACTACAAGTCAAATCAGAGTCTCAAGTGGACTAAGAAGAATAAGAACTGGACTGTTGCTCAGATGTCCAAAGTCCTGGCTTCAGTTTAGCATCTCATTTGGAAACCGAGGTCCCAGAGTCTGGAGAGGGATCGGAGAGGCCTAGAATCCAAGAAACTTTAAGCCCAGCATGAAGTTGCCTGTGTCATGAAAACACAAAGGAGATGAAGGTTTCATGTCTGTTTTTGTGGAGGATGGTAGGGTTGGGACGAAACGCTTTTCTCCCAATTCTATTCTTCTACGATTTTTTGGATGCCAATTCGATTTAAATTGCGATTCAGTCAGTTTTTAAGATTTAATGTTTAATTTGAAAAATTCTCACCTATGGCCATGAACTTTGGGTAATGACCGAAAGAACAAGATCACGGATACAAGCGGCCGAAATGGGTTTCCTTCGCAGGGTGGCCGGGCTCAGCCTTAGAGATAGGGTAAGAAGTACGGACACTCGGGAGGCGCTCAGAGTAGAACCACTGCTCCTCCACATCGAGAGGAGACAGCTGAGGTGGCTCAGGCATCTTGTTAGGACGCCTTCTGGACGCCACCCGTTAGAGGTGTTCCAGACACCTCTAACGGGAGAGACCCCGTGGCCAGCCCAGGACTAGGTGGAGGGATTATATTTTTTCGCCTGGCCTGGGAGTGCCTAGGAATCCCCCAGAGGAGCTGGTGGAAGTGGGTGGGGTGAGGGCTGTCTGGGCATCCCTCCTGAAGCTGCTGCCCCCGTGACCTGGACCTGGATAACGCGGAAGAAAACGACGATGACAATATTTGAAAATAAGAGTCGATTTTTGAGCATAAAAATCGATTCCTCTCTGGGTGAAGCCACTCTGAGAACAGCACCTTCTAGTGACGGTCTGCAGTAAAGGTCATAAATCCCGCCTCCTTATAGAGCTGTGGACAAACTTTATAAATTAATGACACAGAATATAAATGTTTTCCCCCCTGGTTGTGATGTTGACATGTAGTTACTGTCAGACTGGTTTGTGTTCAAGTCCTCTTTTTTCTGTACAGCTCCATTTTTAAAAGTTACTGGGGGGTTAATGTTTTCTATGATTGGTACCTGATACAGCCTATGGGTGTACAGAGATTGAGTAGCTCACCCGGGGGATACGCTGTTTGAGCCCAGCGTTGTCACAGCGACTCTCCCGCTGAATGCGTACAACGCTACTGCACAATGTTGGTTTCAGGAAGTGGAGAAAAAACGCGGAATTACCGAGAGCTTTTTGGCTTCAAATCTGTTTACTGGAGGAAGGAGGAACCAAGTTGTCCAGAGTAAATACAGTCTATGGTCTCATCATATGGAACACATGTTTGTGTCTGCAGGCAGAACCATGCAGAGGTCCTGCTGTGTGCAGAGGAACTTTACAGCTGTGGAGGAGCTCCTGGAGAACCTACACAGCTCTATAAATCTGACTTTTACTGTTAGTTTGTGTAAAACGCTGAGAGACTTGGGGTTTGGGTGGGGATGTGAGGGTGGGGTTCTGTCGCAGGAATTTGGGCCCACAGTCTCAAGGTTTCCGAACTCTGAACACACAGAGACCCAGAGGCTTCAGGGCCCCCCCGGGGGTCCTGCTGCAGTCTGCTGGTGATGAAGGGGCTGAGGCTTGTTGTTGTCAGCAAAAAGAGGGAGTGTTGGTGGTGATCAGGTCGAAACTGGGAGTGTTGGTGGTGATCAGGTCCAAACTGGGAGTGTTGGTGGTGATCAGGTCCAAACTGGGAGTGTTCCTAACTCAGTGGATCAGAAAAATGAGGCTCTGGAGTGATTGTGAGTTTCTACTGTGGTTCTCCCGGCAGGCCTCCTCCTCTCACACTTTGGGAATGTTTGTTTCTGGCTCTGGAGGGTTGCCATGGAAACCTGCATTTAACAGCAGGTGAGGAAGGGAGGGAGGAAACTTCGCCTTCACCCTCCGACAGCAGCGGCCTCCTCCTCCTCCTCCTGGGCTGCAGCCTGAAGTCGAGATGTTCTCTTCATAAAACTAGAAAAACCTGTCAGAGTGAACTTCCTGTCCATGTTTCTGTTTCCTATCTTCGTGTTTGGGCCTCACAGAGTTCAGATCCACAAACTGCTCCAACATCAGCTCATTAAAGTGGGGGGGGGGGGGCGCAGGAGCGGGCCAACAGGAGCCAGGCTGGATTCCTGAGTGATGGTGTCATGTGCAGCTGTTTGTCTTCTCCTTGTTTTCCTCCTCTCTGTTCCTCCTCTGAAACCAGCTGAGGAGGTTTTTCTGTTAGTCTGCTCTGATCTGATTACGGAGTTGTTGGTTTGATCCCTGATCCGGGGCGGCAGTTTGGATTTAAGGAGGCGTCAGAAAAACCTCCAAATATTCTGCTCGTCAGAAACTGGATGGTACTCTCGATCTGTTTCTGAGTGACCAGCAGTGAACCCGGTTTCGAAGCACCTGAGCTCATTCAGGTACCTCACACCTGGCACTCTGTACGTTTCCATGACACTCAAGAAAACTGAATTATCGCCTTATTCCGATTAAGACCGGACAACTGAAGAGCATGTAAACACCTTAGTCCGACTATAATCGGAGTTTGAAAACTCTGATTGGAGTTGGAGAACTCCGAACTCTGAGGGACGAAGTTCAAAAGATATTTAAGGGACAAGGACAACTGGACTTAGTTGAAACGTAGAATTAGCAATTATTCAGTACGTTTCCATGACACTTGAGAAAAACGAATTTTCGCCTTACTCTGATTAAGACCGGACAACTGAAGTGCAAGTAAACACCTTAGTCTGACTATAATCGGAGTTTGAGAACTCTGATTAAGACACCCAGATAATGCAATTGGAATTCGATATTCTCTACCATGTAACCAGCGTAGTCGGAGTATGATCGGACAATGCATATGCACATGCACCAGCCCCCTGTTACCCCGGAACAAAAACACCAGAGAAGAGGAGTAGCGTGCGTCTCATCTGCAGAAAAAGTAGCGCGTCCATCATGTAAGACAAAAACAAGGCTGTACGATGCTCCATCTTCTTGCTCCAAAATTCCCAGCAGCAGTTGTAGACACTTCTGACGTCTGACATGGACCTGCTGTTGTTGTTGACGGTTGTATGGGGTCGGAAACAGCGCAGCTGAAAAGACCCATATCGCCCCCTATTTTTGAGGAGGAGGACTCGTTCACGTCAATAATTCAATTTTCTCAGCTGCATGTATACGCTGACATGGAGAGAAGTCTGATTCTGTGAAAAAAAATAAACTATGAGCTTAGTCCGATTAAGCTGTGCATGTTGAAGTACTGAGTGACTGAATGTCCCCCCGGCGGAATTCGGAGTATGAAGAACCTGGGATTATAGTAATTCCACCACTTTTCAAAATAGGTTTGGATCCCTAGCAAACCCTCTAACATTCCAGCTCCTGGGTGGCTGTATTAGTTCGCACCTCCTCACTTTTTTTGTTCCCCAGCTACTAAATAAGATTTTAGTTCCCCCAAACTGTGGGATTTTTCTTACAGGCCCCAAACTCATTAGAAAACCCTAATTCCTCCAAATCCTCTCTAGACAGTTCCCTGACCACGTGGATTACTTTGACGTCCCAAACATCCGTCACTTTTTTCACATCACACTTCATTTACTCAATAATCATTTTAGTTCCCACTCATTCCAGATCATAAATGACTCTTTCTCGTTCCCTAACACCGCACACAGATTTCAGTTCTCACACAGTCCGGGACGGTTGAAGTTCAGCGACCCAAAAACAAACAGATGGAAACAGAGCGGTACCAACATCATCTCATCCCTCTCATGTTGAATAAGAAAGCAGGTCCGAGTCGTCGTTTCACCTGTGGATTTATTGTGTGATGTTGCTGTTGTGAGGCTGAGAGTGAATAAACACTAATCTGTGCTGCTGTGACACTTTAACCAAAACAAAAACAAAATTAAAATTTATTTATTTAAAGGGAAATGCTGACTTGTGTTTCTTCTTTTTACAAACAGTTTTTAAAAAATAAAAATCAACAAAAATAAAAATCCAAGATCCAGAAAGTGACCCTGTGACTGATTTCTGGACCAGGTAAACCAGGTCCCCTCTCACTTCCTGTCCTCTCTGAGACTCCTGATGGTTCTCCTCTCTTTGGTGATGTCAAAACTCAACAGAGTGAGACATTACTGATTTTGCTTACTGAACATCTTCTCATTTGTCCATAAAGTCCCATGACGCACCTCTACCTCAGTCGCCCTCCTCGTCGTCAGGGGATCCAATCTTCTGCAGGTCTGGCGGCTCCTCCAGCGCCTCCTGCTGGACGTGTTGGACGGACACCATGCCGGTCAGCAGGGCGTAGCTCAGCATGGCGCCCAGAGCCACCAACGCCGACAGCAGCTGCTTCCTGCGCTTGTTGGGGACGTGGTCGAAGTCTCCGCTCTCAGGGGAGTAGGACGTCTTCTGCGATGAGCTCTCTTGGGGGGGGGGGGGCAAGGGGGACATCAGAGAGTGGCTGTTAAAACAAAAACTACGGTGGCCCTGGAGGCCTGTTTCCTGATTCGTGTACTCTTCTTACAGATTTATCCTGATGGTTTGGATGATTTTTCTGTGTTCACTAAAAAGGTGTCTGAAATTTTAGTTAAATGTTTTTAGAGTTTTTGTGAGAAGGTTAGTCTTTTTAAAAAAAAAAGTTTTGTCTTTTGTAAAATGTTTTTGAAATTTTTTTTTTTAATGTTTTTGGAGTTTTATTAATATGTTTTTTGGAATTTTTGTTAAAAGGTTTCTGGAAGTTTTGTAAAATGCTTTTAGAGTTTTTGTGAGAAGGTTAGTCTTTTGTTAAATATTTTTGACTTTTGTAAAATGTTTTTGTCTTTTGCAAAATTGTTTCTGGAATTTTTGTTAAAATCTTTTTGGAATGTTTGTAAAAATGGTTTTGGAGTTATTGCAAAAATGTTTTTGGAGTTTTTGTAATAAGTTTTTGTATTTTGTAAAAAAAAAAATGTGTCTTGTGTAAAATGTTTTTGTCTTTTGTAAAAATGTTTTTGTAAAAAATTTTTGGAATTTTGTTAAAATGTTTTTGGAATTTCTTTTAAAGTGGTTTTGTAAATGTTTTTGGATTTTTTGTAAAATGTTTTTTCTCTTGTAAAATGTTTTTGGAATTTTGTAAAAATGTTTCTGGAATTATCGTTAAAATGTTCTTGGAATTTTTGTAAAAATGTTTTCGGATTTTTTCCAAATATGTTTTTGGAGTTTTTGTAAAATGCGTTTGTCTTTTGTTAAAATGTTTTTGTAGTTTGTTGAAATGTTTTTGAAGTTTTTGATAAAATCTTTTCTCGGTTCAGGATCTTTTTGTGATTTTTTAAATGTGCTCGAGCAGCTCTAAGTTTTTTCCTTTTGATTAAAATGTCTGATTTTCTGGGAGCTTCAGTGCTGGACGATCCTCTTTGTTTTTATGTTTTGTGACCCTCAGGGCCTCCGTACTCTAAAACTGCAGGCTGATTGGTGTTGGTGTTTGATTCAGAGTTCGGACCCTGTGTTTCTGCTCTCTAGCCCTGAACCTCCTGGTCTCTGCAGTCTCACCTCGGCCGTCCTGGGGGAAGTAGAGCAGCAGGATGTTGGAGCAAAAGTTGGTCAGGTTTTCCAGAGACTTCAGATGCTGCTGCAATTTCCCGTTGGGCAGTTTGGACTTCAGGATGGGCGCCAAGTGACCAAAGACGTAGGCGTCCAGAGACGAAGGTCTACAGCAGAAAGTCACATCAGTAACTTACATATGACAGCAGCAGCAGGATTACAAACATGACTATGGTTCTGAGAGGACGGGTCGCTGGTTCTGGTCATAATGAGTCTTTTATCCTCAGTGAGAGTGGGTCAGCACCGCCCCTTTAAGAGGAGCCACAGTTTTCTGCAGACCAGGCCACTCTGACCCAAACAGTGAGACACTTTTCAGCTCCAGAACCAGAATCCACTGTAGAACTGTTCTGGTACATTTTTTTTCTGTTGGACTTGATGAACTCACGAGTCCCCGAAGAAGAACTTGTGTGATCCGAGTCGTTGGGACAGCAGGTTCATACACTCGGCAGCATCACGGTACAACTGGAAGACACAAACACACAAAACACACAACCAGCGTCAGACTGTGAACTGGATCAGAACAGAATCAGAACCACTGATTCCAAGTCCACCTCATCAAAATGATGACGTAAAGACTCCTGTGAACATCAGGACCGCCACGCTGCACAGACAGCATGGAGATTTTAAGGAACAGGATATGAACGTGATCTTCAGGTAGGACGAGTGTTGTGTCGTTCATGAACGATTCGTTCAGAAAAACTGAACTGTTGAGTAAACGACGTGAACTGAATCACTCTGAGACGTGATTTGTTCCTTTCTCAGTTCCTGGCTTGCCGGTTGGGAGTGCAACTGCCGCCTTTGACTCTTTGGTGAATGATACACAGCCAGTGAGCGAGAGAGCGGGTGGGCGGAGTCTCATGATTTGTTCACAGCCAATGAACAACAAGTATCAGTCAGACTGTGAGAGAAACGAATAACATCCGAATGACTTTATTCAGGCAGAGGAAGGAGGGGTGTAGTGTTGTTCACTTCCTGCCGAGCAGCGGTTGGTTGACTGAGGCTAAGATAAAACAGGTCATCATAGTGCCTTTACATCAATACACGTGTATAAACTTTCCTGTAAGAAGGATTTAATTTCAGCCGATTTAAAGAAATACAATATTTGATATCTCTAAAAGTATCTGAATCCTCACTACAGCTGCCATGTTTATTTATTTTTAATCTCTCCACTTTTCTGCCATATAAAAGAACATCGACTCACGCTCGTTTAGCGTCACTACTGTGGTGTTTCCGCCAACGGCGACACATATTGAGGTAAGTTCTTCAGGGCAGGGGAGTGATTCTTCCCTCTGGACTTGGTGAAGTCAACGACACCCAGTCAACGACACTGTGACTTCAGCAGCAGGGGAAGGGAGGGGCTCGGTCAATGAGCAACCTCTCTGCTGTGTCACTCACTGGTGTACTGCACCAGTACAGCACTGACTGATTCAGTGAACGAATCTTTTGAACAAATCATTTTAATGAACGGATTCTAAAGATCCAGTCAAAAGAACTGATCTTCTCATCTTAAATCTTCTCTCGTTTAAATCTGTGATCCTGGTGTTTCTTAGACCCTCTGAAACTGTTCATAAACGTCACCCTGATTTTCCCTGAAATGCTTTTTAGGCTGAAAGGAACAAATTGCTGTTTAACGACGTTCCCTGAACGCTGCGTGACCTCTGACCTCTTTCCACAGTGGAGGGTTTTGAAGCGGCAGATTTTTCCAGCAGAGAAAACCTCTGAGGAGACTTTTCCCTTGAAACTGTTTTGACCGCTCTGAACGTATGGAAAGAAATCTGAGATCATTGTGGAAAAATGTGAAGGAGCGGCCTGACAGCGGAGCGCTGCAGATTTAAGGCGGCGTGTTTCAGACTTCCCGGAGCTCCTGCTGTCGGCACTGAAGGTCAGAGTTCCTCACCTCCTTCTCCAGCTCCTCCCCGGCCTCCAGGCTCTCATCTCCTCGCAGCAGACGTAGTTTCTCCAGCTGCCCGCCCTGCATCCGCCCGGGCAGGAAGAAGTTTAGCGGGAACGGCATGTGATCGGCGTACCAGCGGCGAGTCACATCCACATAGTTCTTTGGCTCCACCCAGAAGGCGTAGATCTGCGTGAAACAGAATCAGAGTCAGTTTTCGGTCTTGATCTGAGCGGATCTATCATAGATGAGGAGCTGAGTCACCAGAGCTGGTTTGAGTTTCTCCTCCATCAGAGAAATGAACGCCAGGCTGTCCGCGCCCTCCTTGGCTGACAGGTCATAGTCCGCGTTATACTTCTGAAAAACACACACACACACAAAGTTCCCACTGAGAGAGCCGACACTCCAACGCACTGCAGAGACCAGTGTGGGGGGGCTCAAATCACTCCCTGTACCTCACCCCTGAACCTGCTCCTGTCAGTCCAGTTCTGGTTCTGTCGCGCCCATAGCTGAATACCAGAACCAGAACCATTTCAGGTTGTTTTGGAGCTCTGGATTTGCTTACATCACACTGACCCTGACAAAGAAACTATAAGGAGGAGGCAACAGTAGAAGAGGGTCCAAGAAAAGAGAGAGAAAAAACAGAGAAGAGGAGAGATAGAGATGAAGAGGGAGCTTTCCTGTCGTCATCGTTACTGACTAACCTACCGCTGGGTAATGTCTACATTGCTAGGTAATGTCTTCCAGCTGCTGCTGTTAGAGGAGGGGTGGGGGTGGTGACTGAGCAGGTCTGATAACGAGGACCAAGAACCTTCTAGTCCACGTGTTCAAGGTCAAAGTTTGACTCTTACGAGTTCGAGTTTCCTCCAAAGCCAAATGTCAGAGCTAAAAATGACGTCACACCCGAGTTCCCGGCATTTCAGTTACGAATATAAGGCAAGCACTAAATAACTTTCGTAGATGTAGCCATCTTGCCTCAGGCCTCCGATTTTGCTTTTTTCCGACTTGGTAACTGACACGCTGGGAACTCAGGTGTGATGTCATTTTCAGCTCGAACTTCTGACTTCAGAGGAAACTCCAACGCAGCATTAGCCTCTGACCTCATTATCTATGCAGTGATCTAAGTGGGCGGGGCTGCCATGGTAAGGAGGCTCTGCTCTAATTGGCTGGTATTGACACAGAGGACCCCCTGAGACTGATCACTGATATTTGGACCTGATATTATAGTACCGACAGAATGCAGACCCAAAGGGGGCGGGCCCTCAGAGGAGCCCCCCACCCTCCCCCCTCTATAATCAATCAGTTCAATCTGCGATCAGTAAAACACAGACACTGACAACCCCCCCACTGTCCAGTCACGGCACAGATACTGGGCCAGAGCAGATCAATATTTGGACTTTAATTAACACACCGAACAGGAGAACCAGCACCAGAACCCTGATCCAGAACCCTGCCTGTTTTTAAAAATGGAAATCTATCATCTATTTTCCTTCAATAACAGGAAGTCCCGTCTACAGCCAGATGATTGACAGTTTGGCCCTTAAGGAGAAAAGAGATTAGATGTATTCAGATCAGGGATCAGATTTGATCCGATCAGGAATCTGTAATGAAAAAGTTTAGAGGAGAAATGATCGTTTGAAATCAGGAATCAAGATTTTTTATTTTTTCATTTTAAATATTTAAAGGAACAAAAAACGATTTTTAACTTTTTTAAGAGTTTGACTAAGAGGAGACCCTCCATCTGTGTGTGTGTGTGTGTGTGTGTGTGTGTGTGTGTCTGTGTGTTAATGACCACCTCTGCTGCTCTGTTTACACTCACAGGTAGTTATCAGGTGTGTTTATGTTCAGGTGTCTCTGCAGGTGTTGTGAGCGCACTCAGAAGCATTCACGCTCTCTGTGGTTATTTCCTCATAAACAAATAAAGACAGCTGTACACAGATCTGACACACACACACAGACACACACACACACAGACACACACACAGACACACACACACACACACACACACACACACACACACACACACACACAGCTGCACCGACATCTTCATGTTGGTTCAGAACTTAAAGTTTTTTTATTGGATCAAAAAAATCACAGAGTGAGTCTGAGGGGCGGGGCCACTGGCCTGGACCAGAAAATGAAGTCCACTTTCTACATGATTAACATTATAGACTTGTTGGACCGGGAACCATTAAAACCTTCACCTAAAACTACCCATCCAGACTGGACCCCACTAACCTTACTGGACCTCTGTGGTCTCCTGGACCTAAGGTCATCAGTGTCAGTCAGCAGTGAGTTAACCATGGCTGTGTCTCATTTCAGAGACCGCATCAGGCTGAGCGCGCTTGAGCACGCTTAGCGAGTGAGATGGTCCGGTTTTTGTGAAATGGGACAGACTACCCTTTGAAAGGTCTTCTTGGTTGAGTCGCCAAATGTCCCCGCCCTCAGGCTCGCGTCACGGCTGACTTGAAGAAAAGCTGCGGAGCGTGGGAGTTATTTTTTAATAGTGTGACCTTGCACAGACACAAAACAATAGATACAAACAAGCACAGATCATTTCCACAAAATTCATCCAATGATTGTTTTGTACGAAGGAGTATGAGGGCCATATTGAGCTTTTTTTTTGTCAGCTTTCTGATTTCTAATGTTTTTAATTGTGGTAGCAGAGCTGATCAGTTCATCTCTAAAGAGTATCATGTTTAGTTTGCAGATTTTAGTGAGTTCAGAAATCATGCGCTCAAGTAGCCTGAGCTGACTGTCTGCTGTTTTTGGATATCTTGTATTTTCTTTGAAGAAGCACTGCGTCTCCAAGCGAGTCCAGCCTCTCACCCGAAATGCGCAACTGTGCAGCGGCATGCGAAGAATTCTGGGATACCAAGGCCATGAAAGCGTGCATAAATGCATGCTTGAAAAAGGGGCGCGGGTAGTGTGGTTTTGAGACCGAATTTGAAGCGTGCTCAGCATTTCGAGCCAAATGGGACACCGTTCGCGCCGAGTGATGACATCACGCACACTTCAAATGCGCCGTTTGACGGTGCGGTCTCTGAAATGAGACACGGCCCATGAGTTCTCCCTCTGCTGGATCACTGTACTGCTCCCCCCAGTGAAGGTTTAGAGAACTGCAGTTTGTAGCCCCCCCCCCATGAGCCTGCAGTCATCAGCAAAAATCTTTTCTTTATGGGTTATTATTGGATGTTTTTTACTGATTCAGTGACTCTAAGTTCAGACAGCTGCAACCTGACCGAACTGACCATCATAACAATCATATGATTATTTAATATTATTATTTATTAATATCTCATATCATGCATACTTAATATTTATATTTAATATAATTACTTAATATTCATATTTAATGTAATTAATTATTAATCAAATTTATAATAACCATTCAATGGTATTATTTCATATTATTCAAATTTAATATTATCATCCAATATTTTTATTCAATGTTATTAATACTTAATATTCATATTTAATTTAATTAATATTCATATTTAATATAATTTAATAAGTATATTAATAGAATTATTCAATAGTTTTATTTTATATTATTCAAATTTAATATTATTTCATAATATTAATTTATAAATATTCATATTCAATATTATTCTTACTTAATATTCATATTTAATGTTATTCATACTTAATTCATATTTAATGTTATTATTGTTCATTATTATTATAATTTAATTTATTTATTTGTTAGTATTTTTTATTAATGTATCTAATATTATTTATACTTGATGTTCATATTATTATATAACGTTATCAATATTTATGTGACATCACAGACCCTGTTAAGTTTGTGACATTCATAGTTGACCTTTGACACAGACCTGAAAAGCGTGAACACGACGTCACAAACAATGCCTTTTTTGATGAGGCTCAGTGGAGTCCATTACAGCACTGATGCATGCTGTGATGGAGATCCTGCCTCACCTGTTTTCTCAGATGGATGATGATGTCAGAGGGTCTGGACAGAGTCTCTTTCTGATTGGTCCTCAGAGCAGGAAGTGTTCCTTTATTACAGAAGAAACAAACAAACATGAACAACATGGACTGCCCTCTGAAGATATGAAGAATCTGAAGGAGGAGGAGAAGGAAGAGGAGCAAGAGGAGAAGAAGGAGGAGGAGAAGCAGGAGGAGGATGAGAAGGGCTCACTCACCGCTGGGACTCCTCCAGGGGTTGGAGATCTTCCTCAGTTTGAGTGGAGCTCCTGCAAACTGTGCGTACGCCTGCAGACAGAGCAGAGGGCAAAATAAACACACATCTATACGACACAGCTCCACTACAGTCAGAGGAGTGCTGTACAAACTCTGACCTGAAGATGGCGCAAAGAGTCAGAGTGACTGAGGTTCATCCAAATGTCTAAACACAAGAGGAGACGACAGATGATCCTGAACCTCCTCCTCCTCCTCCTCAGACAGGTGAAAGAGTGAGCAGGGATCGACACTAACTTTGTTCACATGTTCTCCTAAGTTAATAAAGTAAGGAGCACACAAAGAACTTTAGGGGAACAATCAAAATTGATCCAATAATGTTTGTCTTATTGATCAACCTTACTACTATTATTTGAAATCAATTTTAGGTCTTTTGGTCACATGATATGGAAGCTATTGAAGGAAAACAGCCTTTTCTGAGAACATCAACCAGTAATTTATTGATGGTCCCTTATTCAACACCAGACGTTGACAGCAAGGGTGGCGAGTAGATTTAACCGCGTTGCTGTTGTTATTCCCAGTTATGGAGAGTGAGAAGACACCGGTAGATCCTCAGTGAATGTCCGTCTGATATCCAACCTAAAACTAACTTCACCGCCGTATTTACAGGAAAAGACATTTGTTGATCTTTTTTATGTGCACATGTGACCCTAAATACATTTTACAATTCACATACATCTATTTTTAGTCGCAAATGTGAGTGAAACGGTCGCACTGTCGAGACCTATATCTGAACGGGGGTCTACCGTCTTCAGAAAGGCTCAGGTTCAGAAATCTGTGTGTGTGTGTGTGTGTGTGTGCGCGCGTATATGCAACTGTTTTTACCGGAAGTGTTGGAGATGACTCAGTTCTTCTGGAAACAAAAAAATAAAAGCTTCCTTCAAATTTTACAACCAGAAAAATGAGGACAAATTTCCTCGTAAATCTGGACCCATGAAGTTAGAGAGACGAGAACACACTGACACACGCACACGTCAGCACACACACACACACACACACACACATCAGGGACAGTCTCTAGTAGACATGAGAGGAACTGCAGGTGTTTAATCAGCTTTATCATTAAACTTTACAGGTATGAAGATGTGTGTGTGCATGTGTGTGCATGTGTGTGCGTGTGTGTGTGCTGATGTGTATTTGTGTGTGTGTGTGTGTGCGTGTGTCACACAGACACACTGTTGTTGGAGGTTTCAGACCCAGCAGCAGCAGCAGGTTCAGGGTCCTCTGGTAGTTTGGAAAAATCCAGCGCTGTGATTCCCATCAGCGTCATCATCTCCCAGAATGCACTGCTGCTCTGCTCTCAGATCTGCGTCCAACTCAAACAGGACTGGATCAGGTCTGATCCTTCAGGCGGGCTCCATGGCCCAGAACGTGGTCTGCAGGCTGGATCCTGCATCCACACAGCAGTCATGGAAACAGCAGTGCATTCTGGGAGGTCTGACCACAACCAGTAAAGTAAGTCTGCTGCTCCTAAATCTCTCTCTCCCAGAAAGAGAGACATACTGAGGAACCAGGATAAAGAGACATACACATACATACACATACACACTCACATACAGTACAGGCCAAAAGTTTGGACACACCTTCTCATTCAATGCATTTTCTTTATTCTCATTACTATTTTAATTGTAGATTCTCAGTGAAGGCATCAAAACTATGAATGAACAGATGTGGAATCATGTGCTTGATAAAAAAAGTGTGAAATAACTGAAAACATGTTTTATATTTTAGATTCCTCAAAGTAGCCATCCTTTTCTTTTTTAAAGCACTGCAAACTTTTGCTGTTCTGTCAATGAGCTTCATGAGGTAGTCACCTGAAAGGGTTTTTACCTTGTGACTGACAGAGTCAGTCACTAAGTACTTCTGTCATCAAGAGCAAAGGGTGACTATTTTAGAGAAACTAGAATATAAAACATGTTTTCAGTTATTTCACACTTTTTTTTAGTACAAAATTCCACGTGTTCATTTATAGTTTTGATGCTTTCAGTGATATTCTACAATGTAAATAGTCATATAAAAAAATAAAGAAAAGACACTGAATGAGAAGGTGTGTCCAAACTTTTGGCCTTGTACTGTATACATATACACACATATATACAAGCATACACACACATATACATACACACACACAAACATGTATATGTGTGTGTGTGTATAGATAGATAGTGTGTGTGTGTATATATACTTTGTTATCATGCAGTCTGAGTTGTTTGTCCCTTAGTCTGAAATAAATCTCGTTTGGTTGTTACGGAGACAAAGAGTTCAGATAATCCGCTCCATCAGGAACACTAATGAGGACAGTTAGAGTATAACAGTGCTGTCCTCTAGTGATCAAGAACAGAATAACATAAAGATCTGTCTGGATTATGGATCCCACTATGTCTCCGTTCAGTTCTCAGTCATCAGAACCTGAAGAAAAGTCAGGCTCAGCAGAACCAGACGGTGTAACGTCAGTCTGGTTCTGCTCGAGGTTTCTGCCTGTTAAAGGAAGTTCTTCATCTCTCAGATGGACTTTCTTTAAGGTGGGTCTGATCTTACAGGATGAGGGTCAGTCTCATCTAGTTTAAAAACAAAACAGACTCCCTGGCATGGCCACTTTATGGTTTATGAGAAGCTATGAACTTCTACAGCAGAACAGAGCACAGCTGAAGCAGGCTTTCGCGTCGATTTGTAGCATACATTTCCAGACCTATTGTGTCTTAAGGTCTTATTTCTCTAATCCCAAAGCCAGGTAAAGATACTTTAAAAATCGAAAATTGGAGAACAATAACCCTGATAAATAAAAACGCTAAATTATTGTCTTTGATTTTATTTCAGAGACTAAAGCCCTGGCTTGATACAATCATTGATGACTGTCAGTCAGGTTTTATGAAAGGAAGACATATTTCTAATAACATCCGCCTAATTCAAGACCTAATTGATTATAATGAATTACCCCCCGATAATAGTTTCACTTTTTTTGTGGATTTTTATAAAGCCTTTGACACGGCCGGGCATACTTTTTTGTTCAATACATTGGATTTCTTTGGATTTGGTGATTATTTTAAACGAGTGGTTCAGACTTTATATGTGGGTTGTAATAGTTCAATAAAGTTACCATATGGGACCACACCTAGATTCAATATCGATAGAGGGATTAAACAAGGAGATCCTATTGCCCCCTTTCTATTTTAATTAATTATGCAAACGATGGCTTTATATATTAAAAAATATCACTTTAGAGGTATAGAATTGGATGGAGAGGAGTTGAAATGCTGTCAACTGGCAGATGACACTACAATCTTTTTACAAAATGAATGTGAGGTGAAAAAAGCCTTAGAATGTCTGAATGTCTTCTCTCATGTATCAGGTTTGAGAATTAATGTGAAGAAATGTGACCTTTTTCCTTTAAAGGACAAACCCGCCAATTTAACTGAAAAATGTGAGATCCCGGTGAAAGATGTGGTAACATACCTAGGCACTAAAATTTGCAAAAATCAAGAAGAAAGAGCCAAATTACATTTTATTCCACTAACAGAGAAGATGAGAAAAAATTCAACAGCTGGCTGGGACGAGATCTATCATTATATGGGCGAGTTATGTTATCAAAAAGTGAAGGCTTATCACGGCACATATATGGTGCCCAGGCATTGAATGTTCCTCAAGCATTATTTAAACAAGTTGATTCTAAGTTGCTTAATTTTATTTGGAGAAACAAACCTCATTATCTTAAAAAGGGTGTTTTGTGTAACCGGCGTAAGTATCCTCCCTCCCTAACTCAGCTCCTCCCAGCGGCGTAAGTCGTTGCGAGGGAGGAGAGAAGGCGTGGAGTGGGTTTTGCACAGCCGAGACCTGTTTTCACCAATCACATAAGCTCCTCTCCTTGCCTTTAAATCCGCCACCGGCGAGGCGTATTACTATTTTCGTGAAGTAGTCAGAGAGATCAAGAGATGTCTGAAGACAGTAATGCCACACAATGGCGACAGAAGGCAGCTCCTCAAAAAGTGTCACTGTAAACGCTGCACTGGGCGTCCTCCACACTCTCTCAAATGAGCACAGATGGATTTGGTGTGTGTAATGTTGGACCCACTGGTAAGAAAAACACCCTTTTCCACTAATTAAGACACTCACATTAAGTTGCATATATTCAAACCTCATGTGACAAAGGTGGGTTGTGCGCACAGATCACAACATAAACTCCAAAAATGGCATTAAAATCGGAACCATCTGTGCGTAAATGACGCATCGCGCTCTGTAGCCTGGATCTTTCTTTCATAGATGTTGGCATAAAATAAATTTGGCTCACAAAACTGAATATTATAATATCCGTATGTCGGCTTTAAGTAGATAACTTATCCGAGCACTGAAACAAATCATCTGTTCAGCTGCCGCTGCAGCAGGACGGAGAGAGGACACAGAGACGTGTCCAGGTCGAGCTGTGCGAGAAATAAGAGGAAGAGGAAGAAAGAAAAGGAGGGAGACGAATTACATATCTAGTTAACTTCATCATGTGTGTCTATTTACTACATATTTAATTTAATGCGGTTTCAGCTGTGTTGATTCGGTCAGGTTGTGTGTCCAAACGCGTTCATCAGATCAGATATAGATCAGAATATATCGATATAGATCTAAATGTATGTGCTAACTAAGGCTGCACGATATAGGAAAAAATTAATATTGCGATTTTTTTCAACCCTGCGATATACACTCACCGGCCACTTTATTAGGTACACCATGCTAGTAACAGGTTGGACCCCCTTTTGCCTTCAGAACTGCCTCAATTCTTCGTGGCATAGATTCAACAAGGTGCTGGAAGCATTCCTCAGAGAGCTTGGTCCATATTGACATGATGGCATCACACAGTTGCCGCAGATTTGTCGGCTGCACATCCATGATGCGAATCTCCCGTTCCACCACATCCCAAAGATGCTCTATTGGATTGAGATCTGGTGACTGTGGAGGCCATTTGAGTACAGTGAACTCATTGTCATGTTCAAGAAACCAGTCTGAGATGATTCCAGCTTTATGACATGGCGCATTATCCTGCTGAAAGTAGCCATCAGAAGTTGGGTACATTGTGGTCATAAAGGGATGGACATGGTCAGCAACAATACTCAGGTAGGCTGTGGCGTTGCAACGATGCTCAATTGGTACCAAGGGGCCCAAAGAGTGCCAAGAAAATATTCCCCACACCATGACACCACCACCACCAGCCTGAACCGTTGATACAAGGCAGGATGGATCCATGCTTTCATGTTGTTGACGCCAAATTCTGACCCTACCATCCGAATGTCGCAGCAGAAATCGAGACTCATCAGACCAGGCAACGTTTTTCCAATCTTCTATTGTCCAATTTCGATGAGCTTGTGCAAATTGTAGCCTCAGTTTCCTGTTCTTAGCTGAAAGGAGTGGCACCCGGCGTGGTCTTCTGCTGCTGTAGCCCATCTGCCTCAAAGTTCGACGTACTGTGCATTCAGAGATGCTCTTCTGCCTACCTTGGTTGTAACGGGTGGTTATTTGAGTCACTGTTGCCTTTCTATCAGCTCGAACCAGTCTGGCCATTCTCCTCTGACCTCTGGCATCAACAAGGCATTTCCGCCCACAGAACTGCCACTCACTGGATATTTTTTCTTTTTCGGACCATTCTCTGTAAACCCTAGAGATGGTTGTGCGTGAAAATCCCAGTAGATCAGCAGTTTCTGAAATACTCAGACCAGCCCTTCTGGCACCAACAACCATGCCACGTTCAAAGTCACTCAAATCACCTTTCTTCCCCATACTGATGCTCGGTTTGAACTGCAGGAGATTGTCTTGACCATGTCTACATGCCTAAATGCACTAAGTTGCCGCCATGTGATTGGCTGATTAGAAATTAAGTGTTAACGAGCAGTTGGACAGGTGTACCTAATAAAGTGGCCGGTGAGTGTATATTGCAATATTAAAAAAATAGAGGAATTTTCACCAGGTGACCTGAATAGCACTTAATGTTATGCTGCACTGCTGAAATCTTGAGGACAGTTAACCTGCTCTGTTCTTACCTCTTTTTGTAAATGTTAGTAGAATGGCTTTTGTCTGTCTCAGAGATATTTTTAGCTTTTATTGTTCTGGGCCGTTATTGTGGCGACAGATGAACACAGAACACGAGTTTTGGTCGACATTATCCATCTTGTAACCGAAATAATTCCAGATAACTGACTTTCCTTTTCTTTTTGGCAACAAGTCTTCATCTTCGGTGGTTTTCTCTGTGTGTTGCTCAGTTTGCGATCGTTGTTGTTGTTGTTAACGGGGTTGTGCTGAGAAACGCATGTCCTCCGAGAATTGCATGCACCTCACAAAACGCGCACTGCTTATAGTAGAGTGATCCACGGAAATGTACAATTTAAAACCCATACAGTTCTTATTTGTTGGGCTAAACAGTGATGAAGAATGTTCCGAAAGTAATTCTCAGCGGACACGTGTCTCACTCCATGTGCAGGGGTGGGTTTCCTCCTCTCTAGTGGTGTGTCGGTCTTGAACGAACGGATCAAAAGAACTAGTTCTTTTTGGTGAACGAAATGAACTAGTTCTTCCCCCCTAAATGACCCGTTCAGTCCGTTCAGTTCTTTTGATTGGCTGAAGAGGGACTATCTCCGTGCTTGCCTGTCTCGTCGCGCCTCGTTCTGTGTGTGGGTGGGGCTTAGAGAAGCAGCAGCAGTACTACTGAGCTGACTGAAAGACCGGGATGACCGAGTTCACTGAAAGAACGGGTCAAATGAACGAAAGACCGAGTTGAACGAAAAGACCGGGTTGAACGAAAGACCCAGACGGATGAACGAGTTGAACGAAAGACCCAGACGATGAACGAGTTGAACGAAAGACCCAGACGATGAACGAGTTGACTGAAAGACCGAGTGAACGAAAGACCCAGACGATGAACGAGTTGACTGAAAGACCGAGTGAACGAAAGACCCAGACGATGAACGAGTTGACTGAAAGACCGAGTGAACGAAAGATCCAGACCGATGAACGAGTTGACGGAAAGATCGAGTGAACGAAAGATCCAGACGGTGAACGAGTTGACTAAAAGACCGAGTTGACTGGCCGCCGCACGAGGCCCGACAGCCGAGCCCGAGCGAGCAGGACAGTCACACACACAAAAAGGCACACAGCTGCTGCTGCAGCCAGAGGCAGAGAGACAACTATTAATACGCATTTGCACTTTGACATTTTGTACTTTTTATTATTGTTTCTAATGCACCTCAAAATAATAAAGACCATTAAAAACCTTATATATTTTGTTACTCCTACTATAATTTTATATTACAAGGAGTGCAGCGCGATCGCAGCGTTGGACCGGGGGGGGGGGGGGGGTCGTAACGTCGGACCGGGGTGCTGAGACGCTCGCAACGTCGGATCCGGAGGGGTGTAATGCTTCAGATTTCAAGATCACATGTTGCGCTGTTGAGTCTGAAGTGCAGTCAGTCCGTTCGCTCATCACGTTCGTTCAGAACACCATGAACGAGCGGACTGACTAATGACCGATTGACCGAAATGAACGAAATGAACGGGTCTTTTTACTGAGCGACCCGGAACGATCCGGTTCACTGAAATGAACGGTTTTGCCCACCACTACTCCTCTCTGATTTTGATTGACAGCTGGCAGGATAGTCTGATTGGCAACTGAGTAAAGGACAAAGGTGATTGGTGGATCGCCGCACAGCACATGCAGAGTCACATGCAGTGTATCTCAGTCAGTTAATCTTGAAATTAAGTGAGTTCATTCACCTCCGACATCGCAGGCTCTGTGATGTGACTATCGCACACACGTACATCGCGATGACGATATTCAAACAATATATCGTGCAGGCCTAGTGCTAACTCAGATTATTAGTTGTTGATGATTATTTATTGCACTGAACTGTGCCTGACACTGTGGAAACCTGCCGGTGAGGCATCGGTGACGTATGCCGATACGCCGCCGGTCTACCAAAATACTACTAGACCAGCTGCGCTACGCCTGCGCTGAAAGCTGACCAGGTTTAAATCGGCAAGCTTTCAGTGCACTTTACACGCCACTGGGGAGCACAAAAATGTCACTGCACCCGCTGATTCTATCGACACCTCCCCCTACCACGCCACCACGCCCAGCTTGGTGGATCTCGGCTCGCCTCCGTGCGCCTCAGTCCACGAAAATACCAAACTGGCTGTACGCCGGGCTCCAACAGACGAAAATACAACTACGTGGGTTCCGCCACCCTCCGCCGCCTCACCGGCGTACACGAAAATAGAGCCCACTATGTTAAAGAATAAATGGCAAAAAAAAACTATATGCTTGGTAAGAAAAATTGTGGTATATTATTCCAAATTTGATATGTAAAAATGTTGGAGGTATTGATTTTCTATTGAAGTGTGACTTTGACCTGAACAAAATTCCCGCTCAGTTATCTAGTTTTCACAGACAAGTGTTTTTAGCATGGATGTTCGCCTACAAACACAACTTTTCTCCTCACAAATATTTAATTTGAATAACAGATATATCAAATACAAAAATAAATCTATTTATTTTGATGGCTGGGGGAAAAATGGTATCTTGATGGTGACACAATTGTTAAATAGAGATGGGAATTTATTGTCATACACAGAATTTTTAAGAAAATATGGGATTCCAGTTACTCCAAAGGAGTACGCTATTGTTTTTGATGAGATACCTTCAGGTATTTTGAGTCTTGTCCGGGGATGTGAGTCCTTAGATGGAGGTGTTCAGTTAACATCAGCTTCAATGCTGGGAGATTTAACCCTTATCGATAGGAAATGTTACAATTATTATATTAGGAGTCACTGTCAGGAAACATCAATTCCCTCCATTAAGTCTTTCTGGGAAGCAAAAATTCAAAGCATCAAATGGAAATTAGTATGGACTTTAAATAAAAAATACTGTGTCACCTAGTGCTGGGCGATAGGACGATAGATATCGTGGGCACGATAGAAAATGTCTATCGTGCCATTTTTATTTTTATCGTTTCGGGCGATAGGCTGTATTTTATCCATAGGGCTTGTGCCATCAGATGATTCATAGTAACAACAACAATAATTGCACATTCAGTAAGTGTATGTGGTGTCAAACGGAAAAGAAAACAATGTTTTCTTACAAAGAAAAGGATGCGTTGACATGTAGGCTCGCATTTCTCTTTAGATTTTGCGACATGACGCCCCTTTACGTGCCCTCTTCGTGTCCAGCGTCTCCCGCCGTTGCGGGTTACCTGGGTTACACACTTAAGGGAGCATTGTAAGCAGTGCTTAATTTGTGCCGGAGCAAGTCTGAGCGCGCTCCGGGACCTCTTTTGATCGGATTGGGGACCTATTTCAGCCGCTCCGGCACCTGTTTCATCTGCTCCGGGACCTTCCCTGTAGAGGATGACATTTTTCGGGAATTCCCGTGGGTCACGTGATTCCCGCGGGAATCCCACGGGATGGGAGTCATTTTAATAACCCCTTGATCGGGACGGGACGGGAAAAAAAAGCAACGGGAGTGGGCAGGAGCGGGAACAACATTAATAGATGATCATTTTCAGCCGTGTTAAACAACCAGATGAACAGGTGCGTCCATTTTTGTAGTCATCTCTCAGTGAGAGCCAACACTCTTGACCGCGCTAGCAACACAAAAGAACTACAACAGTGGTTTGACTTCCTGTCAGCTGGGAGCGCGGCTGCGCATTTCTACCCTTCAAGTCAGGAGCGAGGAAACGTGATTTTGTGACATTCTGTAGTTTTTCAATCATTTCTGGAGTCGTGGCGAATCAAATCACCTTACCTGTCTGCCCCTGATAGGCGAATAAAGCGCTCGGATTCATGCTCGGGTCTTGCTACGTGTTTCAAGAGTAAAGTAAACAATGATGGAGGCAGAGAGCAGCTTTGGAGGAGAAACATCTAGCAGTGTGAGCAACCTCTTCAAAAGAGCCCTAAAGACCTACCTTTTTAATAAAGCCTTTGGTTAGCTTTCCTCTATGCTTTTACTACCTTGCCTCTTACATTGCAACTCTATATTCTTTATTTTTTTTATTCTTTTTTGCGTTTTTTATGCCAAACTGTGACTGTCATTCTATTGCTTTTTTATTGTTGCTGCTCTCTTTTTTTTTTTGTAAATGTAAAGTGCATTACAAATTAAATTTATTATTATTATTATTATTATGGAGTGCTTTGGCTCACACTATCGGCGTTTTCTGTGAGTGTTGCATAACTTTGGGTGAGCACAGACATGAACGCACTTCAGCCACGTAGTTATTTATTAATTTTTCTAGTTTTAAGTGCTGGTCTTGTACTGGTACTGTACTAGTGCAGCTGTATACACTTAAATTTTTCATAGAACTGAAAGCATACCATTGCTATATCGTGATATATATCGTTATCGTGATATAAAATGATCCATATCGTGATATACATTTTTTTCCATATTGCCCAGCACTAGTGTCACCAATAAGATAGGAGAAGTCTCGTTAAAAAATGGTTCATAGGGTTTACCCAGTCAAAAATATATTGTCAAGATTTAGAGAAATGGATGAAATGTGTGTATTTTGTAATAGTGAACCAGAAACTGAGATTCATTTATTTTACAATTGTCCTTATGTTAAACAGTTCTGGATAGATATGGAAAGATTTGTGAAAGGCAGGATGGATTTTGTATTTTGTATTTTGAAAGAAGTTTTGAATGCAAGATGATTTTTATGTCAAAACTTTTTATATTATTTGGAAAATTTCATGTGCACAAATCAAAATGGTCTGGAAAAAAAACACGTTTTTGTAATTGTAATTTTGAAGTCTTTTGAGGTGCCCCTCACAACAGACTTTCTAATCAACATATCAGATTAATCATGAGGTCTAGACATCAAGAATCAACGTCTTGCAGGATACTCCAGGTGTGAAAGATCCCCACCACCACCCCAGGGGGGGTGGAGTGACAGTCCCCACAGAAAACAAAAGGTGCCAACATCAGAGCCCCATTCCTTGCCCTCTGAGAGGCGGTCTTCAAGCAAGCATAAATGTTCAGGTTTTACCCAGGTTCGGGGTCTTTCTGATTCTACCCGCTCGGATGCAGATCGACCTTTTCTTTGCAAAGGAATTAAAAACCTTGTCGGCCGGCAGAAGTCTCTATTTCATTATTCACCAGCAGCGACGGAAGGAGAAAAACTTCCACGACATTTTCAACAATATATAATGGAATTCAGACATTATATTGGGACACTGACAGGACTCAAGAAGAACCAAAAAGCAATCAAAACTGTGCAAATATGTGAAGCCTTAGGAATTATAAGATTTATTTTATGAACTTAACAGAGATACCCTGAATATTTTTCTGTCTCTTTGTAAATTACTGTACATTTGTAAATAGTGTGTGGTGTGCTGTGTATTATGTGTGTGGTGGAATTAAAAAAACAAAACAAACATTTCCACTCTGGGTGGGGGGGGGTTCACTTTGTTACTTTTTCATCTCCTGAAAACGCTGTTGCCGTCTAAACGGACCCCGCTAAACAAAACTAAATTTTTCTGTTTTCTATGGAGACCGTTTCCATCTAGAAGTGGCCTTAAGAGCCCTGTGAATGTAAACCTCCACGCACATAAAGACCGGGTATGAAGACAGGATCAGACTGACCCTCATCCTGTAAGATCAGACCCACCTTAAAGAAAGTCCATCTGAGAGATGAAGAACTTCCTTTAACAGGCACCACCACACACTAACACCGGAAGTGAGCAGATTGCTAACTACAGACATTTCCAGACATTTCCCTAAAAGTCCACTCGTTTTTTTTTTCTGTTGAAAAGATGTAATTCTCATATATTCTTTTTAAAATTCTGATACTCATGGCAAAGTAATGCTGATGTACCAAAGGCTGAATTATCTCCATGTTTGTGAAACTGAAGTAAAATTCTTCTAAATGCACCACAGCCTTATTTAAACAACTCTCCCCCACAACAGGTAACTTAACGATTTATTCTCATAATTTAATAATAATAATAATAATAAAAATACATTTTATTTGTAAAGCGCTTTTCAAAAACACAAAGACGCTGTACAGAGTTTAAGCAAAAACAGGGTTTTTCCTGCGTTCAAAATTGCGTGGCGGCCGCCTCCACCTAATTTTGTGCCGCCCCCAGCCAGAGCAATTGATTTCGCTCAACACAGCGTAAAGCTCCAGCTGTGTTGACTGAGCGTATGATGTCCCTCTGCAGCAGCAACGTATTTTAACTGCAGTTGCAGCGTTGCGACACTATAGAGGCGCTATATCAACAGCAGTGCACCGGAAAGACCTGAAGCATCTACCGAAGAAGAAACGGATCGAATCATGTTTTTTCAAGTTTTTTTTCCCGCTAGTTGGTGCTATCGGCGTCCTGATTTTCCCTGGCGGATGGTACAAACAGGTAAATACTGCTTGTCTTTTTTTGCATCCAAGCATGACGTGTTTATTTAAAAAAAAAAAAAAAGTTTCCTCCGTTTTTTAGCGTTGCAGATATGACAGGCAAAATCAGCCAGTACTTTAAAAAGCGACCTCGCGAGGAGGAAAGTCAAGAGTCCAGGTGAAACACAGCAGAGAAAAAACGTAACAGGCAGTTAAAATGCTATAATTCATGGTGGTGACAGCGTGGAAATTTGTGTCAGGTCTGAAAGTACTTCACAAGGGACTGGTGATCGCGAGGGTCAGAATGCAGGACAGGACGAGTCGGCGAGGCGAGGGTAATTAATTAATTAGTTTCCAATTAGGAGCATAACAACGCAAAGCCAACGTGTACGGGGTTTTTATACCTCTTTCCAGATCTTTTCATAAACACAGAGCCAGTGGCTTTGACAAGCAGTGGCTCAATCAATTTACCTGGCTCAGGCATACTGAGGAAGGCATGCACTGCTTTTTATGCGAAAAGCACTGTGCCCCAACACAGCAGCCATTGCTGTTTTTGAGGAGGAAGTAGGCTGTTTTAGTGATTTGCTTTATGTGGTGGGTGAAGGAGAGGTTGCTGTCGAAGAGAATGCCAAGGTTGCGACAGTGGGAGGAGGGGGAGAGGGTGGAGTTGTTGATGGAGAGATGAAAGTTTGTGACTGTGGAGGTGAGGGAGTTTGGGCCAATGATGATGAGATCTGTTTTGTCATAACTGAGCTTGAGAAGATTGCTGTCCATCCAGTGTTTGATGTCAGAGAGGCAGTTTGAGAGGGAGCGTTGGGTCTGGGGGTTGATGGAGTTGGAAGAGATATATAATTGAATGTCATCAGCGTAGCAGTGGAAGTGGAGGTTGTGTTGACGGCGGATGTGGCCAAGAGGGAGGAGGTAGATGATGAAGAGGAGGGGACCAAGCACCGAGCCCTGGGGGACACCTTGGGACACGGGGGCGGTTGTGGAGGAGCAGTTGTTAATATGGATGAAGTGATTCCGGTTTGTGAGATATGAATGGATCCAGTTAAGAGCGGTGTCTGTGATATTGAGGAGGGAGTGTAGGCGGGACAGAAGGATGGCATGGTCGATGGTGTCGAAAGCAGCGGAGAGGTCGAGGAGGATGAGGGTGGAGAGTTGGCCAGAGTCAGCAGAAATGAGGAGGTCGTTTGTGACTTTGATGAGGGCAGTTTCGGTGCTGTGGTGGGTGCGGAATCCTGATTGAAACTGTTCGTAAAGGTTGTTATTGTTGAGGTGGGTTTTGATTTGTGATGCGATGACACGTTCGAGGATTTTTGACAGGAAAGGGAGGTTAGAGATGGGCCGGAAGTTACTGATGTCGTCGGGGTTGAGTCCGGGTTTTCTGAGGATGGGGATGACAGCGGCCAGTTTGAGTGACGGGGGAACAGTGGCGGAGTTGAGGGAGGAGTTGATGATCTGTGTTATGATGGGGGAGATGACGGGGAGGCAGTGTTTGATGAGGGAGGATGGGATGGGATCCAGGATACAGGTGGATGAAGACATGGAGCAGATGATATTAGTCACGTCGGTTAAGGAGACAGGTGAGAAGCAGGAGAGAGCTGATGGGATGAGGGGAGGAGGGGAGGAGCGGGGAATGGAGGGTGGGGGAAGGGAGTTATAGATTGCGTTGATTTTGGATTGAAAAGAGGAGAGGAATGTGTTGCATTTTTCCGGGGTGAAGGTGATGGAGGTACTGTCTATGGGGTGGAGCAGTTTTTTGACGGTGGAGAAAAGTTTGGTTACTGGAGCCGGAGTGGATGAGGTTGGAGTAATAGGATGAGCGGTCGGATTTGAGGGCTGTTCTGTATAGGTGGAGGTGGTGGGTGTAGGCTTGGAGATGGACGGTGAGGCCGGTTTTGCGGTATAGACGTTCCAGTTGGCGTTTATGGGATTTCATTTTGTGTAGTTCTGAAGTATACCAGGGGGCAGAGTGTCTGAATGAAACTGTTTTTGTTTTGAGAGGTGTGAGCTGGTCCAGGCAGGAGGATAGAGGCTTGGAGATGGACGGTGAGGCCGGTTTTGCGGTATAGACGTTCCAGTTGGCGTTTATGGGATTTCATTTTGTGTAGTTCTGAAGTATACCAGGGGGCAGAGTGTCTGAATGAAACTGTTTTTGTTTTGAGAGGTGCGAGCTGGTCCAGGCAGGAGGATAGAGTGTTACTGTAGTAGTTGAGTAGGTCAGGAAGTTTAGCAGATGGTGAGGGAGGGGATGCAGTGAGGGTGGCAGATAGGGAAGCGGATAGGTCCTGTGGTGAGATGGATTTGAGGTTTCTAAAGGTAATTAGTCGTTTTTTACTGTGAGGCGGGGGGGGGGGGGGGGTTGGTGGTGGAGAGATGGTGGATGGAGATGCCGGTGGAGCAGACGAGGTCGAGGGTGTGGCCATGGGAGTGGGTGGGGGAGTGCACATGCTGGGTGAGATTGAGGGTGTCGAGCAGATCCAGGAAATCGGATGCTTGTTTGCAGGTGGGGTTGTCAATGTGAAAGTTGAAGTCTCCAAGCAGCAGGACAGAGGATGAGATGGTGTTTAGGTGGGTGACAAAGTCAGAGAAATCAGAGAGGAATGATGGGTGGGGCTTTGGGGGGCGGTAGATAGTGACAATGACCAGAGGGGTGGGGCCGGGGAGTTTGACAGAGATATTTTCAAATGAGTGGACGGACAGGGTGGGAGACAGGGGTGGTCTTGAGGGTTTGTTTGTGAATGACTGCGACGCCTCCGCCTCGTCCAGTGAGGCGGGGTTGGTGCAGGTAGGAGTAACCGGGGGGGTTGGCTTGGTTGAGTGGAAAGAGGTCGAGATGGTTGTGCCAGGTTTCAGTTAGATAGAGGAAGTCCAGGTTTTTGTCTGTTATGAAGTCAGCTAGGATGAGTCCTTTGTTATTGAGGGAGCGGGTGTTTTGAAGGACCATCTTCAGGGGAGGGGGCTGTGGGGTGGGCAGTGAGGCAGGGGGAAGGCAGCAGAGATTTGTTTGATTTCTTGTCCTTCTTTTTAGATGCATGGGATTTGAGCGGGAGGGTCCAGTAGTTGTAATTGTTTGAATTGTTTGCAATTGTTTGCAAGGAGAGTCTATGGTTGGAGGGTGTAGTAGCTGTTTGGACCAGGAGGGGGAGCTTGATGTGGTGGGGGCGATGGGGTTGGTGTGCAGTACCAGTTGGGGCCTGTTGGGGGAGCCGGTGGTGGGGGTGGTGAGGGCGAGGGTTCCGGAGGGGGGCCTCTGGGGGGCGCTGTTTCCAGGTGGGGTAGTGGGAGAGGATGACAGGGAGTGTGTAAACAATGATAGTCAGTTGGTGTGTATGTGGTGTTGGACTTTAATGACTTTATTCTCATAAATTAATGACTTTATTCTCATTAATTAATGACTTTGTTCTCATGAAAAAATGACTTTAATCTCATTAATTAATAACTTTTTCTCAATAATGATGTTTTCTCATAAATCAATGACTTTTTCTCATAAATGAATGACTTTTTTCTCATGAATAGCAACTTTTTTCTCATAAATTGATAACTTTATTCTCATAAATTAATGACTTTATACTAATTAATTAATGAACTTCATTCTCATGAATTTATTACTTTAATCTCATAAATAAATGACTTTATTCTTATGAATGACTTTATTCCCATAAATTATTGACTTTAATCTCATAGATTAATGACGTTGATATCATGAATAAATGACTTTATTCTCATAAATCAATTACTTTAATCTCATCATTCAATTTCTTTTTTCACATAAATTAATGACTTATGTTTCACAAATAATGAATTTTTTCTTGTGAATAATGACTATAATCTTATGAATTAATGACTATCATCTCATGAATTAATGACTATAATCTCATAAATGAATGACTTTAATCTCATTTATTTAATGATTTTTTTTCTAATAAATTAATGACTTTAGTCTAATGAAAAATCACTTTTTCTTATAAATTAATAATTTTTTATCATAAATAAATGACTTTTTTCTCATAAATTAATGACTCTAAATTCATAAAATAATTACCTTAATCTCATAATTTAATTACTTTTTTCTCAGAAATTAATGATTTACGTCTCATAAATATTAATTTTTTCTTATGAATATTGACTTTAATCTCATGAATTAATGACTATAATCTCCTTAATTTTAAAAGTTATTAGGGGGTTCATGTTTGCTATGATTGACACATGATACAGCCTATGGGCATTCAGGGATTGCGTAGCTCTCCCAGGGGGATACGCTGTTTGAGCCAAGCGTCATCACAGTGACTCTCTGCGACTGCGCGGCCGAATGCGCGCATTGCTACTACACAACGCTGTTTCAGGAAATGAAGAACCAAGTTGTCCAAAGTATATACAGTGTATGCTTAAGTCTCATGAAAAATCACTTTTTTTCTTTTAAATTACTAATTTTTTAATCATAAATGAATAAATTTACTCTCATAAATTAATGACTTTGTTTCTCATGAATTAATGTCTCTATTCTCATGAATAAATGTCCCACACACACACACACACACACACACACACACACACACACACACACACACACACGGAGCATCGCATCCATTCGGGCCAAAGTGATCCAATCCGAGAACTGGACCTGCTTTTGTATCTGGTCTTTCTGAACCGAACCTGCCCGAGTCATTTTAGACCACCTACTGAAAACAGACCAGTCCCCAAACGTGCTACTGGACGATAAACGATCGATTAACGGTCGGTTAATTACGTTTCCCACGTCACATCTGTCGTACTGAAACCTTAGATGACGTCACAATAGTGACCAAAAACCGATCAGATTTGTTGATCCGGACCGGACTGACCCCGGTCTGACCCGGTAACCGGCTCCACGCGCCCATTTAACGGTCATTTAGTCGGTTAGCATGCTAACGCTAGCAGCTGTTGCTCAGTTCGAGAGCTGGTCCGGGCTCCCGACAGTGATTCGGACCCACAGACAGCCAGAGATCCGGTTCGGTCAGCACGTACGGACACTCACCAGAACCACCAGACAGTCGGTGCTGACGGACGGTAAACCCCAGTCTCCTTCCCAGCAAAACAACTCGTCGGGCGCCGCCATCTTTAGCCGGCAACTCTGAACCTTCACTCCGGAAGTGGAGCTTGAGCGTTTCCGTTTTTAACAGAAAATAAAAGTCTTCAGGGGCTTCATTTATCAACCGTGCGTACGCACAGATGTGTGCGTAGTGAGTGCATACGAACATTCCCGCGCAAAGTATGGAATTTATCAACCTTTACTTGTGCTTAGGAACGTGCGTAAATTCAGGCACATCTCTGACCATGCGTACACACAAAATCTAGTGGTAGAACAGTGGAACTACAAATAGAACCCATGTAAAGAGTCACAGTGTTCAGCAATCTCAAACTTCACACGTTTCCTGTTGCCTCTGTATAAAATTTAACTAATTAGTTATTTAGCAGACATTTTGAATGTGACAGGACAACCTCAAAGAAGTCTTCCAATTACTGATACAAATATCATCTTATTTTGCGCTATTGGAGGACTTGGAGAACTGTATGCTCCACAGGGAGCGCGTTTTCTAAGACCATGCTGATCTGTTAAGTGAGATCATAGAGTGGCTTCTCAGCAGGTACCGCTTCCCCAAAATATTTTAATGGATTTACGCCATGATTTACTACCCATGCTGGAGCGAGAGACAAAACGCACCAAAGCCATCCCAGTGCACATCCAGCTCCTGTCCACCCTGGGATTTTTGGCCACCGGAACATTTCAGGGTGAGATTGGAGACATGTACGGCATCTCGCAGACAACGCTAAGCAGTCATGCCGGCACAGTTGAATTTCTCTGGCCTCAATTTACATCCAGTTCCCAAACACACATCACCAACAAGCTGAAATAAAACGAGCCGGATTGGAGCCATAGATTTCACCACATCGCAATAGAAGCACCTTTACACAATAAATTCAGTTTTGTCAACAGGAAAAGATTTTATTCAATCATTCCACAAATAATCTGTGATGCACATTTGTTTCTGTTAAACCAGTGCCCAGTGGACTGGAGGAGTGCATGACTCATTCATTCTGCAGAACAGCTCTGTGAGTGTGCACCTCCATGATTTCGGTGAGAGGAAAAAATTCATTCACACATTTTAAAGGGATTGTTGATACCATATATGGTCAGTTGGAGGCGTTTCTGAATGCAAATGACCCTAACAATGCATGAGCACGGTAGTAAAGAACAGGTGGGATCTATCATCACCGATTACTTACGTGTGTGCGTACGACCAGTATCCGCATGTTTGATAAATGCTGATTTTTTTGTTCTAAATTTCATTCCCACGCCAGAATTTAGAGCCTTTTCTACGCGTTTAATAAATGAGTCCCCAGGAGAGGATGAACAGGAACAAGTTAAAATGGTCTCCTTACTTTTTAAAATATGAATCAAATTTATTTTCGAGAGAATTTAAACCCTACAAAACTTCATGTAAATGTAAAAAAAAACTCTGAAAGTTCAACCTTAAAATAAATTTTGTTAATTAAAATCTTTAGATTAAACTCTACAATAAACTCCATAAATTAAACTGTAATTTAATCTGTATAATTTAAACTATATACTTAAACTCTGTAAATTAATATCTATGATAAACTCTATAAATTAAACTTCATAAATTAAACTCGGACATATCTTCTTACACTCATTCTTCAGCTGTATCAGCTGCTTTTGAAGATTGTATTGTGCTCTTGTGCTCTAAAGGTGAATTACGCATTAATGCATATATATATATATATATATGGTTAGAGGTTACTTAAGTGTAAAAAACTTTATTTCTTTTTAGTTTTCCTCTTTATTTCATCACCTCTCATTTATTCTAGTTTACCTTTTTAGCTCCACCTGATGTTTCAACATCTCCATCTTCACTAGCAGACAATAAAAACAGACCCATGACACAGACAATGTTTTGACTGTGATGTGGTCGAAGTTTATCATCTTTGGTGAATCAATGTGAACAATACCGTTCATGTTGTTCACAGCATTTGAGAAGATAAGGTGAAGGAGAAGGTCGCTGTGATACTGAAACTATGCAAGGACAGCAGACACATAACGAATAGGATGAAACCAAGTGCAGCTGTGAAGCTCATTTAAAAATTGAGGAGAATCAGCTTTGTGTATTTTGTGTGCAAGACTCAAATTTACCTTTATTATATATCCAGTATTATATTTATTATTTTAAATTCATTTTTCATAGATATATATATATATATTATTGTGTCATTGAAAAGAGATTTCTCTATCACTCTGTGTAATTCGTGTGATGTTTCTTCACATCAGGAGCGTTTACTTGAGATCTCCAAAACCAGCTGGAAAAAATTCAATATAAGGTGAAAACACAGTAAACATGATGGTGTGAAGATTGTCTGCTCCGGGCCTCTGTAGTATTGTAATCTGTGGGTGTTTGTAGACCAGCAGAGGACAGTAAAACAGGAAGTGTCCTTTTTCTCCAGACTGAGGGCTCTATTTTCGTGTACGCCGGTGAGGCGGCGGAGGGTGGCAAACCCTGCGCAGTTGTATTTTCGTCTGGCGGAGCCCGGCGTACAGCCAGTTTGGTATTTTCGTGGACTGAGGCGCACGGAGGTGAACCGAGATCCGCCAAGATGGGCATGGTGGCATGGCAGAGGGAGGTGTCGACAGAATCAGCGGGCGCAGTGACATTTGCCAGTGGCGTGTAAAGTGCGCTGAAAGCTCGCCGATTTAAACCTGGTCAGCTTTCAGCGCAGGTGGAGCACAGTTGGTCTAGAGGTATTTTGGTAGACCGGCAGCGAAACGCAGGTTTCCACAGTGTCAGGCACATTTCAGTGCAATAAATAATCATCAACAACTAATAATCTGAGTCAGCACATACATTATATCCCTACAGTATATATTCTGATCTATATCTGATCTGATGAGCGCGTTTGGCATGCGTTTGGACACACAACCTGACCGAATCAACACAGCTGAAACCGCATTAAATTAAATTAAATATCTAGTAAATAGACACACATGATGAAGTTAACAAGATATTTAATTTGTCTCCCTCCTTTTCTTTCTTTCTCTTCCTCTTATTTCTCACACAGCTCGACCTGGACATGTCTCCGGGTCCTCTCTCCGTCCTGCTGCGGCTGAACAGATGATTTGTTTCAGTGCTCAGATGAGATATTTACTTTACGCCTACATACAGATATTATAATATTCAGTTTTGTGAGCCAAATTTATTTTATATGCCAACATCTATAAAAGAAAGAGCCAGGCCACGGAGCGCGATGCTTCATGAATGCAGAGATGGTTCCGATTTTAATGCCATTTTTGGAGTTTATGTTGTGATCTGTGCACTCAAACCAGTACGCTTTGTCACGTGAGGTTTGAATACATGCAACTTTATGTGAGTGTCTTTATTTGTGGGAAAAGGTGTTTGTCTTACCAGTGAGTCCAACATTACACACACCAAATCCATCTGTGCTCATATGAGAGAGTGTGGAGGACGCCCAATGCAGCATTTACAGTGACACTTGTTGTGGAGCTGCTTTATGTCGCCATCTTGTGGCATTACTGTCTTTAGACATCTCTTGATCTCTTTGACTACTTCACGAAAACAGTAATACGCCTCGCCTGTGGGGGATTTAAAGGCAAGGAGAGGAGCTTATGTGATTGGAGAAAACAGGTCTTGACTGTGTTAAATCCACTCTACGCCCTCTCTCCTCCCTCTCTACGACTTACGCCGCTGGGAGGAGCTGAGTTAGGGAGGGGGGATACTTACGCCGGGCTGCGCTGCTCACCAAAATACCAAATTGTGCTTGGGAACGCCTTATCGGCGCGGCGGACCTGACTTACGCTGCGCCTGCGGCACGCCTCCAGCGAGGCACGAAAATAGAGCCCTGAGTCTCTCTCCATCTCTCTGATTTCTGCACCGACACTAACTCCTCCATGTTTCAGTCTGAAAGAGGAGTCCACACTCGTCCTCTAAAAAAAAAAAGGACGGAGACGAGGTTCAAACAGGAGGACATTATTCTCTATTGATTATTCTCTTTAATACTGACCATATTATTCTGTTATTAATAAACCTGACCTGAGGACGTCCTCAGACACGAACCCTCAGCCAATGTCCATTCAGCAGTCCTGTCTGTAACATCTTTGGTCTAGTTTGGTCCTCCTGATCCTCCTCAGAGTGACCCCTCAGCTCTGAGATGTGGTCCCCTCAGATCCCAAGTCCTGCAGAGTCTTTTTAGTTGGACTCACGGTCGTCTGGACCTTCTTACAGAGAAACCCCTCCTGTAGACTTAGTATTTTAGCAGACTATTTAAAGCCAACCGTCTCAAATTTGGGTTTTAAGATGGACAGTGATTTTAAATTCGACAGGCAAATTAGCTCAGCAGTGAGATCCAGCTTTTATCATATTATACAGCTGGCTAAAGCAAAGCCTTTCCTTTCACATAAACAGTTTGAAACAGTAATCCATGCCTTTGTTGCATCTCAGCTGGATTACTGTAACGCACTTCACTTTGGAGTCAGCCAGTCCTCCCTCTCACGTCTCCAGTTAGTACAAAATGCAGCCGCCTGGCTCTTAACTGTAGTACGTGAGAGGAAGCACATTCCTTCCACCCTGGCCTCCCTCCACTGGTTACCTGTGCATTTTAGAGTTCATTTTAAGATTCTTTTATTGGTTTTTAAATCTTTCAATGGTCTGGCTCCATCTTACCTCCCTGAGCTTCTCCACCCTACACCCCTGCTTGGTGCCTCAGGTTGGCTGATCAGCAGCTCCTGGAGGTACCGAGGTCCAAACTGAAGCTCAGAGGGGATAGATCAAATTATGAAACGAGGTACCCCTCCAAATTAGACAAACCCCCCCACACTGTCCATTTTTAAAACTCGTCTTAAAACCCATTTTTATTCATTGGCTTTCAACCCTGCATGAGACTCGGCTCCTGTTTTCGTGTTTTATGGTTTGTTTTTAGTTATTTGTTTCTATGTTTTTAAATTAGTTTTTAAAAACACTGAAATTACATTTTACTTTTTAATATCTACTTTTATTTTATCCATTGTTTTAATATTTTTTGATTGTTTTTTATGTCTGCATTGTTTTATTTATGTACAGCACTTTGTTCAGCTGTGGTTGTTTTAAAGTGCTTTACAAATAAAGTTGAGTTGAGAAGAACGAAGGTCAGATGGAGACGAGCGTTAGTTCAGTTTTCGTCTTTACTGTTTAAGTCTCCAAAGGTCTCTGGGTTCCTCTAAAGTTCTCTCTGTCTGCAACTTGGACAGGAGTCGGTCCTGTTCTTCTGACGAAAGTGGAAAACTTTCAGACAAACCTCAGTCACCACTTCCCCGAGTGTCAACATGAGTGTAATCTGTCTCACTTCCTCTTTTCCTCCACTAACCGCTGAAATATGAGCTCTCTCTGTTTCTCCTTTTTAGTCCGTCTTGCTAAACGTCACCAAGCCGAGCTTTAGGAGCGCACAAAAACAGAAGTAGAAGAGTCTTTTTTTGCATGTCCCTCTTTTAGATCCTTTTTATGATTGTGTCTCTAAAATTGACCACAGCAGCTCTCTGACAACCCAATCAATCAAACCTTTATTTAGAAAAGATCAGATTTGAGCTGAGAGAGAACAGCCCCAACAAACACAACAACAAGAATTTTAATTCCACAGAGCGCCCCCTCCAGGTCACAGAACTCCAGCTGTGATTGTTCATGAATATGAGCCAAAGCACAAAGAAATATGTCCACACAATAAGAGTTTTTTTTTAAACTCTACAAAGTCCATCCTCTTGGATAAATAAGCCTGAGATATTAAAGGGATATTCTGGCGTAAAATTAATTTAGGGTCAAACACACCGTAACACCGAGTTAGACACCCCCTCTAGAGATGAATGTTGCTGACCGCTTGCTTCTCTAGTTATACCAACTTTAGTAACAATCGCAGGATAGCAATACACAGTGGTCTGAGGAGCCATAAACAAACCTCAACCAATTCGCTACTCTATAGCCACAAATAATGTTCAGAACAGCACCTAACTTCATCAATAGTACATATAGGGTCCCAGCCATAGCACTACATTCAGAGTTGTTCTAACTCCCAAGAAAAGATACACTTAAGCAGGGGTGTTTCTTCACTTTTGTAGTCTATAAGCTGGGCCAAGAAACTTCTACTGTAGGTATGAAGATATGTGCTGTCAAGTTGGTATATTTGAACAAGAGCACAGTGAAGTTAAATCAGCAAATTTTCAAATGAGGTTCTGTTACTGAACGGAACTACACCATGTTTTACGAAGGTTAGTACCAGTGGCGGCTGCTGGTCTTTCAAGGAGGGGAAGCTCATTTTTCTGGCCTACATCATAATTGTGTTTGTTTATTTGTATGTAACAGAACAGAGACGCCAAACACAATGGCAGTCGTTTTAACAAAGGCAAAAGTCGCTGAGGATCGGTAAAGTCTCCGGAGCAGTTAAGAACAATGGAATGAATAACCTGGAAAATGCTCTGGTAGATGTTTTATTCTTCAAGATCGCTGATTCGCTTGTTTAGCTGTCAATCAAAAAAGGATCTCGCCTCAGACAGCTCATCCAATCATGGATGCAGAAGCTCAGCGTCCGCGAGAAAGTTGGGACCGCCCTCTCGTCATAGAACTCCAGAGAAGCTGAGCGTCCGATGGGCGGGACAAAGCCCAGCATTTATCCAATGAGCGTCTAGTTTCCCTGCTGGAACAACCCACTTTGAGCTTCCACATTGAAGTCAGCAGACTCTGAGCGTCCGGCTGTGTGAAGCGCTGAGGCGCTGTGAGGATGAATGAGAACGAAGTTATGCCGGTTACCTGTGATTATCAGCTTCTTATCACAGTGTGATAAGAAGCTGATTCTGAACAAAAGATGAAGGCTATCTAGCGCGTATTTAGTTAATGAAATGTACACACAGCAGTATGTATTTCACCACTTTTTCTTTTTTTGGGGGATTGACATTTTAAGGGAAGCTGAGCTTCCCTTGCAGTCTTAGAGCAATCGCCACTGGTTAGTACATATAGGGTCCCAGCCACTGCACTACCCAAACAGACTAAACACAACTCATCTACTCTCTTCCAGCAGACGCTTGTTTGTAGCAAGCCCTCAGGCCAGTCCATTACGGACTACAGCAGGGTGACGCAGCTCAAGGAAGAACATTTATGATTATTACTTCATGGAATTACAATCAATTACAATGTCTGTACAATGATGAATATGGTGATTATTACTTCAAGGAAATGATAAAGAAATTATCATAAATGTTCTTCCTTGAGCTGCGTCAGAAGGTTTGTGTTCTCATTCAACGCAAGGTTATTATTTTTAAATCAAAATGGCTGCTGTAGCTTGAACATCTGCGGCTGGTCTCAGATTGTCTCATTAAATGGTTCATTTGTGATTAATATGACAGGCTGATTTACTCCTATTTTGGATGTGAAAGAGATCCAGTGAACTAAGAAGTGTTGAAGTTAGCACTTTTACTCTCTGTAATGGCTGGAACCGAGGTGTCTCTACAAACAATCTGGGACGCCATTGAACGCAACACAGGGGATCTAAAGACTCATTTTGACACAAAATTTGAGTCAATCCATCATGTTCTGCACAAAATACAACGATCTTCATCCACACTGGGTGATCAAGTGTCTGAGCTTGAACAAAGAGTAGGCTCAAATAAGGATAATATCAAGGATATGACTAAACGGGTGCTAAGGATATGATGACTTTCTTGAAGCAACTTATCCCACAACTTTTAGGTAAAAGTTGTGGGTAAATGTTCTTCCTTGAGCTGGGTCACCCCGCTGTAGTTCGTGATCCCCAATTTTCACATACGGAATGGCTACAAAAAGGTTGTATCCTCCGATCGTAGCTGATTGTAACCATTCAAGTTAATGTGTCAATTTCCACCGGCTTCTTTCCGTTCCACTGCAGATCACCAGACTCTGCAGCTGATCGCAACAGTTCTATTTTTTCAGGACACCGGAGCATGCCGGATAAATTTAGCACTGATTAACCCGTGCTGGAAAGGAAGTCAGGCACAGACACAAAATAAAACATCCTGCTTCTTTTCAAAATAAAACACTCTGTGTTTCAGGAGGATCGTATTTCACACCATGCAAATGGGCGGAGACGAACAAGTGAAAAGTTTTCAGACGTCATTTCACCCCAATGACACCATGGATGAGGAGATGCTGATTTTAGTCAGTCTAGAAGTAGATTTCCTCCTCTGGAAGGACACAATCTACTGCTTATGTGTCTATGTGTCTGTCTTTATAGAGACAACTTGTTATCGCGCGATTGCACATGAATCTGCGGGTTCTTGTGAGTCCTCACAATTAGCGCTGTCTGTAATCCGCCACGAAATCTGTCTCACAAACGGATCCAATAGGAATTGACGTACGGTGAGAATCGCCGTACGTCAATTCGTGTGGAGGAAATCCCAGGTAATGGACTGGCCTGAGGTCTCACTATTAACAAGTGTCTGCTGGAAGAGAGTAGGTGAGTTGTGTTCAGTCTCTTTACTGAAGAAATTAGTCAAAGTTAAAAAGATGTTTGGTGGCTAGTAGTGGTGCAACGGATCATCATTGATCCGTGATCCGTTCGGATCGACGTCATCGGTTCGGCACACACGTTACCCGCGGTTCGATTTCTGAAAAAAAAAATTTGGCTTCCCTGTCAACTATGATGAGGAAGGAAAGAGGTCAGTGGACAAAACTGCGAAGGTGTGTAGGCACTGTGGCATAAGAAAGCCATATGACAGTGGAAACACATCGAGCATGTTCACGCATTTGAAAGCGACATTACCCGGGTGTTTTAATGACAGGTGTTGTGCCGTAGACTGCACCCCTGCCGTAGAACGCACCCCTGCATCCCCTCCACTCGTTAGCTTCTTAAAGTGGAGATAATGATCTCATATTTAAAGAAACATGAGTATTAGATCATGACAACATGTCAAATGGAGCAGCAAACTTTCATTTTCTTTTTATGTGTCTCAAAAATGCAAATATAGAGGTGTACTTGGGTATAAACTGTACAGAAAGCTGTCCAGGTAGAGAGCATTATATTTTCGGGACAGCAATATTCCAAGGGCTGTTGTTTTTGGCTTCTTTGAATAGCCTGAATGAAATTATTACAGGCAAACGCTTTTGAATCCATCCAATGTAAGAAAAACTTGGATTATTTCGCCTCGTTATGTACTTTAAACCGCGCTCCCGTCAGGGGGTGCATTCTACGGCAGGGGTGCATTCTATGTCACAACACCTGAGATAAAACGAAAGCTGGCCAGCAACCGCTCATCACCGCAGCATTTAAGCAGCCTCTTCCTGCGCAATCTGACCGGGTTAAAGCTATCACAAACGCTATCGGTGTGTTTATAGCTACAGACATGAGGCCATATTCAGTTGTGCAAACGAGGGCTTTAAAAACATGCTGAAAGTGCTTGAGCCACGTTACAATATCCCACCGCGCACATACTTCATTTTTGGTTCATTGTTACATTTTAAAGGAAGGAGATATGCCTATATATTGCACTTTAAGTTGTTTTTCATTAATAATTATGTTGAAAAGAAGATATTATGCCGTATGCACTACTTTTATATATTTTAATTCAACCATTTAAGTGTTTAATATACAGACAAAACTGCTTTTTGCTGATCCGAAAAATGATCCGATCCGTGACTCTTGATCCGAGGAACGATCCGATCCGTGAGTGTTGTGATCCGTTGCACCACTAGTGGCTAGTACTATGGCTGGGACCCTATATGTACTGTTGATGAAGTTAGGTGCTGTTCTGAGCATTATTTGTGGCTATAGAGTGGCGTTTTGGTTGAGGTTTGTTTATGGCTCCTCAGACCACTGTGTATTGCAATCCTGCGGTCGTTACTCAAGTTGGTATAACTAGAGAAGCAAGTGGTCGGTAACATTCATCTCTGGAGGGGTTGTCTAACGCAGTGTTACGGTGTGTTTGACTCAAACCTAATTCTATCCCTTTAAAGATTCCCTATGCAACTCCTGCTGAAGATGGACTCACAGATCATCTCTGACCCTGAGACCCAGAGTCCTGGGGATGAGCTTTAGCCTCTGCTGGTCACCGAGCTGTAAATAACGGGGTCCTCCATGGGCGCCACTCCTCTGAGAACAGAAGGTTACAGACAGGAAGAGGGTCAGTCTCTGCTGAACCGTTACCATGAACATGTCAGGTCTGATGTGAAGCGGGCTCCTCAGGCCCAGGTGTGCGGATTCGTTCTCACCTGTCTTGTTTCTTGTGTTGGAACTGCACAGAAGTGTAACTGACATCCTCCACAGCTCGGCTCGGTCCCTGGACTCGACTCCTTCTCTGAGGGTTAGAGGTCAGCAGGACGTTACTGTAGATGGTCTCGGGATCCTGAAAATCAACGAAGAAGAAAACAAACAAAGACATGAGGACAGGTGGGGACAGAGGAGGACGCCACAGTGAGGACTTTAACGCACCTTTCTCTGCACCTGCCCCCCCACAGCGCTCTGGTTCCTGTCTGAGGACCGTTTTCTGAAAGGAGAAGAGATGGACAAGAAGATCAGGGGGGTATGCCACGAAGCTGGCTGGGCTAAGCGGCCACTTTAATCTTAGCTGCGACTCGTTCCGCTAACGAGACTCAGCTGTTTTTCAGAGACGCTTATTCTAGCCAAGCTTATCCAAGCCGAGGCTATGCGTGCCTCCGCATTACATAAAAAGCCCCAACGTATCGATTGTCGAAATGATGAGATCATGGGAAAAAAAGGGCAGAGCGGAGTCTTTCTCAGTGGCAGAGCAAACACTCCTCATGGAGTTGTACGAAGAGTACAAGGGAAAAATTCAAAAGAAGGGCAACACTGTTGCCATTGTGAAAGCCAGGGAGAAGGCATGGTTAAGTCTCGCGGACCGTTTAAATTCGTAAGTTATAGCCGACAAATATTTTACAACCGATGCATGTCTCGATGCAGTCAGCCTGCTTGACTGTCTAATGTTATTCCTCACTTCTGTGTATGTACTGTAAACACTTTTTTTTTAAAAAACTTTTCATCTCATGTATGTGCAGCTCACTCATACAGTCTGTCAGCCTCTGTGCAGCACCTTCGCAGCAAGCAGGGGTGCCTACAGCAGCAGGGGGCGCCAATTTGACAAGAGTTAATACAAAACCGATTTGCGGTGCAGATTTATTATTATTATTACCTTTTTTTTCTTTTTTGGAAATGCTCGTGCCGCCCCCCCATGAGTCATGACACAAATGCCGCCCTGGGCGGCTGCCCGGTTCGCCCGTGCCAAGAACCGCTACTGCACTGTAGGCATAATTCATGTTCTTGATTTGACAAATAGATATCCATAATGGATTAGTATAGCAGCTACAGGTAAGACCTAAAACCAAAGTAGACAAACTTTGACAAAAAGTGAAGAAAAACATGTACCTGGAGATGTCTTTTTTTATTTTAAATTTTTTTTTTGTTAGGGATGATAGTGGCACAGCACCCTTCATTTAAATAAGGGAGAAGACACAACTGAGCTTGTACACAGAGTAGTCATGTCGTCATTTGCCATCACCTTTACATTATCATCATCATAATCAGAATGGACCACTGGTGAAAGGAAGGTTTTTTTAATGGGAAATTGTTGCTGTTGTCGCCTTCAGTGTTTTGGATGAGATCATTTGTGTCTTTATTCTGTTATGTGTTGACAGTACATTGAGAGTCACAGAATAAAAGAAAGAAAATCAGATATTTCCAAATAATTACAGCTGACGGGATCAAACCCACAGAGCAGTGAAAAACACATTTTACCGGCACTTCTCTTTACCCACTCAGCTACTTAATTTCTCTTTCTCTGTGAGGTTGGCGTAGTATTGGGCATGTCCGGATTCACGTATTCCTATGTTGTTTTAAAAAGCTCTCAATTTATTTTTCCGAACAAGGGCATCATTTATTACAGATAAAGATGAAATTACTGTGTGACATGTGGTTCACAAAGCATCTTCTGGAAGCTTGACCGTAAGCCTGCCTGGGACCAGGCTTGTCGCACTGGCTGAGTTACCATGGTTACCAAGCCACGCTAGCCCTAAGCCTCGTTTGTGGAACCGAACTCTCACTAAATTTAGCCAAGCTAACCGAAATAAACTGGGCTTTGAGCTAAGCCAGCTTCGTGGAATACCCCCCTGGTTCTGGACTCTAAACAACAGTTGTCTTTAAAGAACCAGATTCAGCAGAAACCAGTGTGTCCACATCCCTGTCCACCTTGACCCCTGACTCTGCTTGTTCCTCACAGACCATAAACAAACCCTCCAGGGTCTGATGTCAGAAGATCTCAGCTGTCACACCTTCTCATTCTGGAGGGTCAGACTGGTCTTCACGGTGAAAACACCAACACAGACATAAGACAGACGCTGAGGACCAGCTGACTAAAGAACCCTCCAGGTTAGAGAAAAAGATCCAGATCTAATCTGATCCAGGAGGTGATCTGGAGATGGTCTGAGGTAGAATCAGAGATGGATTTAGATACCTTTTAAAAATCCACAGGACCACGATGAGGGTGAGCAGAACCAGCAGAACTCCAGACGCCACACTGACTATCAGCAGCATCTTATTCTGTCCTGGAGATCAGAAGAAACACAGGAAACGAACTGAGACAGCAGGAACCAAACACCGAGAGGACCAACACAAGCGAACCTTTGATATCATAGAGCAGGAACCAGAGAACCAACAGGACCGACCCACTCTGTTCTCTGTTTAAACCACCATCCATCCAGGGTACTCTGGTGCCCTTTTAATCTAAAACCCTGGTACCCCTGTACTCTGGTACCCTGTTTTTTCTTTTTTTGTACTCTGGTTCTCTTATATTCTAATACTCTGGTGACCTGGTACTCTGAAACTCTGGTACCCTGGTGCTCTGGTTCTCAAGTAACCTGGTGTACTCGTACAGTAGTACTCTATTTTTTGTAATCTGGTACCCTGGTACTCTGGTACCTGTTTTTTGTACTGTAGTTCTCTTATACTCTGGTTCTCTAGTACTCTGCTAATCTGGTACCCTGTTTTTTTGTACTGTGGTACTCTGATTCTCTGGTACCCGTTTTTTCTTGCTCTCTGGTTCTCCTATATTTTGGTACTCTGATACCTTGTTATTTTTGTACTCTGTTACTCTGGTTCTCTGGTACTCTGATACTATGGTACCCTGGTACTCTGGTACTCTGATACTCTGGTACTCTGGTACTCTGGTTCACAGGTTCTCTGGTACTCTGGTACTCTGGCTGTCAGAGCAGCCCTCTTTAGTTCTTGGTTGTCACTCTAACATTTAAAGTTCCCAACAGTCTGGTCACGTGTTAAAGCTGACCAATACTAACCCTCTCTTTCCTTCACGTTCAGGGCGTACGGCGGGGACAGAGTGTTTTTATTGGTCACCAAAGCACAGGTGTAGTTCCCAGAATCCTCTGCCGTCAGGGGACCAAGTTGGAGGCTGTGTCCAGACTCTTGGAGGGGGAGGTTATCCCTGAACCAGGTTACATTTATCTGGTTAAAGGTGCATTTTGTGGTGCAGTCCAGAGTGACTCTTCCACCTTCCTCCAGCTCTTCATGGTTCCTGGAGCTCTGGATCTTCATCGGAGTCTCCTCTGAAAACAGTAAAAACACTGACTGTGACTTTAAAAACACTGAATGTGGCTTTAAAAACACTGACTTTATAAAACACTGACTGTGACATAAAAAAACTGACTGTCACTTTAAAAACAGTGACTGTGACTTTAAAAACACTGACTGTGGCTTTAAAAACACTGACTTTATGAAACACTAACTTTAAAAACACTGACCGTAACTTTATAAACACTGACTTTAAAAACACTGACCGTCACTTTGAAAATACTGACTTTAAACACACTAACTGTGACTTTAAAAACACTGACTGTGGCTTTAAATACACTGTCCCTTTAAAAAACACTGACTTTAAAAACACTGACTGTGGCTTTAAAAACACTGACTGTCACTTCAAAAACACTGACCGTCACTTTAAAAATACTGACTGTCACTTTAAAAAACACTGACTTAAAAAACACTGACTGTGACTTTAAAAACACTGACTGTGGCTTTAAAAACACTGACTTTAAAAACACTGACTGTGACTTTAAAAAGACTGTGACTTTAAAAACACTTCAGAGAAGAACTTTTACAATCACTCCGGATCTGGAGGTCTGCACTCTCGATTTTGGACCCTGGATTTTCCTCCATCTAGATCAGGGGTCGGCAACCCGCGGCTCTGGAGCCGCATGCGGCTCTTTCTTCCCTAAGCTGCAGCTCCCAATGGATTTGGAAAATAAATAATAAATACTTAATTGCATTTTATTTTATTTTATTATTAATTTTTTTTTTGTAATTCTAAATTCAAAGATTATAATGCTCTTGTAACATTAAATAAACTATTAAGGCTGCAACAACGAATCGATTAAGTAGATTCGTCGTGACGAAAAAATCCGTTGCCAACAAATTCTGTAATCGATTCGTCGGGTCTTTATATATGTCCATGGACACCGGCATGTAAACATCAGCAGAATGCAGTGCACAGAAAAGAAACAGCCATGGCCGAGGCAGCGGCTGAGAAAAACATGGACACAACCCAACCCAAATCCCGACCTAAAACATCAGTGGTGTGGGAAAACTTCACCAAGACTGAAAAGGAAGGCGTTCAGTGCAACATTTGCAAAGACCGTTTTGCATGGCTCGGGAGTACATCGATGATGCGTGAGCACAGGGCTCTCAAGTCTCACGCATTCAGCGTATGACACACGCATTCCCACTCGTTCACACGCTCACACACCACACATTGTATTTCTCACGCATTTAAATGAACACGGTGATGTCCACCAAGTTGCACCTCTTCAACTATGGAACTGGGGGAAATCAACTGAGTTCCTCCGAGAGTTCAGAAGCTGCGTGCCACGCACAAGCCAATCAAATAAAGTATATCTACTGAACAGCCAATCAAAAAGCAGCATTGCTGTATCCGGGTAGATTTTGATATCTTGCGGTTTAACTACAGAAGAAGACAGACACTCGCCGAAATAGTTCGTTTATTTCATAAATGCAGCTCGCTACAGTTTTTTATATACTTTGTATAAAGGTAAAAAAAAAAGATATATGCAATGTTATCTTCATTTTAGATGTCAAAGAGGTTTTGTGGCTCCCTGTGTTTTCTTTTCTGTGGGAAACTGGTCCAAGTGGCTCTTTGAGTGTTTAAGGTTGCCGACCCCTGATCTAGATCAACACCTAAACCACTTTGTTCAGACCTATGGACCCATTCTGCTTCGAACATCAGGACCTCTTCTTTGGTCTGATTATCATTAGCAGTGTCCTGGTTGGTTCACTGTATGTTAGTGGGAGTCTTACCAACCAATCAGGTGTCGGCGAGCTCTAGTGAAGTCTGAACCACTTTGATGCTGAAATCAAATCAAATCAAATTTTATTTATATAGCGCCAATTCACAACAGTTGTGATCCCAAGATGTTTCCAAAGAAAAAGAGCAGAGGCCTGTACTATGAAGCTGGATTAACACATCCAGGATAACTCTGCGACAACTCGCTCAACTTCACCGGATCTCCGCGATCCTGATCAGCTGTACTACGAAGCCGGTTATCAACTCGATAACTGAATCCAGGTGTGGCCACTTCAGATCTGTGCGCGCTCACGTAAAAGGGGCGGGGTTAGCGGCACTGGACCATTTTCCACAATGGACAAAACAGCAAAAGCATCGTATTTCACAGCTGAGGAACAGGATACTATCCTGCGTGAATACGAGGATCCGTGATACAATCACAGAGAGGAGCAACACGGCCGCAGCCGCCAGAAGCCGGAGGTACTGCTGGCAAAAAATTGCTGATTGTGTTAATGCGTAAGTCACTACGATGAAGATATGAATGTGTCATCACGATGGCACGGATAGATGTCGCTACATTTGTGCGTTCAACAAGAACAACAACAACAACAACAACAACAACATCATCAAAACAACAGCAACAACAAAAACAACAACACTAAAACAACAGCAACAACATCATCAAAACAACAGCAACAACAAAAACAACAACAACAACAACAACAATAAAACAACAGCAACAACATTAAAACAACAGCAACAACAACAACAGCAGGGGGCTGTTCTACGAAACAAGTTCAACCTAGCGAGGTAGCTCCAAGGCTACCTCGCTAGGTTTAACTCGCTAGGTTGAACTCAACTTAGCGCGGTAGCCAGCGGTCTCGCTAAACGGTCTTATGACGCTGGTTATCAACCTTGTAAGTTGATCCAGCTTTGCTATGAGCACGTTCACGCATGTAAGGTGGAGCCCGCCGCATCTGACCAATCACTAACATGGACCGGTCTGGAACGTCAGAGCAGGCCGGAGAGCGAAGGACCTCGTACTCTACAAACGAGGAGCAGGAGACAATCATGAGAAAGTATGATTTGATTTGATTTGATTTTATTAAGATCCCCATTAGCTGTTACACTAGGTAGCAGCTACTCTTCCTGGGGTCCATAAAAAAACAAGAAAACAAACAATTACATCAATTAAGAATATTAATAGTCATAATAATGAAAAAGAAAAAAACGTCATAACAACAAAACACTAACAAAATCAATACAAAACCATAATACCAATAACAACAAAATAACACTTATAACAAGCCAGATATAACAACCCTGTAAAACTTAAAAATATCCATGGACAGGGAGGAAATCAAAACTGACCATAATGCTGATCAAGGCATTGATTTTTAAGATATTTTTTAAAACTGTGTGTGGTTTTAATACTTCTGGCAATGTCAGGTAACATGTTCCAAGAAAAAATGGCTCTGTATAAGACTGTGTTTTGCATGAAGCATGATTTTGGAAAAGGTAAAACAAATAAGCCCTTTGTAACCTGTCTTGTGTGATGATTATGGATGTCGTGAATCTGAGAGATTTGAGAAAAAAAATATCCAGGCTTGTGTAAGGAAAAAACATTATGAAAAAAAGTAAGAAGGTTACAGGACAGCTGGTCCTCCACAGTTAGCCACTGGAGCTTGGAGTGCATGCTTTTAACACTGGTTCTGAAAGGGCAGCCTAAGACCAGACGTGCGGCTCTGTTTTGCACAAGTTGAAGTTTATGTAAGTCTTTTTTTAGAAGTACAAGACCATACATTAGAGCAGTAGTCTAGGTTAGTAAGTACCAGTGCCTGGGTGACAAGTTTTATTGTGTGATCATTCAGGTACATGGCACATCTTTTAATTACTGAGATGGCTCTGCCCATTTTTGAACAATATTATCAGTATGTGTGGACCACGACAGTTTCTCATCAATAGTCAATCCTAAGAGTTTGACCTTACGCACCTGCTCAAGAGCAGTGTTCTTAATATATAAGGAGAGATGAAGATTCCTCCTGAGGATGGGGTTAGAACTGAAGGTGATACATTTAGTTTTTGTTATATTAAGTGCAAGTCTGTTGTTTTCGACCCATTCAGAGACAGAGTCAAGTTCCCTCTGAAGGAGACAATTAAGTTCACTATAACTGTCTGCTGCAGCATACACAGTGGAGTCGTCCGCATACATGGTCATAGTTGCACTATTCAAAACCAGTGGCAGATCATTAGTAAAAATAGAAAATAATAAAGGACCAAGGCAACTCCCCTGTGGAATGCCACACTCAAGTTGTTTCAAAGAGGAAAAGTTACCATTAAAATAAATACATTGCATTCTGGAATACAGGTAGCTCTTTACCCATCCCATGGCGTTCAGATTGAACCCATATGCACTGAGATTTGCTAGCAGAACCCTGTGATCGATTAGATCAAATGCAACACTGAAATCAATCAGTACAGCACCTATAATTTTCCTGTTATCCATATGACTGAGCCATTCATCAGTCATTTGAGAAAGGGCTGTCGCTGTTGAGTGGCCTTGTTTATATGCATGTTGGTAAATTGAATCTATTCTATTAGAGGTAAAGTTTATCAATATTTGATTAACTACAATTCTCTCCAAAATCTTACTGAGCACAGGAAGAATGCTGATTGGTCAACAATTGGACCCATTAAAGGCATTCTTTTTATTCTTTATGATAGGGATTACTTTAGCTGATCGCCAAGCTCGAGGAAAAACACCATCCCTGAGACTGCAATTAAAGATGTGACACACGGGTACTGAAATATATTCTGCCATAATTTTTATCAGTCTGCCGTCAACGTTATCAAGACCAAATTGTGTGTTATTTTTTACTGACATCAAAAGCTGTTTTATCTCTTCAACTGATACAGGTTTCAGTGAGAATGTACATTTTTTATTATTCATGATGTTATCTGTGATTAAATAGGTAGAGTTTCTCATTTCATCAGTAGTACAGCTCATCTTACTCCTTAGATTTGACACCTTGTCAGTGAAATAAGTGTTGAAGTAGTCAGCAATTTTTTAAGGTTTAGTCAAATGTACACCATCAGCTTCAACAAGTGAGGGGAAACTATTACTGCCAAGTATAGTATTACAAGTTGCCCATAGTTTCTCCCCATTGTTCTTGTGTTCAGATAGTTTTCCTGAAAATATGCCTTTTTCTTTGATCTATTCATTTTAGTAACACTGTTTCTTAATTTCTTATACTTCATCCAGTCCATAAGGTCATTTGATCTGGCAGCTGCTAATTTAGTATTATCTCTGTCAGACATTGTGCCTCTCAATTCATCGTCAATCCAAGGAGCAAAGTTGCCTCTTACAGTGAACTTTTCAAGTGGAGCATGCTTGTCAATTACTTTCAGTACTATGTCTGTGAAGAGTTCAAGAGCAATGTCAGTCTCCTGACATTGCTCTTGTATGGTACATATCCTATGCCCACTCAACTCCTGTATTTCTTTTACAAAATTCTCCTCATTGAAAGATCTATTTGTTCTCTGAAATAGAATTTTGGGTTCAGCTTTAGACATTTTAGTTTTCCTCACAGTGACTACAATATTATGGTCACTAAATCCTATGGGGATAGAATAGGCCTTGGAGCAAAGTTCACTGGCGTTGGTATAAATATGGTCTATACATGTAGAAGAGACAGTCCCAGTGATGTTACAGGAAATTCTTGTTGGCAGATTGACAATCTGAGTCACATTACATACATTCGCAGTGACAATTAGCCTATTTTTTAAAGTGCAGCTCTTAGATTTCCAGTCAATATTTAGGTCACCTAGGAAATATGTCTCCTTATTCTCATCTACTGCCCTCTGTAGCATGTCACAGATATTGTCAACATATTGAGCATTAGAGCTTGGTGGCCTGTAGCAACAGCCAACAAGCAATGGTTTAACACTAGAAGGACCAGCTTTTGCTGTTCTACCTATAAAGACCAAAGGGCAGCCGGTTGGCTTGGAGGGCTTTTAGCCAGTACTAAACCACCTGTGAACACTCAGTTTGTTATGCAAACGAGGCGATCGCTGGCGCACCACAGGAGGGGATATGCTGAGTTACTTCAAGAAAACTTGTGTTGTTGGGAGAGGGAATGGGGAGGGGGAGGGGAGTTTCCAACCTGAGAACAACTGTAGACAGAAACTGCTTCAGCCATAGCCACTGCACAGACAGTTTGGGCCTCTGTTTGTTTTGTTTGGTTCTACTTCTCCTGATGTCCCTGCACCTCAGCAGATGGAGAACCAACGGCTAATGCCAGGAGGTCTATCTTGACTTGTCTTCAGAGCTTCTTGTGTTTCATCACACTGGACATGCTTGGTTCTATTCGAGACTGTACTGTTCAACATGCAAAGCAAATAGAGTATGTTGATTGGTTCATGGCCCTCCCTGAACTAATGGCATTTATTGCTATCATCATCTTGCGGGGGCTGACCAAGGTTCCATCAGTGAGTGACTGCTGGTCAGCAAACCTGGGTAACCCCCAGATCATTGCAACCCAGTGGCGATTGCTCTAAGACTGCAAGGGAAGCTCAGCTTCCCTTAAAATGTCACCCCCCCAAAAAAAGAAAAAGTGGTGAAATACGTACTGCTGTGTGTAGATTTCATTAACTAAATACGCGCTAGAAAGCCTTCATCTTTTGTTCAGAATCAGCTTCTTAACACACTGTGATAAGAAGCTGATAATCACAGGTAACCGGCACAACTTCGTTCTCATTCATCCTCGCAGCGCCTCAGCGCTTCACACAGCCGGACGCTCAGCGTCTGCTGACTTCAGTGTGGAAGCTCAAAGTGGGTTGTTCCAACAGCGAAACTAGACGCTCATTGGATAAATGCTGGGCCTTGTCCCGCCCATCGAACGCTCAGCGTCTCTGGAGTTCTATGACGAGAGGGCGGTCCCAACCCACTGCATACACCACTTAGTCCAGTCCCCTCCTGTGGTGCACCAACGATCGCCTCGTTCGCATAACAAAATGAGTGTTCACAGGTGATTTAGGATGTTAGCTAAAAGCCTTCCAGCCGATTAGCTGCCCCGTGGTCCTTGAAGGGGGTAAAGCCAAATGGCTGCTCTGTGGTCCTTCTAGTGTTAACATTAGGTAAGTGTATTTGTAACCATATGGATTCTACAGATATGTGTATGAGATCATCTCTTGTTTTAACAGGTATATGATTTTGAATATAGATGGCAACTCCACCTCCTCTGTCACAACTGAATATGCTATACCCAAGAATGTCTATCTCAGAGTCAATAACTGAGGCATCTAAATGTGTTTCAGAAATAGCCAGAATATGTATGTTGTTGTCCTGAAGCAGTACAGAAAGCTCATCAATTTTGTTTCTGAGACTACAGATGTTCAGATGTGCAATACGCAGTCCTTTACCATTTACATTTAGAAACATTGTCAGTGTAAAGATGTATAATACACATGTGTGTCAGATAGGAACAGTCATGACCTTGATGCATGGCCTTCTCTCCTTGGCCTCACGATGAGGCGGTCATAGCTTATAATAGCATAGTCACCTCTTGCTCTCGCCTCCCTCAAAGCAGGAAGCAGCCTGGCCCTCCTCTTCCTCACCCGTTCAGAGAAGTCCTCACCGATGTAAATAGGGGTGTTCCTCAGGTGGGCTCTCGCTCTGGCCAGGATGAGCTGTCTGTCCTTAAAGCGCAGCAATTTTATCACCACAGCTCTAGGTTTTTCCCTGTCACCTCTGTACTTCCCATTTCTATGAACTCTCTCAATTTCCACCGAGGTCTCAATCTTCAGCTGTGAAGTGAACATTGCTTGCACTTTGGCCTCCGTCTCAGCCCAGGTTTCAGCCTCCTTGTCAGGGCCCAGACAATTTATCACAAGATTGTTCCTCCTACTTTGATTTTCTAAATAATCAATCTGGTCACAGTCACCTGTTGATGCTTGTTCTGATTTCAGTTCATTCACTTGTTGCTTCATCATTCTAGACTCACTTTGCTGGGCTGTGTGGGTCTTCTTTAACTCATCAATTTCCTTTTGCGAGTAAGACAGGCTCACCTTAAGTTCTTGTAGCTCTTTTAGACATGAGTCCACTCTTTTGTTGGTTGAATCCATGATCATTTGAGTAAAGCTGCGAAATGTGGTCTCCTGTCTTCTCAGTAGATCTTCAAAGTAGTTCTTCTGCTGATCTAATAACTCCTTTAGAGTGTCCATTGTCACATACTCAGGAGCCTCACTTGCAGTCATTTTGTTTGAAGGCGGATCATCATTTGGAGTTTTGTCAGGGCTTCTATTGCTGTTGCGACCACCAGCCATGATGTTGCAGCTCTTTCATTCCAAAGTCTCTGACTTTATTAGGATAAGATGCAGCAGACTTTCTTACCAAGATTACCCTGAGATTTGATTGCTGCAGTTTGCAGAGCTGATTGCAGAGCCCTCCAACTCCCCAGCTGTTGCACAGGCCAGGGACAATCCTTCAAATATCTCCAATTTTAGAACCCATCCACCATTTATGATTCCATGGAAGAGGGTTATTCCACACAATGAAGAGCTGTTTAAGTATGAAGAATTCAAATCTATCATAAACCTCAAAAGCAACAACACCGTCACCGCTGCAAAAGCACTGAGGGAATGCTGGCAGAAAATTAATCTTTGATGCCATTATCACCCTGAAATAGCGCTGTTCAACATACGCTTTTAACTAAGGTGACCAGACATCACCTTAGTCCCTGAATTGGGTGATCTGTCCCCGGCTAAATCTGTCCCCGAAAATGTCCCCGATTTAAGCGTTTCATGAATGAGAACAAAAATGTTGCATGTGGGCTAGAACAACTGTTATTACAGTAGGTAGGAAGCACAAGTAAGCAGTCCTGAACAACAGTATTTACGGGGGTTATTACAAGGGGCGTGCGCAGCGCTGCTACTAAATAGTACCGAGATGTTGTCTGTGATCATGCAGCCCATGCAGCCCATGCCCATTCATTTCCAAGATGAATTCATTCATTCGTTCATTCCTATCGTGTTTACATTTTTTGTGTGATATGTAGGCCATATGAGCCTTTCATAAAAGTGGTCATCCGGAAAAGGAAGTGGGTCCGTGCAGTCCCTGAAAACTCTCGCGAGCTGGAGTGCTCCCCGGACAAAGCGAGCACTGAGGTCTATAGGATCCTCCAAGAACAGACAAGCCATTTTTCGAGAGAGCTCATTGGTCAGTGGAAGGGGTTTTTATATACCGAGAGTTCAATTTGGAACCTAACCTGCCCCGGAGCAGGTTAGCCGTTCAGCGTATGTTGCCATGGAGACTCGGCTCACCTCGCTAAGAAGTGAACCCGCGTCGTAGAACAGGAAACCCCGAACTTACCCTCGAAGTTACCTTGCTAAGCAGTAATCCTGCTTCGTAGAACAGGCCCCAGCAACAGCAACAACTTTAAAACAACAGCAACAAAAACAACAACAACCGTAGGCGCAGAATGGCAGCCACGTTTCCACCACCACCAAAGTGTGACTGTGTGAGCAAATGAATGATGTATCCAATGTAAAGCGCTTTGAGGGTCTCTGATAAAGCGCTATATGAAATCTGATGCATTATTATTACTATTATTAACAGCAGCAACAACAACAACAACAACAACAACAACAACAACAACAACAGCAGCAGCAACAGTAACAACAACAAAAACTACAACAGCAACAGCAACAACATTAAATCAACAGCAATAACAACAACAACAACAAAAACAGCCACAACAGCCACAACAACACTAAAACAACAACTACAACAACAACAATAAAACACCACCACCCCCATCAACAACAACAGCAACATACAGAGTTGTGGTTGCAGAGTTAGTGATGAAACAAAATGGATTCCGTTTACAGGATCAGGATATGAGTAATTATGGACAATGTTAAATTAATTTAATGTAAATTACAGTCAGCAGGCCTGATAGTAGCTAACTCTAGTTTTATGTTATTAATGTCAGTGAGGCTGATGTTCACGTCTGCAGCAACAGTCCAGAGGAACCTAAGAGAGGAAGGAGCTCAGGGCCTGAGGAGGACAATTATAAACGACGCAGCTGGAGTCAGGCAGGTCCACAGCAACAGACCGTCTGCAGCATCAGTCCAGAGGAACCTAAGAGGAACCTAGTAGACTGGGAGGGGGGCACATACAGAGAGATCTGGTGCTCTTACCAGCGACGGTGACGTTGACTCCTGATTGATTTGTGAAATGTCCTTCTGTGTGGTTCACCTCCATCCTGAAGCGCAGAGTTGCCTCATCGGTCTTACTAAACCCTCTGATTTGTAGAGTGCAGTTGGTCTCGATGTCCCCCAGGTATGTGTATCGAGGTTTGTTTCTGTTCTCAGGTATACTGTCTTTGGGTGGCTTGCTGTCGAACACAGAAGGAGTACTACCCTGACAGACTGGATGGTTCCTGCACCAGCGAACCCTGATGACCTTGATCTGAATGACTTCAGTCCCAGCCATGAAGATGTTGTTAGATGTGAAGGTGCAGGGGAGGGTGACGGTGGACCCTTCTACACCACAGACAGAAGGTGGGTAGTTCACCTGTTGACTTACAGCACCTGGACAAAGATGTAGAAAATACAAGTCAGAATGACATCAAAACATTTTTTATTCATAGTCATTATAAAGTTCTTCTCGTTTCGGTTCATCAGTTCTCTCTTTTCTTCTTCTCTGCAGTAAAACCAGTTTTCTGGATTTGGATCAGTTCCTCTCTTCTTTTATTCTAGTTTCTAAAGTCTCTGATAGAGGATCTTTGGTGCCTTTTCAGGTATAGTTTTAGTGAAGGTTTCAGGTATATTTGAGTTCATCAGACACACCTGTCCTCATCCCAGAGTTGCAGAAGATCTCTTCAATAGATACCTGAACCTCCAGAGTTTTTATAGATTTATGAGTGAAAAAAATCCGGATTAGAGTGACAACACCGGCGGTTGCTGTTTGTGGTTTTGTTTTCTACATGATCCTTCACTCAAACACACACACACACACACACACACACACACACACACACACACACACACACACACACACACACACACACACACACACACACACACACACAATAATAATAATAATGCATCAGATTTCATATAATCTCTTTATCATAGACCCTCAAAGCTCTTTTCATTGGATCCAGCATTCATTCATTCATTCACTCACTCACTAACAAAGACACACCCTGGTGATGGTTATAAACTACCTTAGTAGTCACAGCTGCTCTGGGACAGACTGACAGGAACATGGCAGCCAGTCCCAACCACCAGCACACAACACTCACAATCACACACCAGTGGAGGACATACACACTGGGAGCAAGATGGCTTAAGTGTTTTACCGAAGGACACAACAGACAGACTTGGGATAGGGGGGAATTGAACCGCCAACCTTCCAGTTATTGGACGACTGCTCTACCTCCTGAGCTACTGCCATACACACACACACTACAGGCCAAAAGTTTGGAAGCAAGGCCATTACAGGCTGAACAGTTGGGAGAAACTTCAAGTTTTTGTTCACAATGCTTTTTTAAAATCCAGCATGAGTTTCATGTATTTTGGGATGTATTTACTCCATGATCAGATGTTGCTTTCATGGAAATGCACCATTTTAATCCAATTACCTTCAGATATACATTGATGTTAACGGACCATTGCTAAATATATGTCAGCAAAAGAAAACAAGGGCTTAGTTTTAGAGTTGAAAACATTTGCAAGAGTCACAACTTCAGTGCAAAAGCAAAAAAAAAAAAAAAAAAAAAAAAAAAAACAACAAATCACAGTTGGATTATTCACTTCAACTTTTTGGCTTTTGAGAGTCTGCATACAAAAATCCTAATAAATCTCAACTCTGTTCAAACCACTGCAAAAATGGCAAGAAAGAAGCAACTGAGTAAAGAAACAAAAGTACAGCTTTGTACATTGTGGAAAGAAGTATACACAGAAAGAGAAATTGCAGAAATTGATAGAAAAAAAAAACTGGACGAAAGAGAGTTACTACAAAAGCAGAGAATAAACATATCATTGTCACCAGTAAGAGAGATCGGTGAAAGACAGCACCACAAATAAGGGAGGAAATCAACAAGACACAGTCGAAACCCATATCTCTTACAAACGTGAAATGACGTTTGAGAAAGTCTGGCCTGAAGGGTTGTGTATCTGCAAAAAAACACTACTTCGAGATATGAGTGGGCAAAAGCTCACAAAAATTGGACTTATGATGACTAGAAACAAGTTTGCACTGTTTGGTTCAAAATGCAGAGTCTATGTCTGCAGACAAACTGGTGAACGTCTGAAAGCACCATGTGTTACACCCACAATTAAGCAAGGAGGTGGTAGTTCCATGGTATGGGGATGTTTTGCAGGTGATGGAGTAGGAGATTTGTTTGAAGTAAAGGGTATCATGAAGAAGTAACAGGACCACTCCATCCTCCAGCACCATGCTGTTCCATCTGGACTAAGACTTGTGGCTCATAAGTTTGTTTTGCAGCAAGACAATGACCCTAAGCACTCTGCCAAGCTCTGTCAGGGTTACCTAGACAAAAAAGAAGAGGAAGGTGTTCTTCAAAAGATGGTTTGGCCCCCTCAGTCTCCAGACCTTTCTCTAATTGAACTTGTGCGGGATGAATTGGATCGATCGGTCAGAAAAATGCATCCCACAAATCAGCAGTCCCTTTTTAATGAACTTAATAAAGCTTGGAATGAAATCCTTGGAACATACCTTAAAAAAACTTGTGGAACGAATGCCTGGTATATGCCAAGCTGTTGTTAAAGCCAGAGGAGGTGACTTTAAAGAAAGCAAAGTCTAAGCAACAATAACTCAAATACCTAATAATTATAGTCAAAATGTCTTCTGATAAGTTACTCTTTACACAATAGTCATGTTTATTGTGTTGCAAAGTATATATATGAAACTATGATCTTTTTATGTACAAAGCTGATCTTGCTTCCAAACTTTTGGCCTATAGTGTACACACACACACACACACACACACACACAGAGAGAGAGAGAGAGAGAGAGAGAGAGAGAGAGAGAGAGAGAGAGAGAGAGAGAGAGAGAAGAAAACCAGAGAAACTGGATGTGGAAACGTGGTCTACCTCAGGGTCTCTCTTTGGTCTCTCTTGTCCCCCTGAGGTAAATCCTGCAGGTTCATCTTGTTCATCCTTTCAGTCTAAGACCTGGTTCTTCTCCTGGTTCTTCACCAGGTCTTTTTAACAGTAAAATCAAGATCTAGATTCTTGAAATTTTCCTGCAGCTGAAAAAAAAAATCTTTTCTGAATCCAGCAGAGAAGAAGAGACCGTTTCAGGGGCTGGACCAGAGCCAGCTGGACCAGAGCCGGTCCAGCAGACCTTCTCTTTCTGGTACAGGACAAGTCCATCACTCCAGACAGAAGCCTCAGATCAGAGGATCTGTTTTTAGGACTTCTGTGCACTCTTCCAGAGCTTTCACAGATGTTACTAAAAACCATCAAACTTAAGGATCTTCAGGAGTTCCTCAGCACACATCTCACTTCAGGAAACAACATCAGAGGTTAGAGAAGATGAAGCTGGAAAAGTCTGAAGATATTTAGAAGTTTAAGGACAGAGAAGTCCACAGATCCTGACTGAAACCACCATGAAGCACATCACCACAATGTTCTTCATGGAAAACCTCAAACCTCAGATCTGAGTGAAGTGCAGCGCCACAGAAAACACACTCAGACAGACCAGAGCATAGAGAAGAAGAGTCTGAGACCATCAGAGGAGAAAACCTGCTTCAGTTTCAGATCACAGACTGTCTTACCTGTCAGAAGAAACATCAGAGCCCACAGGAGCTTCTGGTCCCAGACCTCCATCCTCAGTTTTCTACTTAGATTTGACGTTTTCTCCTGCTGTCAGAAATATATCACGACAAACTGAGATTTCAAAATGAGGAAGGAAGACTTTGACTTCCTTCTGTCTCACTTTTTGGAGAACTTCTCTCGTAACTGCAGCTTCATTTTTTCACCTCCTTCAACACCCGCCCACCAGAACATCTACATCATCACCATCTTCACCATCTTCCTCTGAGAGATACCGAACACTGACAGACCACAAACATCCACATCCTCATCATCCTCACCATCTTCGTCATCTTCCTCTCTGAGAGATCATATCTGAGGACACATTTCCTCAGAAGAACGCAGAGGAGATAAAAACCTTCGAACAAACACGATCAGCTCTCCACTCTCTGAGCTCAAGGAGGAGAAGAAGACAGCTGATGGCGTTCTTGATGACGTGCGCCCCCGCCTTTTAACCCTCTGAGGTCAGGGTTGAGTGTCTTATTTGGATGGTCCACCATGAAACAGGAAGTTCATTGACCTCCTTCAAACAGAGTTCAGTCACTTTGAATTTTCACATTCATGCCCATGTCTCAGCTTCAGCCACAGTGCCCCCCTGTGGATATACATGTACCAGCAGATCAGATGATGGTCCCAGCCTCAACATGTCTCCATTTAAAATCCTGTCATAGTGATAGTGCCACCTATTGGACACATGGGGTATTACAGATTTTAACCACCTCAGTAGTAACAGGGGGTAAAGGGTTCAGCCATCCTGCAGGTTCAAGTCATGGGTCCAACGTCTGGCTCTCCAACCCATGGTTTAGATATATGCACATAGATGACCTGTACACTCACACTGGGCCTTTATCTATCTATCTACCATATTTTCCGGACTATAAGTCGCGTTTTTTTTCAATGTTTGGCCGGGGGTGCGCCTTATACTCTGGAGCGACTTATGTGTGAAATTATTAACACATTATTACCGGTATAACATTTCACGTTATTTTCACACTAAACCACAAGAGGGCGCTCTAGGCCTGAGTAAGCGATGAGTCTGACGTAAGCGACGTAGAAGAGGAAGCGCCGCATCTTCTACCTTCGGAGTTAGCGGAGTTGATGAAAAGTGACACCGAGGATGAAGATTTCATTGGATTTTAGTTACCGGTATTTGGAGTGACACGGATGGTTTTGGTAAACTTCTTAGCATGTTATTTATGCTATAGTTATCGGAATAACTCTTAATATGTTATGTTAACGTACCAGGCACGTTCTCAGTTGTGTCATGTAACGTAAGCATGCCATTCAGCCTGTTGTTGCCTCTATTCTATTTTTATTTTAAATTATTCGTCATTTAAATTTTAAATGACATGTCTGTTCTTGATGTTGGATTTTATTAAATAAATTTCCTCCAAAAATGCGACTTATACTCCAGTGCGACTTATATATGTTTTTTCCTTCTTTATTATGCATTTTATGGCTGGTGCGACTTGTTCTCCGGAGCGACTTATAGTCCGGAAAATATGGTATCCATCTATCTATCTATCTATCTATCTATATATATATATATATATATATATATATATATATATGTATATATATATATAGGCTTGCGTCACGACTGACTTGAAGAAAAGCTGTGGAGCGCAGCATTTATTTTTTAATTGTGCGACCTTTCAAAGACACAAAATGGTAGATACATGCAAGCACAGATCATTCCCACAAAATTCTTTCAATGATTGTTTTGTATGAAGGAATATGAGGGCCATATTGAAATTTTTTTTCGAGACGTAAGTCGTGAATTTATGCGAATAAAGTCATTAATTTATGAGTTGTCAAAATTAGGGCCATGAAGCATTTAAAGGAACTTCAGTATAGGTTTCACAAACAAGGAGATACTTCATCCTTTGGCACATCAGCATTACATTGTCTCAAGCAATGTTCCCTCTAAGCTGCGCGCCTGCGCAATCGCGCACTGCTCACACATTATCAGCGCACAAGAAAAGCTATATAGCGCATGTCTAACACAGTGAGTGATAGATGTCCAGCCAATGATGTGATACGGTTCACTTACGCTACGTAGCCAATCATCACATTGACATTGCTTACATACCGTAAATTCCGGACTATAGAGCGCACCGTTATATAAGCCGCAGATGCTTATTTTAGGGAAAAAAATAACTTTGTACACGTACAAGCCGCACCGGTAAATAAGCCGCGGGTGTCCACCTGGTGACATTGTCACCTAAAAAGTAAATTAAAATGTTTTTTTATCAAAGTCTGATATTTATTTCGAAATATTTACTCAGCTACACACAGATAGCGAAAACATATGGACAACAGTAAATCTACACAAGCAGTTGTCAGCGCTGGTCCGTGTCCCTGTGTGTGCGGGCGTGTGTGTGTCTGTCTGTGTGTGTATAGCCCTGTAGACGACTTTCATTCACGGATACATAAAAGAAGTGGACAAACATGTTTGATACAGTCAGGAAAACATAGCGGCATATCCATGATTGCTCTGAAACAACAGTTGGAGGAGCAGAAGCGCTGCGGAGAAATACGCGGCCGGTGGAAACTAAAGGCTGCGCTGAATGGAAGCTAGTGATGTGTCGGTCGGTGATCAGAAGGAGCGCCGCGATCGTGCACTGCAGATAGTTTCGGCACCTGTTTTATTTCCTTGCGCGAGCCGCGTCGGAAAAAAGTCGGGGCTTATAGTCCGGAATTTACGGTATGTGCCCTGTCCATTGGTGCCGTGCTAGTTAGCTAGTTAACAACACTGCCGCGGACACTGCCGATGACAACGCTAACCCCTCATCATGGCAAAACGAACGAGCAGCGACACACCCTCTCGCCAAGTCAAAGTCAAAAAGAAATGCACGTCTTTTAAAATGGAATGGCTGTCGGAGTATGTGGAAACAGAAGAACAAGCGGTGAAACTGGGTGACATTTTTTCCTTTTTCGAGTGAGAAAGGTCTCCTCTGCAAAACATGCAACGAAGCCAAATTAGCAAGCGAATTTTCGGAGGGAAAAAAGTGGAGTGAATGGAAGTTGGACTACCTTAAGCGTCACATTCAGCATAAAACTCATTTGAAAGCTGTTGGAATTGTACGGAGACTCAAAATGGGACAGGGGATCGGTACATTATTGCTGGAGAGCGCAAAAGACCGTGAGAAAAGGAATGAGCTGTCACACAAAACAAAATCGGACCCAGTTCAAGTTAAAGTTCTCATTGACAACATTTTACTTGCCATCAAAATGAATGCATCAATGCTGTCTGTTCAACAAATCCATGATCACATGGCGAAGTATGTGAGTATACCTGAAAGCTGGCGAAGCAAAAACTATGCTTTTGAATTTGTTAACTCAATCAATGAGATAGTGCAGAATGAAACTATACACAATGTTAAAAATGCACCTTGGCATACCCTGATAATAGATGAGAGCACAGACATAACAGTACACAAAATGCTCGTCATATATATTGAATACAGGGAGGAAAATGATGTCAACTATAAAACTGTGTTTGGTGGCATCATCCAGCTGGCAGCATGCACTGCTCAGGATATTGTGCAAGCAATAACTCAGTTTTACACCAAACATGGACTGGACTTGCAGAGAATTGTGATGCTGACCTCCGATGGTGCCTCTGTAATGCTAGGAAAACACAACGGAGTTGCGGCTTTGTTAAAGCGCCAAATACCACACCTAACTGAACAACATTGTGTGGCCCATAGAGAGGACTTGGGCATTGATGATGCCTGGAAAGATGTGCCATTGATGCGAGATGTGGAAACTCTTCTTAGAACTGTATATTCCACTTTCTCTCGGTCCAGCGTGAAGAGGAGCAAAATGGAGGACCTCACCAAGGTCCTTGATGAAGATACATTGTCATTCAGGCCTCTGAACGAAGTGCGATGGCTGTCGCGGCACCAAGCTGTGAATGCTGTTCTGAGGAACTACACTGTGCTTGAAGAATTCTGCAAAAGAGAGTTCACTGATAATAGAGATCCAGTGGCAAAGTACTGCTATAAAAAACTGAGTGATTCAAAGTTCAAGGTTACTGTCACTGCTCTGGGAGATGTTTTGGGTGAGCTAGCACAACTCTGCCTCTCTTTACAAAGACGCAACCTGACTGTGATGGAAGGGCACTGCTTTGCTAGAGCAAAGATTGAGAAGCTGCGTTCCCAGTACTTGAAGGAAAAGGATGTACAGTGGAGTGACCGTGTCAAAAAGGCAATGGAGACCTCAACAGCTGATGGCAGAAATACTGGCGAGATTACTGCTTTTATTGGTAAGCTCTGTGATCACATGGATGCTCGTTTCCCAGAAAAGGAGTGGTCTGCATTTGACATTGAAGCATTGAGCTCTGACATCAGTTTTGATTATGGATCAGCAGACATTGCCACTCTGGCAAAAAAGTATGAGGCCATTCTCCACCACCCACAGTCTTTGGAGGCCATTAACAGCCAATATGCTGAGTTCAAGTACATAATGAAGCAAAAACTTAAACAGGGGTCAATCAGCACATTCTCAGATATGGTGACTGCAGCACTGAGATGTGAGGAGCTCAAGGAGATCTCACAGCTTGTGGATATTTGTGCTACGTTCCAAGCTTCCAGTGCAGATTGTGAAAGAGGATTTAGCTTAATGAATCATATCAAAACAGCATCTAGAAATCGTCTTGAAGTGGCACATTTGGACCAGCTGATGCGCATTAAGTCAAGGCAAGAAGCAGATGGAGCCATCAACCTGGACAAAGTGTACAACCATTGGAGAAGTGAGAAGGACAGACGTGAAAAATAAGGTAAAATTTAAGTCAGATTTGGCTATATACTAGTGACAAGATTTTTTTTATTTATGGATATTAGTCATTAAAGGTTGTTACCACTAGATGATTTATGGGTAGTAGAAATGCTAATAAAAATGTGTTCTTAGATATTATACAGTTACAGAGTTACAGGAATTTACCATGTAACACAAGCTACGGTACAAATGTCATTGTGCAAAATGTGAGTTTTTTTAATGTGAACAAAATGTTATGTCTGAAAGGAATGTCTCATTTTTTCCAGAGCAGGACCCTCACCCAGGCCAAAGCAGGACTCTTCCTCCTCCCATGGCCAAAAAAGGACTCTTCTCATGACCAAAGCAGGACTCTTCCTCCTCCCATGGCCAAAAAAGGACTCTTCTCATGACCAAAGCAGGACTCTTCCTCTTCTCATGACCAAAGCAGGACTCTTCCTCTTCTCATGGCCAAAAGCAGGACTCTTCTCATGGCAAAAACAGGACTCTCACATATAAAATACTGCACATTTCATGTTCAAAATTTTTTGTCTTTTTCATTTTAAGTGGGCCAAATCACTTTTATTAAAAGTAAATAAATTGAAATTGCTGCTGTAATCTGATTATTTTAATAAGCCACGTAAGTGTTATGATTCCAGTTATTGTACAGGTGTGCTACTGGTGTGTGGTCACAGCGTGCGCATTTGATGGTGCTCACATTGATCTTCAGTGTGCTCAGGAAGCTTGTGTGTTTGCCCAGACACATGAAAAATTAGAAGGAACATTGGTCACAAGTATAAAGACTTAAAAAAAATATATATGTGAAATACGTCTTTTCCACGGGGAAAAAACAGGTGTACTTGGAGGCAATCGCTGCTTTTGTGGAGGCAGATACGGATATGCTGAGGATAAATCTGTCGATGCAGCCGTAAATATCCGTGAAAGACATTGAGCTTTAGTTTATGATATGAATCCATATGCCATAATAAGGTGTTGGTGTCTCTGCAGGTGTAGGTTACTGCCGGTGTCAGAGACGTGGTGCTTGTCGGAGCTCGACTCCCTCTGGATCACAAATGTTGATCATCATCAGTTTGATTGTTTCTTCAGAAACCACAAAAACTCTCTGAATGACCCGCTGATACATCCACAGATAACCCTGCAGATGACCAGCTTCAGTCATTTCCCCCTCCACAAAAGCAGCTTTATGACTTGATTTACTTGATAACTTTATTCTCCTAAGTTTACAACTTTAATATCTAAATCTTAAAAAAAATAAATAAAAATACTCTAATAATGTTGTCCTGATACTCTGCTGTAGTTTTGTCAGCTTTCTTATTTCTAATGTTTTTGATTGTTGTAGCAGAGCGGATCAGTTCGTCTCTAAATCTATCATGTTTGGTTTACAGATTTTAGTGAGTTTGGAGATCATGCGCTCATACAGCCTGAGCTGACTGTCAGCTGTTTTTGAATTTCTTGTATTTTCTTTGAAGACGCGCTGCGTCTCCAAGCGAGTCCAGCCTCTCACCCGAAATGTGCAGTTGTGCAGCGAGACGCAAAGAATTCTGGGATACCAACGGCACGGAAGCGTGCGTAAATGCACGCTTGAAAAAGGGGCGGGGGCAGTGTGGTTCTGAGACCGAATTTGAAGCACTCTTAGCATTTCATGCCAAATGGGACACCGTTCGTGCCGCGTGATGACCCCATGCACGCTTCAAATGCGCCGTTCGACGGTGCGGTCTCTGAAATGAGACACAGGCAGGGTACTTAGGTCCACATAACGGCACATAATGGCAGTGCGCTCAGCTAAGCGCGCTTAAGCGCACTTATCCCAATGCAGTCTCTGAAATGAGACACAGCCTCTGTGTAAGGACCATAGACTGTATATAGGATGGACAGAGTCTGCCTCCTCGTTGGTTGAAGCCACTTCGAGAACAGCACCCTCTGTTGATGGGCTGCAGTATAGGTCATAAATCCCGCCTCTGCCAGCAAAGCTTGGAGCTGTGGACAAACTTTAGAAATTTATAACACAGAACATACATTTTTCTCCCCCCTGCTTGTGATGTTGACATATAGTTATTGTAAGACTGGTTGGTGCTCAAGTCCTTTTTTTTCTGTGAAGCTCCGTTTTTAAAGGTTATTAGAGGGTTCATGTTTTTTATGATTGACACCTGATACAGTCTATGGGCGTTCAGGGATTACGTAGCTCACCCGGGGGGATACGCTGTTTGAGCCGAGCGTCATCACAGTGACTGTCGGCGACTGCGCGGCCGAATGCGCGCATCGCTACTTCGCAGGGCTGGTTTCAGGAAATGAAGAAAAATCCCGGAAATATCGAGAGATTTTTGGCTTCAAATCCGTATACAGGTGGTAGGCGGAACCAAGTTGTCCATAGTATATACAGTCTATGGTAAGGATGCCTAGCCCAGGTTAGGATCCACACGAATGATCACTCTGGCTGGTTTTACTGGTTTCAGATCCGGGCTCCAGCTTAAGTCCGCCTCAGGTGTAACAAAGACCGGTCTGAGAGGGTTCGGGTTTATGTAGTGGTTCAGGTTTTTAGACATTTTTCTACATCCTGTCTAGAGAGTCCAGATGGGTCCAGACAAAAAAGTGAACCTGAGTGATGTCAGACAGGTGTAGAAGTTCCTGGTTCAGGAGGGTTTTAGAGGAATCTAGAACCAAAATATCTATGGTATTTGAGTTTCACAGCTCCACCCCCAAACACCCTAAAGGCTTACATGACAGAAAACACACAGATAATACACACATAACATTTACACACAACATCTGTCAGTGACCCTTGACCCTCTGATCAGCTCTGAGTAGATGCCACTGTCTGAAATGTTCTTGTTTTTAGGATTTATCAGGTCCTCTCACTCTGAAGTGTTCTTGTTTAAAGGAGTTATCACATCCTTTCTGAAGTGTTCTTGTTTTCAGTAGTTATCAGGTCCTCTGATTGGTCACTTTGTTCTGTTTCTATGATCATCTGGAGCAGCTGCAGTTTGATGGACTCTGTCTGTCTTTGGTCTCTGAACAGCGCCCTCTGGTCTCATGAACTACATTTAGAAGGTTCTGTTTATATATTTGCACACTGGTTTGGTCATAAAAGGTCCAGATTGGCAGGTGAGGCGTTAGGGTTGGATTCAGATCGTCCTTTAACCACAAAGCTATTTAAAATGGTGTCAGACTCAGAGTTCTGCTCTTCTTCCTGGTCTCAGGTGTGTTAGAAGTGGTCATCGTTGTCGGGGGTCTGAGCGCCAGTCATTGTCTGGTCCGTGTGGTCAGGGAGCTCTGCGATGCAGCCAAACCAGGTGAGAACATGAAGCTCCTGTCCTCCAAACCAAACCATCTGAGGACGTCTTCTTCGGGGACACTGAGAGACCAGCTTGGGGTCCACTGTGAGGGCTGGTCTTCAGAGAGTCCCCCTCCTCACTATTCAAGATCTTTCTAAAGAGGTTTTCCACCAAACTGTCTCTGAGTGAGCCGTCTGCTGTCTGTGTGCAGGAGGTCTGGTCTGCATGAGCCTAGGAGACCACCAAGGAGCCAAGAGTCAAAGGTACTAGGCTGATCTGGAAATGGAGCTGCAGCTGATGGAACAGGAGGGTCAGTGGACTCAGGTGGGAATCACACACAGCGACAGGTGCATGGGCAACACACATCAGAGCGCCAAGGGAGACCGAGACCTCCAGCAGGGGGAGCAGTTCATCAGCTTTATCTACCTGTACAGGAAGTCCAGTCAGAGGGTCTCAAACAGTCCAAAAACAAGAGTCTGACCAGCAGAGATCTTTGGTGTAGAAACGCTCAGGAAGTCTCCTTTAATAACTAATATTCGTTATTAATAACTAATATTTGTATAATAATAACTCATAATAATCATTATTAATATCTAAAAATATTCATTATTAATAACTAATATTTGTGTAATACTGAAGAATTTCAGTGAACGTTGATGATCATAAACGTGAAGTTTTCTTCTTCTACTGTACATCCAAAAACATCAGGACAGAGTTTTAAACAGATCAGACTTTGGCATCCAGCTGATGTTTCACCTGCTGTCCTGAGGTCTGAGTCAGTGGCGGTTCTAGACTAAATTACTCCCCAGGCGAAACCCCCTCCAAGCGCCATGAAGAAGTCAGACGTCTGAAATAAAACCATTTCCTGTTCTGTTGGAGTCCATGCCGTGATCAGTGACCACGCCTGAGTCAGCGTTAAGAACATCATCAAAACGTGATTCAGAAAAAACACCGGCTTCTTAAAGGGACGGTACAATAGGTAACCTTCACAGGTATAAGTCTAGATTACGCTCTCACTCTGTCTGTCCCTGTTAGTATGTCTGTTAGTCTGTCTGTTACTGTGTCTGTTAGTCTGTCTGTTAGTGTGTTTGTTACTGTGTCTGTTAGTGTGTCTGTTGCTGTGTCTGTTAGTGTATCTGTTACTGTGTCTATTAGTCTGTCTGTTAGTGTGTCTGTTAGTTCGTCTGTTACTGTGTCTGTTAGTTCATCTGTAACTGTGTCTGTTAGTCTATCTGTTACTGTGTCTGTTAGTCTGTCTGTTAGTGTGTCTGTTTTTTCTGTCTGTAACTGTGTCTGTAAGTCTGTCCTTCAGTCTGTCTGTTATTCCGTCTTTTATTCTGTCTGTAACTGTGCTTGTTATTCTGTCTGTTAGAATGTTTGTTAGTGTTTCTGTTATTATGTCTGTAGCTGTGTCTGTTATTCCGTCTGTTACTGTGTCTGTCAGTCTGTCTGTTTCTGTGTCTGTAAGTCTGTATGTCTGTCTGTAAGTGTCATCTCTAATGTTCTGTTTGGGCTGGTAAACCTGAAAGTTCTGGACGTGTTTCCATCACGAGGTCAGCTCGGGTTCTTCTTTTAGGTCCTCAGGTGAACAAAATTTACATGAGGGTACAAATAAAGTGACCTTTGACCTTTAGACCTGTGCTGTAGGTGACCCTCTTAACGTCAGTCTGAGCAGCTCAGGTGTTTCTGACACAGAGAGACTCTGAAGTTCACGTGTTTCTGTCCCTCTGATGTTAGAAGTAGACCTCACTTTCGTCACGTCGTTCGAGGAAGGCGGGTCAGATCAGGTCATGAATGAATAAACCTCAAGATGATTGATCCGTCTGTCTCCATCTGTTTTAAATTTGTAACAGCACACCATCATTCACCGATCAATTTTAAACTTTATTTCAAAGAATGAACAAATAACCAAAACATTGTTTTCACCACCACAACAGGTCTGAAATATTCATTCATTCACTGATTTATTGATTCACTGATATTCACTTTCTGCTCTGATATTTGATATCCTAATCTGTAGTCACTGTTAAGGGCTTGTGTCCACTGACAGAGGAGGAGGAGTTTTCACTGGCAGTGCTCAGAGCCTCAGTGTAAGAGCGCTTCTCTTTCAAAGTTCCCATGGTTACTTAAATGTAAATAAGATCTCTAAGGTCTTAAAATGTCTAAAAGAAGATTTTCTAAATGTAGAGCTCAAAAAAGTGGTCAAAAGTCGAAAATTATAATTACAAATTCAAAGTTTTAAAAGGCTCACAATGTCTGAAATTGATCATTTTAACTAGAAAATGAAGAAGTCTGAAATTAATTTAAAATATATTTAGGACTTAAAAAATCTTTAAAAAGTCTAAAAGGATTTGAATTTAAGGTGTAAATCCAAGTCAGTTGAAAGTCTTACAGAGGATTCAAAGAAAACTTGGGACTTCAGGAAAACTCCCAAAGGTCTAAGAAGTCTCAGGATTTATAAATTAAAGGACTCTGTCGTTTTCTTTTGGCCTAAAAAGTCTTTGACATTAGAGTTATAAAAGTTGAGGGTCTGAGATGTCTTAGAAAGTCTTAAATTGGACTGATAAAAGTCACCACCTTCAGATGTCTAAAAAAGTCCTCACTCATGAGGTCTTGGATGAATTTCTGAAGACCAGATTAGACCTAAAAAAGTTTTAATAAAATGTTCTGTGAGCTCAGCTGTAAAAAAAATCAGCTGATAAAAAAAGGTCTGACCTGCTCTGATTTGGTGTTTGGAAACAGGAGCTGCCGGTGAAGGAAGTGGAAACAGGCCCTTACAGACTAACTCTTTGAAACCATGGTAACCACCAAGTGTGAAGGTCTAACCTGAGTCCATCTGTCGGCCTTTTTCAGTTTTATCTGAGAGGTTTTCAAAAGTACTGTAATACTGTGATGAATGTATGGATTAAAACCTGGGGTTCATCTATTTCAGGGACTTTCTGTAGAGGTACATGGTTCCTCCCAGATACTTGTCCTCCTGTTTGTTGGAGACATCCATCATGTAATCTTTCATCTCCTCAGAGGCCACATGAGTCCACAGCCCCTCCTCCTCCATCTGCTGAAGCTCACGCTCCAAACACTCCTTATATTTGTCTCCCAGCTCTGAGTTTGGGTCCACCCTGGACATGCAGACGTATCCACCTGGAGGACAGGAGGGTAAAGAAAAGGTTTAGTTGTCCTTCAGAGAAGATCTACAGTGAACGCCAAACATGACTCTGTAAGCTCCAGTCCAACCATGGTCAGTGTGAACACCAAAAACAGATGTACAGACACCATGTGAGATCTGGTTTTGGCGAAGGAGAACTGAACATCATCTGCATAAAGAAACCCTTTGAGCTCTTCATTATGAAGACAAGAACACCAAACATGTGGACCCAGTATCACAGTTCCTCACCTGGTTTTGTGGCTTGGTGGAGCTCCCTGATGATGCTGACTGGGATATGCTCATGACGTAGAGCGCCGACGATCACCACCACGTTGTACGTATCTGAACCCAGCAGTGGAGGAGAAAGAGCAGCTTGGTTACCCTGTCTGTGAACTCCAGATCCCACAGATCCAGACTGCTGTTCTCACACTCAGGTGAGGGGGAAATTACCAAAAAATGTTGAACAGGAATCAGAAGCTCTCTGAGTGTATCCTCTGACCATCACCGACAGATAGGATCGCAAAGGGGCGGAAAATTTCTGGTAAATTTCCAGAAACTTTCCATGGGAAGTTAAGCTGGGGAATTTTGGAAATATTCCAAGTTGGAAACTTTAATGGGAATTATGGGAATTGCGGGGAATTAACTGGAAATTGGGGGTGATTTAAACAAACTGTATCATATCCAAACATAAATGTAATTCAGTCAGGATTAAGGCTGCACGATATGAGATTTTGGTCATATCCCGATATAGCTCATTTTATATCCCGATACGATATACATCATGATATAGTACATTTTTTGTGAATTCAGTTGATGTATAGCTTATATAAAATATAATATTCGTATGTAGGCTTGAAGTAAATAACTCATCTGACCCCCCTCCCTGACGGGAGCGCGGTTGAAGATACATAACAAGGCGAAATAATCCAAGTTTTCCTTACCGTTGGACTGTTTCTAAAGCGTGTGCCTTTAATGATTTCATTCAGGCTATTCAGATATGCCGAAAACAACAACCCTCTGATTCGGAATATTTGCTGCCCCGAAAATATAATGTTCTCTACCATGACAGCTAACTGTACAGTTTAAATACGCAAATACACCTCTCTATGTGCTTTTTTTAAAAACCTAAAAACAGAACGAAAGTTTGCTGCTCCATTTGACATGTTGTCATGATCCAATACTCGTGTTTTTTTAAATATGAGATATTTTTTTTCCACTTTAAGACGCTAATGAGTGGATAGGATGCAGGGGTGCATTCTACGGCATAACACCTATCAAGCTGCGCGAGGAAGAAGGAGGATAAGCGGGGAGACGAATTAAATATCTTGTTAACTTCATCATGTGTGACTGTTTACTGGATATTTAATTTAATGCGGTTTCAGCTGTGTTAATTCGGTCAGGTGGAGTGTCCAAACGCGCTCATCAGATCAGATATAGATCAGAGTATATCGATATAGATTTACATATATGTGCTGACTCAGAATAAAACTACAGCGGTCTGCTCCGTGTCGTTCCTTTTAAAACCAAACCACGACCGCACAACCGACGTTGCCCCCCGTTTCGGCAGCAGCTCCTCCGTCTGCGTTGGCTCGTCTGCGTTTGATGCACGAGAATTGTCATCTCTTTCGCCACAATAACCCGGCTCCTCCATGTTTGTTTGTGTTTTTCACAGTGGCCGTAGCGCGTGCGGGCATGCAATATATGGAGCGTCACGACGTAAAACACTGCCGTAAAGCGCGTTTTTGCGACACCGCGATAGAAACGATAGAGCTCATGTATCCCGATAGAAATTTTCTATCGTTTAGACGAAACATATCGTTATATCGTGCAGCCTTAGTCAGGATCACTTTAGTCAAAATTAATTATTTATTAAAAGCATTTTTTACATTGGCGGTATGGCCCGTTCTGAGGGTTCCCTGCTCTCCATGGCTATAAGAGGGGAGAGCCCCTCCCCTCCCTTTCGTGTGCATACATGAAAAGCCAAGGTAGAGAAAGCAGCCGCAAATAAATACTATTCAGATAAATAAATTGAAATCCTCCCACAGAGCAGAGCAAGCATCAGTGACAATACATAAGATCAGACACAACATAAACAGGAGGAGCTGGAGTGGAGGTGGGTTGCAGAGTGGTTGCAACAGGCAGAGTAGGCAGGAGAAGCAGTTTAAATAGGGCGCCATTTTGACATTAGCCAATAGGATGTGAAGAGAGCGATCACCTGAGCTGTCAGCTGACTGAGGGCTGGCTTAAGATCAGCTGACTGTAGCCTTTAGCTTGACACCGTGACCTGCTTGAAACTACCGCTATGCTTCATATATTTTTGTTTTGTCATAAGCAGACATCTATGCAAAATAATCCAATTAAAAGACATGAGCTTTTACAAAATCTTGTAAAAACATTAATGTAATATCATAAACAGAAATATTGTTAGCTAAACAACTGGAATGGTCTTCCAAATATTTGATAAAAATAGCTTACATTTAGCACCTATTTTTATGTAATTAAGTTAAATATCAATACTATTACAGATCAAATCTATTTACCCCATAATATTATCCAAACTTTCTTGACTGTCTATAGTCAGTGGGCTCAAATGTCTTGTGCTTTGGGCTCTCAAGTGTGGCCTCCAGGGTTCAAGAAATCATGTGATTGAGGAGTGGACTTGCATTAAATTTGGTTGTTTTAGTCAAGATTATGCTACAAGATATTTTCACCAACTATGTTTGAGTTCCAGTTGAGGGCCAACCTTCAATTTTGGATATTTCCGATTTATTCATGTTAATTTCCATGGAAAGTTTCCAACTTTGAAAATTCCCAGAATTTTGCAACACTACTGACAGACCAACCACAGTTTAGAGCCTTCAGTGTCAAACTAGTCTCAACAGGACTTTGTTCAAACCTTTACTAAAGATACCAGTGTGTGTGTTTGTGTGTGTGTGTGTGTGTGTGTGTGTGTGTGTGTGTGTGTGTGTGTACCTGTCTCTGCAGGAAGTGGCTGTGCTCCCAGTATGGCCAGTCTGAGGTCCTTATAAAGGCTGTTTTTTGTAGCTAGATCCAGCATGTTCTTACTGGCGTCTACTCCCACAAAGTGTTTGAAGCCCAGTTTCACCATCTGAGACACAAAAGAGGAGAAGAAGAAGAAGAAGAAGAAGAGCATGAAGACAGACTCTGAGTCCTCTGGGGGAGAGCAGACGGTGATGTGACTGAAAGGCCTCGGCCAGTGGGTTAGCAGGAGTGCATTTAAAGGGATATTCCGGCGTAAAATGAATTTAGGATCAAACACACCAAAACACAGAGTTAGACACCCCCTCCAGAGATGAATGTTGCCGACCGCTTGCTTCTCTAGTTATACCAACTTTAGTAATGACCACAGGATAGCAATACACAGCAGTCTGAGGAGCCATAAACAAACCTTAACCAAAACGCCACTCTATAGCCACAAATAATGCTCAGAACAGCACCTAACTTTATCAACAGTACATATAGGGTCCCAGCCATAGAACTATATTCAGAGTTGTTCTAACTCCTAAGAAAACATAAACTTAAGCGGGGGCGTTTCTCCACTTCTGTAGTCTATAAGCTGGGCCAAGAAACTTCTGTTTTTATTAAGCCGAATTATCAATAAAATCATGATTTTGTTAACAGGTATGAATATATGAGCTGTCAAGTTAGTGTATTTGAACAAGAGCACAGTGAAGCTAATTTTCCAAAGAGGTTCTGTTACTGAACGGACCTACACCATGTTCTACTAAGGTTAGCACATATAGGGTCCCAGCCACTGCACTACCCAAAGAGACTAAACACAACTCACCTACTCTCTTCCAGCAGCCGCTTGCTTGTAGCAAGACCTCAGGCCAGTCCATTACGGACTACAGCAGGGTGACGCAGCTCAAGGAAGAACATTTATGATCATTCCTTCATGGAAATACAATCAGACCCAGACGAAAGAACTACTGCGTCTACAAAATGATTAATATGGTGATTATTACTTCAAGGAAATGATAAAGAAATGATCATAAATGTTCCTTCTTGAGCTGTGTCACCCCGCTGTAGTCCGTAATGGACTGGGCTGAGGTCTCGCTACAAAAAAGCGGCTGCTGGAAGAGAGTAGGTGAGTTGTGTTCAGTCTCTTTACTGAAGAAATTAGTCAAAGTTAAAAAGATGTTTGGTGGCTAGTGCTGTGGCTAGGACCCTGTATGTACGGTTGATGAAGTTAGGTGCTGTTCTGAGCATTATTTGTGGCTATAGAGTGGCGTTTTGGTTGAGGTTTGTTTATGGGTCCTCAGACTGCTGTGCATTGCTATCCTGCGGTCATTACTAAAGTGAAGCAAGCGGTCGGCATCATTCATCTCTGGAGGGGGTGTCTAACTCGGTGTTATGGTATGTTTGACCCTAACTTAATTTTACAGTGGAATATCCCTCAGTGTCTCTAAATGTCTTTGTTACTTGATCCATCCTCAGCCTGTAGAGTACAGGACCCTTTTCCCTCTGCGGTCTCTCTGAAGGTAAAGGGATCTTCAGTACTAAGCTGCACTCACTAAGAGGACCATGAAATCCAGAACCTCCTGGGTTTGACTCAACAGTTTTACGATCAAGGGTGTCTCACAAGTTTAGCGACGAGTCCAGATCCACAGGCCACGTCCAGAACCTGAATGTCCTCTCGATCCCCGGGATAGTGAGCATCCAGGAACTCAACCACCAGATTTGGAGCTCTGTAGTGGATCATCTCAGAGTCCTGGAAAAAAAAGGCAGTTTAGATAGTGTCTACTTTTGGACACGTCCACCATTAGTTTACTGCTGAGGACATCAGAACTGCTGTTGGGACAATGTTGGTCCACCGTGAGACGTTTTAGAAGGAGCGGCTTTTCATGGTTTCCTTCAAATTTTAGGTTTCAATTTCACTGAAAAACAGGGTTCCCTAGGTTCCCCCAGTGTTCCCCTATTGTCCCCCGGTGTCCCCCCATTGTCCCACAGTGTTCCCCCAGTGTCCCCCTATTGTTCCCCTATTGTCCCTCCAGTGTCCCCCTATTGTTACCTCATTGTCACCTAGTCCCCCCCAATGTCCCCCTATTGTCCCCCAGTGTCAATGTTCCCCTATTGTCCCCATACTGTTTCCCCAGTGTCCCCCCAATGTCCCTCTATTGTCCCCCATACTGTCCCCCCAGTTTCCCCCTGTTGTTTCCCCATTGTCCCCTATACTGTCCCCCAAATGTCACCCTATTGTTCCCCCAGTGTCCCCCATTTTTCCCCAGTTTCCCCCCAGTTTGGTGGGATGATGATGAAAATGGGGACATGTTCCCAGTACAGACGGATGGGGTCCACAGGGAGGTCTTTGTTGGGGGTTCAGTGTTTAGAGGAAGGACTTTCTGTACCGTCTCCGTGTCTTTGCGGTAAGATCACTCCAAGGTCTGCTGTGTCAGCCTGGAGGTGTCCCCCCCCCCCCCCCCCCAGTTAGACAAAGCTGTGTAGATATCAGAGGACAGGATGTCTAGGTGGTCAAGGTCCTTTCCTCAGTTATCTGTTGATAAGACTCAGTGTCTCAGTCTCAGACACAAATGGAGGAGGACAGACAGTGATGTCAGTCCTCATCTTCAAAACTGATTTCTAATAATAGTACTAAGGTCGATCAATAAGACAAACATTATTGGATCAATTTTCATTGTTCCCCTAAAGTTCTTTGTGTGCTCCTTAATTATTCAACTTATGAGAACATATGAACAAAGTTAGTGTCAAGCCCTGTCCCTGCTCACTGACCTTCTCGTAGGTCTCCGCCCACTCATCATACCAGCTCGCCGTCTGCTGTGAGTCGAAACCTCTCCAGCACTGGAGGAAGGTTTTAACGTCGTCCACAGATCTGCTGCTGCTGTCTGACATGATGGTCTATCAAAGAGGACATCTTTGACACGTTAGAGACAGGACACACACGCACACGCACACACACAAGCTTTCACAGTGAAATGATTGACAGCTGACCCCAGGCCCAGATAAGGCCCGCCCCATGTGGTCTCAGTATATCAAACCTTTACTGCTGCAGTGCTGACCTTTACACACCTGACAACACTTCGACTGATTCTCTGATAGGCCGTGAACTCAGAAAAGCTGAGTCAGGTAGTGGATCAGCAGGTGAAGGGAAGGAGACTTTTTAGAGTGAACGCAGTTTAAATTAAAACATAAAAAAAAAAACACAAACAAACAAAAAAAAAAGCAGTTTTTTTAAATTTTTTATCCTGATCGACAAAACTAATCTGAGCCTGAGGGTCTGAGACCCGGTCTGAATCGTCAAAACCTGATCTGAGCAGCGATCGGCACATCAAAAGTGAAACAAAATGTAACTTTTTATTTTAAATTTATTTGAACCCTGTTTTTATATAAAGTTAATCCTCTCAGTGACGGGCTGATCCAACAAGTCCTGACCGGTCCTGGACTAGACCCCCTGACTTTTACATTTCAGAGTCCAGACTACACGCGCACGCGCGCACACACACACACACACACACACACACACACACACACACACACACACACACAGACTGCCCCTCACAGTCTAATCTGCAGCAGTGATCAGTCAGATTAATAAAGGTGCAGATCATAGACTGTATATACTATATAATATGTTTATACTATATATTTCGTATACTATATAACATGTATATACTTTAAAATATAGATTACTATATAATACTGTATATAATACATAGTATGTACTTTAAAATATATAATACTATATTGTATATACTATATAGTATATACTTTAAAATATATACTTTATAGTATATACAATATAATATTATATAATACTATATAGTATATACAGTCTCTGGTGCAGATTCATGATCAGGGTTTAAACTTAGACCAGTTAGTCTGAGTTTAACATGAAGAGGTTTTGGTCGGAGCGCTGATTGAAGGTTCGAGTTCGGAGTATTTTCAGAGAGTATGAGAGTTCAGTATGTACTCACCTGAGTGTGTGTGGAGCAGCTGGGGGACCAGGTGTGACAGAGGGAGGTGAGCGGAGCAGGTTTACCAGGTCCAGAGGTGGACAGGTTTATCAGGATCCTGGTGACTCAGCCCGGGGTCTTTACTCTCCGAGCTCCAGAGAGGAGGGGCTATGGGGAGTTCAGGGTCTGCAGGGAAAGCAGGAAAATTCAGTTTCTGTGGTCCGTCAGGGAGGACAGATGCTAAAAGGGTAGGACCAGGATCAGGTCCATTCAGACCTGGAGGAGAGCAGGTTTGAATCTTCAAAATAAAACCATGAAACCAGACTCAGCTGCTGGTTTTTAGTCGCACCCTGTTTAGTCTGGACTTTAATGTGTGCACACAGAGCAGGGCTCAAACCAGGACCGTCCACTGTGGGCCCTGGGTTCACACATCTGTTTGACAGGAGGAGCAGGACAAGCGCCGTACACTTTTACACATCCATGTCAGTATGTTTCAGTCCCAGACCCTCTTCAGACTGTCCCAGGACCAGGACCAGCTGGGAAATAACACTCGGTGTACGGACTGAGAGTTTACACTCAAACAGTGAAACTATCAACTAATAACAAAATAATTATTAAAGGAATTGAACTGACATTAGGGTTAGGGTTAAAATAACTGTCCAGGACCTTTTTTGGAGCACATTTCAGACAATTTGGAGTCAATTGATGTAAAAAAATAAATAAATAAAATGTCAACATTTCTTGAAGATAGGCTTATGTTGGGGTAATGTTGAGGTATTGGGGTTAGGGTTAGGATTGGGATTATGGGGTAAGGGTTAAAAAAAACTGTCCAGGACCTTTTTAGGAGCACATTTCAAACCATTTGGAGTCCATTGGTACAACAAAAAAATTTCAACATTTTTTCAAGTGTTAGGGTTACATTGAGGTAACATTGGGGTTTTAAGGTAAGGGGTTTATGGTTAGGGTTATGGGGTAAGATTATGGGGATAGAATGAAATAACTCTCCAGGACCTTTTTAGGAGCACATTTCTGACCATTTGTTATCAATTGGTTTAAAAGATTAGGAAGATTTTCAAAACGTGTTAGGGTGATGTTGGGGAAATGGGGTTGGGGGGTTAGGGTAGGGTTAGAGTTAGAGTTAGGATTATGGGATAGTGGTTAAAATCACCATCCAGGACCTTTTGAGGAGCACATTTTAGACCATTTGGAGTCGATTTGTACAAAAAAAAAAAAAGGTAAAATTAATTAATTTTTTTTGAGTATTTGGGTAATTTGGGGTAATTTGGGTTAGGGGGTTAGGGTTATGGGGTTAGGGGTTAGAGGTAAGGGTTAAAGAAACTGTCCAGAACCTTTTTAGGAGGATGTTTCAAACCATTTGGAGTCAATTGGTATAAAATATTAGGAAAAAATTTAAAAAAATTTTCAAGGGTTCAAGTGACACAAAAGAGACTGGTCTCTGTTTGGACTGAAAGAAGAACCAAAACCATCCAATACAAGAACTTTATTGATCTGTCAAGAACAGGCTGAACAACAGGAACCTAAATTCTGGACTAAGGGACCGGTTCAGTGTGGACTGTTTATTAAAGAGTCCAGGTTCAGGAACAGAGAAACAGTCCGACAGGCAGAGGGATCCAAACCAGTCTAGGCAGGTCCAACAAAAAGCACGATCAGAGTCAAGATCAGGCAGGCTGTGAAAAATGTGACTGTGAGGTACATCAAACTGAAGACGAGGCCGTGGGAAACACGGGGTTAAAAACACGAGGTCATGAGGGGGACAGGTGGGGGGCAGGTGGGGGTGAACAGATGTGACAAGAACAGATCTAGAAGACATAGACATGACATGATCCCCAAAGTCTCAGTCCTGATTGGTTCATGTTTCTACACGTCATTTCTGTTTTTAAAGGTAGGGTAGACAGGAATCTGTTAAAGAAGCATCTGACAGGGTATTTTGTGTTTTTTTTTTGTGGTTTTTATACAAAAAATCTTTTAGTATCAGTCAAAAATTATTAGTTATTGATGAAATTTGGTAATATAACGATATCTCTGTGTTCTCTTATGTCTGTGTAGTCAACACTTTAACATTTTTGAGTGGCCCACTCTTTCTGACTGTAAACACAGCAATTCTTTACCTCCTCTAACCCGATTGGTTGTGAGGCAGACGCTGCTCCCCTCTGTCGTTCACGAGCCCCAACAAAGTTAGCGTGCTACAATATCTGACAGCAGAAACCAACCAGAAAGTTCGGAAAATTGTCTGAATCCTCCTTTGGCCACGACTGCCAACACAAGCAAGAAAACAAAGTAAATACCGGAGACTCTGGCGGAATAACAGGCGCTTAAAACGGAGCTAGACCGGACAACAACTAACCCCAATTTCCACCACATCTGGAACAGCAGCGATTTTTGCCATCCGCCAATTCCTACCGGATCTGTTTGTGAGGTGAATTTGTGGTGAATTACGTACAGCAGGAATCGTGAGAACTCACAAGAACCTGCGGATTCACGTCCAATCGCGTGATAACGAGTTGTCTCTATAAAGATAGACACATAGACATATAAGCAGTAGATTGTGTCCTTCCAGAGGAGGAAATCTGCTTCTAGACTTCTAGAATCAGCATCTCCTCATCCGTGGTGTCATCGGGGTGAAATGACGTCTAAAAACCTTTCACTTGTTCGTCTCCGCCCTTTTGCATGGTGTGAAATATGATCCTCCTGAAACACGGAGTGTTTTATTTTGAAAAGAAGCCGGTGGAAATTGAAATGTTAACTTGAATGGTTACAATCAGCTACGATCGGCGGATACAGCCTTTTCATAGACATTCAGGATGCGGTGGAAATTGGGGGTAAGAAACCGGGTCAACATAGACGATGGAGGACACTTCTGGATCTTGGTGACCCTGTAACCTTTCTGCTGGACAGGTAAACCGCTTTAACCAAGTAAGCCAAGTGTCTGTAACAGAAGTGTTTCTTGTCAAACTGGACCTGCTGTAGCGTGTTGTAGCGCCGCTAAACAGTTGACCTCGGGTCCTGGACTATGTCACTTTGTCCTAGTTGTAGAAGTCCTGCAAAAATTGTGTTTGCTGGTAGTCTGTTGGCATCTACAGTAGCACCAATGCTTTTTACTTTCACATTGACTGGGCCCCATTTGTAATTATCTGTAGTATTAATCTGCATTATATCTGAATTTAATTGGAACGATACGAGTGAGCAGGAGCGTCTGTTTGTGGGAGGGGCTTGCTGGAGCAGAGAGAGAGAAGGGAGAGGAGGAGCTGAGGGGAGAACTGATGGGGGGGGGGGGGGGGGTAGAGTTTACATTCAAGATTTGTCCTAAAAACTGGAACTTCGTCAGATCCTGACTACTCCACCTTTAACAGTGCTGGGTCAAAGGTCACCTCTGTATTAATGAACCTGCAGTGATGTTCACAGAGACCAGGATTCAGGGATTTGCCAAGACCGACCCAAGAATTCTTCTGCACATCCACATCCACATTATGATCCAGAACCGTTTGGTCCGTTTGATACCATCAGAACCACATTAGACTTATGGGGACAAAAACCAAGGGTTCACACGGGACAGGGTTAGTCATGTTGGACTCTCAGGTCCTTCTCTTCAGTCATGATGGACTCTCAGGTCCTTCTCCACGGTCATGATGGACTCTCAGGTCCTTCTACTGTCATGATGGACTCTCAGGTCCTTCCTCTACAGTCATAATGGACTCTCAGGTCCTTCTCTCAGGTCATGAACGTTTGCTCTGATTGTGTAAATTATGAAGATCTGCTGACATCAGGCCTCCTTGTCTGTGATTGGTCAGATGTTGCTGACTCTGCCCTGTTCCTGTGGTCTTATGGACCTCCCATGAGTTCTTTGGTTGACCTTCTCAGTCCAGGTGGGTTCAGACTGATAAGCAGAGATAAGCGGCGTGATAAGTCGGTCCAGTCCTTCGCTCAGGTGTTCATGGTGGAGCAGGTGACTAGTTCACTGACCTCTTGTAGAGATAAACGGTTCCTCTCAGGTACTGTTCGGTGGTCTCTTCATACGTGTTATAAACGTTCATCATGTATCGGTCCATGTCTCCTGTACTGATCTGAGTCCACAGACCCTCCTCCTCCATCAGCTGCAGCTCTCGCTCCATGCTCAGTCTGTAATTGGCTGCAGACTCGGACTTTGGCTCCACCCTCGACATGCAAATGTAGCCACCTGGAGGAAATGAAAACTATTTTAGAAAAAATGTCTTTTAGTATTTATCTCTTTCTAGTTTTAATAACAGGATCATCTTTTATTGAGCTATTTTGGTGCTCTTATTTTAGTACCTTTTACAGTGTTTTTATTTTATTTTATTTATTATTTCTTAAATTTCATTTTATGTTACTTTGTTTTTAGATTTTAAACCTCTTTAAAGCCCTTTTTAAGTTCATCCATTTTAATCCTGTTTCTGTTGTGTTTATATCGTGGGGATGGGGGGTTGGGTTGGGGTAGATCAGGGTATTATTTGTTTTTGTTTTATTCCTCTGCTGTGTAAAGCACTTTGTCGGTTTTGTATGAAAAGTGTGATATAAATAAAGACTGACTGACTGATTGATTGATTGATTGATTGATTGATTGATTGATTGATTGATTGATTGATTGATTGATTGATTGATAATGCTGTTCTATGTCTGCTGTGGAGTGACAGTAACCTGCCTCTCTCAAAGGTTCCAAAGGCCGAACCACTCCAAATGTCGAGTAAAAATTCTTTACAGGAATTGACCTCAGAACCATTTCCTGAAAGAGACTTCATTAAAAAAAAAAAAAAAAACCCTCTAAAGTTACTCTTCTGTTTTCAGTTCAACCAATCCTTGAATTATTATTGATTCAATAATTCTTAGATGTGTAGTTTCTTAATTGGACCCAAATGAAGGTTTGATTGGTTCTGGTTACCCGGTTTGGCAGCCTGGCAGAGCTCCCTGAGGACGCTGACCGGAACAAAACCAGCACGCAATGCACCGATGATGACCACCAGACCAAACACACCTGAAACCAGCAGAGGAGGAGGAGTTAGCTCAACAGGTCCACTGTTAAAGGTCTGAACAGAGAGTGAACTTTAGATCACTCCTCAGATATTCTCATTTAAGGCCGGTCTGAACCCAGAGGGGGTCAGCTGTGCTCAGAGTTATTACAGAGGAATAAAGCAGGGATGTACCACTGTCAGCAGGGAGAGGCTGAGTTCCCAGTAAGGCCAGTCTCAGGTCCTGATACAGACCAGTTTTAGCTGCCAGCTCCAGCATGCCTTTACTGCCATCCACCCCTACAAAGTGTCTGAAGCCCAGCTTGGACATCTGGACCCAAAAAGAGGACAACCAACATTATTGATCAGCTGAGGGAGGCAGGAAGGATGGTCTGAGTCTGAAGCAGCTTTGTTTTCTTCTTCAAAAACAAACTGTGTATGTCTCACCAGTTTGGCGACCAGTCCAGATCCACAGGCGACGTCTAGAACCTGAACACCCCCAGGACTCCCAGGATAGTTAGCATCCAGGTAATCGACCACCAGGTTTGGGGCTCTGTAGTGGATCATCTCAGAGTCCTATTATGCACGGGACCGAAGAGAAGGTACGATCATATGAAGATGATAGATTTATTTTTACATCAGTTACTTCTGCGCTGCTGGACACAGCAGGAACTCTGAGGCACTCCCAAAACCTGCTCATCCTCATGAACACACTGCCCCCTGGTGGTTTACAGCTGATTGAACTGGAGGTCTAAATGAAGTTATTTTTAACTTTTTCTGGACTGACAGAGACTCAACCTGAGACCCAGACCCATCATGTCCACTCACCTTTTCGTACGTCTGTGCCCAGCTGTCGTAAAACTTCATCCTCTCCTGAGGATCGAGGTCTTTGCAGGACTGAAGTAAAGTCCTCACGTCCTCCAGAGTCCTGCAGTGGTCAGACATGATGAGTAGACCTGTGATAAAAATAAATCAGACTGACTGCTGCAGTGATACAGAAGAGTTTAGAGCAACTCACCTACCTGTGTCGCTCAATGAAGCGATTGGTTCTTCTCACCTGTGTGTGGAGGCGTCCAGGTGTGTAAGGTGAGTAGAGTGATGAGTGGAGCAGGTTTATAAGGAGCTGAGGAGGACACAGCTGTCACTTGAGGATTCTGTTTGCTGATTCAAGAACAAACACACCTGTAATCCTGCAGGTGAGTCCCAACCTCCCCCTTTTCAAAGGTTATGTTAGCTCTGCTGCTACAAGAGAAGGTTAACACTCATCAACCAGGTGACTCTAAGTACAACGCCAAACATCAGACTGACCCTGACAGTCACGCCTTCATTCAGAAACATATAGTAAAAGAACAGACTATTAGAGACTGTTAAAGACTGTTATAGACAGTCACACCTTCATTCAGAAACATATGGTAAAGGAGCAGACTGTTATAGACTGTTATAGACTCAGACTCTTAGGGACTGTTATAGACTAAGACTGTTGTAGACTGTTATAAAGTATTATAGACTGTTATAGACCAAGACTGTAAGAGACTGTTGTAGACTGTTAAAAACTGTTATATAGACTGTTAAAGACTCAGACTGTTATAGACAGTTATAGACCAAAACTGTTATAGACTGTTGTAGACTGTTATAAACTGTTAAAGACTGTTATAAACTGTTAGAGACTGTTAGAGACTCAGACTGTTGTAGACTGTTATAAACTGTTATGGACTGTTATAGACTGTTATAGACTGTCATAGACAAAGACTGTTATAGACTGTTATGGACTCAGACTGTTATAGACTAATATAGACTGTTATAGACTCAGACTGTTATAGACCAAGACTATTATAGACTGTTATAGACTGTTATAGACCAAGACTGTTAAAGAATGTTATAGACTCAGACTGTTGTAAACTGTTATAAAATGTTTTACACTGTTATAGACTGTTATAGACTTGGGCTGTCATAGACCAAGACTGTTATAGACTGTTATAGACTCAGACTGTGATAGACTGTTACAGGCTGTTAAAGACTATTATAGACGAAGACTGTTATAGACTGTTTTAGACTGTTATAGACTCAGACTGTTATAGATCAAGACAGTTATAGACTGTTATAGACTATTATAGAATTAGACTGTTATAGACTGTTATGGACTCACACTGTTTTAGACTGTATTGACTGTTATAGAATTAGTCTGTTGTAGACTGTACAGACTGTTTTAGGTTTCTTCATAAAACGTTGTGTTGGTGTTCTGATGCAGTGGTCCTGGCAGCAGCTCATCCTGCTGTAGGTCATCTCACAGGAATGTGGATGTAAGCAGAACATCTTTGCTGTGGTGCTGAGGTTTGTTGGATGATCAACTTTAACTTTGCATACAGTTTTAAAAACAATATATATATTTTAATTTTAATTTTTTTACATTTGTATTGAAACAGATTTATTTATTTAGGATAATGCCCAGGTATGTATGTACCTTTGCTTTAGTTTGGCTTTTCTCGTATTTTTGTTGATTCTGTTTTTTTAGTTGTTTTTTCTGGCGGTATAATTGGAGAGGTGAAATTTTAAATGTTGCATTGGACAGTATCAGCCCAGACAAGGCTCTCTGGTGAACTGATTTACACACCAAAAGATCAGAGTTCGACCCGAGATTAAATCACATTTATGTTGCACATTTGATTTCTCTTTTTGTTAATTTTTTATTTCTTTTTTACTTGGGAAGATGCTGCCAATGAATAAAATAATGAGAGACACGAGGAAAGAACCATAAAAAGAAGTGATAAAGATGAACTCAAGTCTCTGATCAGAGAGTCAGGATGGAGGATGAAGTCCTAAATTAAAGAAAAAAAACATGCACCTTTACCCTGTGAGTGAAACAGTCAGTAAAATAAAAGAAATAAGTGTATAAAGAAGAAAACAAAGTTCAATCAGAGGTACAAACTTCCTGTCCAACAATCACAGCTGTTTATGAACATACGAGTACACTTCCTGTTTATTACCTAACTCAACGAGGGGGGCGGGGCATCCACTCCCGCGAGGACCACTCTACCACAGAGGAGGAAGTAGAGATGTCTCACTCCGCAGCATTTGTGGAAACCGACAAAGAGGCAGCTCACCTTCTGTTGACAGACTGCAGAAAGATACGATGATGACCTACAAAGACAGACAGACGTTTTTTTCTGTCCTGACATGGTCAACTAAGTCCTGATATAAAGAGCTTTATACTAAACGCTCAACATTAACAGAAGAGGACCAAATTGAGTTTAATGAGACACAAATGTAACTTTGATTTTAAGATTCTGACTATACTTATAAAACTGTAGCTTCAGTTTTAGAAATATAACTGTAATTCTAGCTTCCTGACTTTGATTCAATAACAATAATCCAAATCTAATTTATGATAGCCTATTAAAGTCGAGATTTTTTTATTATTATTTTTAGTTGCCCTTATTCTCTCCTGGACAGGCGTTTTAAAGTTGGCCTAAATTGTATCGTCTTTTATTCTTCTTATCATTTAACAGATCGGGTCTGTTTGGTAAACTGGCTTCATAAAAGTAATTTTAGGTCTATGTGTCCATTACAGTTCACGGGTCAAATGTGATGGGGGGGGGGGGTTAATTTATGACATTTAGAAATATGTGAATCAGGGCTTGAAGAGCCAGTTCACAAGGATTTAAATGACATCAGATGTGACTTAGATAACCACAAACTCACAGTGTTGGTTCTGCTGGATCTAACAGCCGCCTTTGATACAGTAGACCATCACATTTTATTAAATAGACTGCGGAATGTGGTTGGCCTCTCTGGTACTGTTCTTAAGTGGTTCACGTCCTACCTGACCGATCGAAATTTCTTTATAAGTATGGATACATGTTCCTCTAGGACCCATAAAATTGAGTGTGGGGTTCCCCAAGGGTCAATTCTAGGTCCAACTCTGTTCAACCTCTACATGTTACCCCTTGGGGATGTCATCAGGAGGCACGGCATCAGCTCCCATAGCTATGCTGATGATACGCAACTGAACATCGCCGTGTGTCCAGATTACACAGGGCCAGTTGATGCCCTTTTTAACTGCATTTTAGACATTAAATCATGGATGGCAGCAAATTTCCTGCAGCTCAACCAGGACAAAACAGAGGTTTCAGTCATTGGTCCTGAAGGCCAGAGAGAGAAACTTTTACCAAAGTTACAGGATTTTAAACCTTCAAAATCTGTAAAAAATCTGGGCGTGATTTTTGACTTCGAGCTCACGTTTATTCCACATATCAAAAACATAACAAAGATAGGTTTCTACCATCTTAAGAATATAGCAAGAGTCCGCCCGTTTCTCTCTCAGGCCAGCACGGAGGTGCTGATGCATGCTTTTATCTCGTGTCGTTTGGATTATTGTAATGCCCTGCTCTCTGGTCTTCCCAAAAAGAACATGCAAAACCTACAATTATTACAAAACTCAGCCGCACGTGTGCTGACGAGGACCAGAGGGCGGGAGCACATTACTCCTGTCTTAAAATCGCTGCATTGGCTCCCCGTGCATTTCAGGATCGATTTTAAGGTTCTCCTCTTAATTTTTAAGTGTCTTAATGGTCTTGGGCCGTTTTATTTATCCGAGATACTTTTACCTTATCAACCCTCACGGACCCTGAGGTCCTCTGGAGCTGGTCTCTTAAAAATCCCACAAGTAAGAACTAAGACATACGGGGCGGCGGCATTCAGTTATTATGGTCCCTGATTGTGGAACAGCCTCCCAGAGAGCCTCAGGGCTGCAGAGAATGTTGATATTTTTAAAAAGAGGCTAAAGACTCATCTTTTAAATCAGGCTTTTAACTGACTAGTTTAACTCTTTTAATCCCTTTTATGCTCACTTTTATTGTTTCACTATCTAACACTTTTTATTACCATTCTATTTTATACTTCAATCTATCAATATTATTATTTTTATTTTTAGTCTAGCGTGTTTTACAGTGCACAGAATCATTTTATCTTACATTATTTTCTGGGTCTGTCTTAGCGATTACAGTTTATTCCTTCAGTTTTAGTTTCTATACTTTTATGTCTTATTTTATTCTTTTAGTCCCTCAGTTTTTCCAGTGTTTCCTCCTGGGGGCTGCTTCACCGGGAGCAGGTTCTGGTCTGTTGGTGGGGGCGCCGTTCTGGGGACAGCTCTGGCTCAGGTGGAACCAGAGAGCTCTACACCTTGGTGTGGAGCCTCCTGTCTGCCCGGGCTGGTGGTCCCTGTGACGGCGCCCCCTGCAGCAATGGGCCGGGATGCCTCCCGGTCGACGTGGCCCCCAAAGGTAGCGTCTTCCTCACCTCAGATCTCAGTGCCCAGTCATGTCTCCTCACCATCAGCTGCTAACTGTGTAGGTGCGTGTGTATGTGAAGTTGTGTGTGTGGAAATGTATGTCTATGTGCACGGGTGTGTGTATGGGTATAATTGTGCGGGTGGGAGGTTTGGGGTTTTCTTGGGGATTGTAATGTTTCATTTTCTTTTTATGCTTTGTAAGGCACTTTGTGTTACAACTTTGTTGGAAAAGTGCCATATAAATGAAATAAAGTTGAAATTGAAGATAGAAGAACACCGTTTTCATCGGTCATTGACCTTTAAGTTCTCACACATGGAGGAATAACCACCATGACTAGACAGGTTTTCTTTTCCATCCGCGTGAGTCATCACTTCAATAGACGATCCTGGTCCAGTCTCATCGCGAGCTCCTCCGCGCAGCCTCCCTGCATCCTCCCGCGAGCATCACTGTGCACCGAGCGGAGCAACGAGGCGGACACTGACCCTCCGAGCGAATTTATGCGGTTTTTATACCCCGGGATAGAGGCTGGTTCTCGTTGATTTCCTCCCTCCTCGCCTCTCTGGATGGATGTGAAGTAAAAGGCTGCGGTCGTCTCTCTCTCCGTGTCCTCTCTCTATCTCTGCTCTTTTCTCCCGCTCCGTCAGCTCCGCATCCTGCCCTCATCTACAAAATGGCGGACATGATCGAGCTGGGACCCGCCTACGGTGAGACGAACCGGGCCTTTCTGCTCCATCTCTGCACGCTTTACTCTCGACAATCGGGCTTTTAAACTCATGTCTGTGTAGTATATGAGGCCTTTATTCTGTTCAAATAACTGTGTTACACTTAAATGTCGCGTGGAGTCGACAGTTAATGATTGTTATTTTTACGAGTCATTCTTCATTTAAACCCCATTATATATTACTCTGTTTTCTTTATTTACATTCAGGATCTTTTTTTACTCGATCTTATTCTCTTAAATGTGATTATTACACATTAGAAAGGCTGACATGAAAATCTCGACCTTTCTTTGCAGTATTATAAATTGAAAACCAAACAGAGGATGTTAAATGTGGAAGAAAAGAGTGTAATCTCGGTTTCAGGTTAAATTTTGACTGTTTTTCTTATAAATTTGAAGAAAATAACATTATTAATGTACGCCTCAAATAGGGCAGTCTCGTGCTCCTACGCACAGTCTGCCTCGCACTAGTGGGCCTAAATGTGCGTGCGCGTGCGTGTCAGTCGGGGTGGGTAGAGGGTGACGTCATGTCTGTCCGGTGCGGGTATTCTTTTTTTTTTTTATTACAGAGAAATTTATCACTGAAATGTATAAACACACTTATATAAATACACTAATATTAATACTCAGATATATAAATACATCAATATAAACACTCAGGTATAAATACTCATATACAAAAACACTGATATTAATACTCAGATATATAAATATACTCATATAAACCCTCAGGTATAAATACTCAAATATATAGAAACACTTATATAAATACACTTATATTAATACTCAGATATACAAACACTCAGGTATAAATACTCAGATATATAAACACACTAATATAAATATTCAGATATATAAATACACTAATATTTATACCCTAATATAAAAAACCTTAGATACTCAGATATATAAACACACTAATATACCCTAATCTAAATTCTCAAATACTCTAAGTACTTTGATATAAATATCCCCAGTCTAAATACTCAGACATAAATACTCTGATATAAGTACTCTAAATAAACAAATCTAAACTCTCAGATAAAAGTACTCTGAAATAAGTACTCTGAAATAAGTACTCTGATATACTCTAATCTAAACACTCAGATACAAATACTGTGATATAAGTACTCAGATATAAATACCCTAATCTAAACCCTCAGATATAGATATTCTTAAAAAGATGAAAAAGTGTTTCTGTGTGATTTTCTGTTGTATCTTATTTACAGTCCACTTACCTTTGGCATGTCCTCATTCATCAGTGATTGTCGTCAGCTCCTCCTTTCAGTCACATATGAAGTTGATAATCATGAACTCCGACAAAACATGTTTGTCACAGCACAGGGTTGAACAGCAGAAGGACACAAAAATGCAGACAAAAAAGGATTAAATAAATGAAAGACTAATCTTGAAACAACAAAAACTTACTTTAAAAAACACAAGGAAAAAAAATCCAACAAAAGACATCGGGGGGGGGGGGGGGAATCACAAGGAGACAAGGAGCTCAGACATCCAGGATCTCGGAAAACAGGCAGACACAAAACACACAACACGATATGGACCAAAAGTCATATCCCGATATATTTAGGCTGAATATCGATATACGATATATCCCGATATTGTTATCGTCAAGTGAGAGCAAACGTTTAATCACAGTCAAAGCCAAATATGACATGTCACAAGTAGTTCTATTTAAACTGGCTGAATGAAATTATGCTCAGCTGTTCAAAAAACAATAAAATGTAAACTGCTGTATAACCACAGGAGTACCTTTTTTTTTTTTTTAATCTGAGCTCCATAAGATACACATTTAAATGAATAATATATCTTAAATAAAAATAGCCCATAAAGTGAAATAGGCAGATCTTTTTCTGAAATAAATTTGTTTATATAAGAGCATCAACATTTTGACAGCTATAAATGGCCTATTAAAATCAAATAGCAGATTTTGTTCTTCTCTCTAACAAATCCACAGATGCAAACAAGGAACACTACAAAAGAAAATCAATAGAACAAACACTAGTAAGTTTTAAAGACAGAACAAAATAAAGTGCTCAGTTTAAGAAAATTGTTTTTAAACATTGTTTTGCGACTACCTATCAGTCTTTCTTATGTTCTTGACAGTCTCAACCAGTTGCACAAGACTATAACAGATTATGAACTCAGTAAACATTTCCCCCTCTTTTTTTTTTACTTTGATAAACAGTTAGTGCTGCCTTGAGGTCGACATTAGAGGACAGACAGTGTCCTTCTTTGTTTAACCCATTCAGACCTGAACCCTGTTCAAGACAAGCCTCTGAAATACTGAGGGCAATTCTGAGAAGGGCCCCCACATCCTGAGGTTTTCTTTAATTGTTGAGGTTTACAAAAAGCTGATATCGCTGCTAGTGGTGGGGGAAAATATTGATTCTTAGATGCATCTCGATTCAGGCAAGGACGATTCTGAATCGATTCACAAACGTCCAAATTCCGATTATTTAGATGTTAAATAACGTGAAATAGGCGGAACGAAAAGGCGGAACTCGTGCAGCGCGTTGTCACCCGGCGGACACTTTAAGGGGAGCACATAACAAAGAAGCATGGCTGAGCGCGAGATCCACCCTGCCCCTTCCGGATTAAAAGCTAATGTATGGAAGAATTTTGGCTTCTACAGAGTTGAGGGTGGACTTGAACTGGACAAGAGCCACACTATATGTAAACTGTGTCACTCCAAGATAAAATACTTTGGTAACACCACGAACATGAGGAGCCACATCACTCGTTTTCACCCGAACGAGGAGGGAAGATGCCCGGCTGCTGTCGAGGCTACGGCTGCCTCCACCAAACAGAGAACAATCGAGCAAGCAATTACAAAGCTTCCCCCCTCATCGGAAAAGGCGTAAAGAATCACGAAGTCCATCGCTACATTTATTGCCAAGGATTTACGTCCGTATTCAGTAGTGGAGAACCAGGGCTTCCGAGCACTACTGCACACGGTGGAGCCGAGATACAACATTCCATCCCGACGCTACTTCACTGACACGGCCATCCCGACACTCTACAAAGAGACCAAAACAGAAGTCATGGCCTCCCTGGGGAAAGCTGGTAGGATAGCAGACACAGTGAGACAAAAAGAAATGTGTAATAGCTGGGGGGGGGATAATCGTTTCAGAATCGAATCGTAGCCCCTGAATCGTAATCGTAATCGAATCGTGATGTGCCTGAAGATTCCCACCCCTAATCTCTGCCTCTGTAGCAGATAGAAACAAAATTCAAATAGTATTTGAGAGCTTACACACGTGGCTTTCAAGATATCTCTTATTTTTCTGAACCTTCATCACATAATTGAAAACCTTGAACAAACAAACTTAAATGAAGTAAAGCAGCGCTCTGCATTGGAGAATAACAAATAATTTTCTTTCTGTATAACAAGTGGCAGTCATGATAAAGTGTCCATCAATACAAATGTAAATGTAAAAAATGAAGTGTTGAAAGGGTATACAGCTGCCCCAGTATAGCGCCAGAACAAAAGCAGCACTAAAAAATAGATAAGTGGCTGACAGTGTGTTCATGTCTGTGCTCACCTAAAGTCATGCAACACTCACAGAAACGCCGATAGTGTGAACCAAAGCACTCAATATGAAGAGGTTGTTCACCCTGCTGGATGCTTCTCCTCCAAAGCTGCTCTCTGTCTCTGTCATTGTTTACTTTCCTCACAAAGCACGTAGCAAGATCCGAGCATGAATCCGATTGCTTTATTAAGCTGTCAGAGATATGATAATTTGCTTCACCACGACTCCAGAAATGACTGAAAAACTACAGAATGTTACAAAATGATGCACCCGCGCTCCCGGCTTAAAGGGTAGAAATGCGCAGCGGCGCCGTCGGTGTTGTGCTGTAGAAAGCACCCCTGCCATAGAATGCAACGGGAGCGCAGTTGAAAGTACATAACAAGGCGAAATAATCCAAGTTTTCCTTACCATTGGGTGGTAGTCCACCCAATGGTGACCGTGCCTGTCTGTCTTTTCCGTGGAGGATGTGGAAGATGTCTACCTTTTCGGAACCACAATAACAGGTCTGTTGCTGTTTGGCTTTTGTTTCGCCCTGATTTATCTAAAAAACAAGGAGATGCTGGCAGCGGTCAAGAGCCCCCAAAGGCTGCCCATCATGATTTTTGAGGCAAAGCCGTAGGAACTCTTTCTGGGGCTGTCTCTAATCTTCAACATCCATGATTGGGGATCGCAAGGGAGATGTCATCTTGGAGAGGCTTTCGACATTGCAGAAGACAATGGATCGATATAGAGACCAGGATGGACAATCAGAGGAGCCGAAGTCTATTGGAATGTGGCTACTCGCTCTAACCCAAACATTCTAATCTACTATTCGGCTCGCTCGGTATCGGCCTTGGCCAAGGTCAATGCTGGCACAACTCCTCCAGGAGATCTCAGCAATTAGACGCTCTGAACTTTCCTCCCCAACCCCCTCCTTCATGGACACCTGCGGATTGTTGACTTCGTCTGGAGCTCAATCAAGGTCACCAAGATTGTGGTGATGGATGGAGTGACCTCCTGGGCCTACGCACACACGCATCCATGAACCTTCACACACATGCACATACGCACACACTCACCTCTCCCCCACCCAACGCTGTCGACGCTTCACCTCTCAGTGTGGTGGGTGGTGCTCTGACTGGCGGCGCCCGTGGGCAGCAGCTGTGGGCTTCCCACCATCACTAATGACCCATTCCACTACCCCCCCCCCACCATAGCATGTCTCCGAATCTCTGTGTATGTGGTGTCAGTAATGTGCTCATGTTGCTGAGGGTTTTTTTGTCACTGCAATCATATTAATGAGAGCAGTCTCTTTTTTTTACCTCCTCCTCTCCCTCCCTCTTGTGTGTACTTTCCCCATCTGTAAATGCAATTTCGTTGTGCACAGTTGCAATGACAATAAAGACCATACCATACCATTCAAAAGTGTGTGCCTTTAATGATTTCATTCAGACTATTCAGATAAGCCGAAAGCAACAACCCTCTGATTCTGAATATTTGCTGTCCCAAAAATATAATGTTCTATACCTTGACAGCTTACTGTACAGTTTATATAGTATACCTCTATGTGTGCATTTCTGGGACACGTAAAAACAGAACAAAAGTTTGCTGCTCCATTTGACATGTTGTCATGATCCAACATGATCATGATACTCTTGTTTTTTAAAATATGAAATCATATTTCTTCCACTTTAAGAAGCTAATGAGCGGATGGGATGCATTCTACGGCAGGGAGGCATTCTACGGCACAACACCAGCTCGGAAAGTTGAAATGCGACACACTTCTCCCGGCTTGAAGGGCTGAAATACCTACATGCTCCCGGCTTTCCGAGTAGAAATGAGAAGCCATGCTCCCGGCTTGGAAGGTTGAAATGTGGACATGCTGTCCTGGTTTAAATAGGTTAAAGATTTTGTGTGAGAAACACCAGCCCGTCAACAACAGCATCTGATATGTATATCGATATGCAATATGGTCCAATTCCATATCGCATTTGAAAATATATCGATATATCGCCCAGTCTTACAATACAACACAACACAACAAAGAACACAACACAACACAGAACAGAACATACAACACAGCACAGAACACACACAATGAACCAACAAAACAGAGAGAAGACAGGGACTATATACATGCACACAGGTAAACAAGACACAGGTAAGACAGACGAGACACAGGTGAGAATGATGAGTGATTAACAAATGAGGGAAAACTAGGGAAGTAAAACTAGACCAGAAACACAAGGAATCAACTCCTACAAAATAAAACAGGAAACACAAGGAACCAACTACTACAAAATAAAACACAAGGAATCAACTCCTAAAAATTAAAACAGACTAGAAACACAAGGAATCAACTTCTACAAAATAGAACAGAAGGGAAACAGGGGCAAACTGAAAACTCACAAGACTGGACTACAGTGGAACAGAAAAACTTGGGAAAACTGTGTGTGCGTGTTTGTGTGTGTGTGTGTGCGCGTGTTTGTGTGTGTGTGTGTGTGTGTGTGTGTTACAGCCTCATAATGTCCTTGTGGGACAACAGTCCTCTGTGCGCTGCGAACAAAGAGCCTCATAGACTCCTCCTCGGACTCCTCCTCCTCCTCCTCCTGCTGCTGCTGCTCTTCGTCTTTACCCTGCCCGTCTATCACCCCCCCCCCCCCCCCCTCCCACTCCTCCTCTCTCACCCTTCCCTAATGAGGCCTTGTGGGACATTGTCATGGTGACACTGTTGTTTCAACCTGTGATGTCACTGTGTAAAAATGATGAAGTCATTTCCTCTGACTCAGCTGGAGACCCTCTCTCGTGTCTCTGAGCTAGACTGTTTGCATTGCATTATGGGAGATTTAGATGGTGCTGTTCCTCATGGATCTGAGTGTTTGTGGTGTACTTTCCCTTTAAGAAAAAAGATGAACACACAACCGTCCTTTAAAGATGGTGGTCTAGTTTTGAGGATCATAACTTGTGTGTGTGTGTGAGATCTCAGAGTGTCCCTCCTCTAACCCGCCCCTCTCTCTTCCCCCTCAGCCATGTCCCCGGTCCTGGCGGGCTTCCTGGGGGCTGGTGTTCTGGTTCTGGTGGTGGTGGTTCTCGTTCTGCTGTGGTCCTTCTGTCAGCGTCGATACCTGCGGATCTCTGGACGCTACAAGCTGCACGGCGACCGTTACTGCGACGCCGAGGACCCCCCCTACAAGTTCATCCACATGCTGAAGGGCATCAGCATTTACCCAGAATCCCTAAGCAGCAGCAAAAGGATCGTACGCGGTATCCGGCGTGCCGACCGCTGTGACCATGACGGTGAGCGCGGCTGCCCGGGTACCTTGGGGCGGGGCATGGTGCTGGTTGACGCCGAGAACAACATCCTGGACGTACCGGGTCAGCTGCAGATGAGCCACCTGGTCCCTCCTGCTGGACCGGGCCCCGCCCACGGCCAGGCCCAGCTGGAGCGGGCGCTGCCGGTACGAGCAGACTACTGCTGCCTGGACAGCAGCTCAGCCAGCAGCAGCCAGACCAGCAGCAAAACGGCGTCCCCTTTCACCCCCGCCTCCTCAGAACCTGAACCTGAACCCAGCCTGGGAACAATCAGCCTAACTGTCGACTACAACTTCCCTAAGAAGGCGCTTGTGGTGACCATCGTGGGGGCCCGGGGCCTCCCTGCCATGGATGAACAGGCCGGAAGCTCGGACCCGTATGTGAAGATGACCATCCTGCCCGAGAAGAAGCACCGCGTCAAGACCCGCGTGCTGAGGAAGACCCTGGACCCGCTGTTCGATGAGACCTTCACCTTCTACGGTGTGGCGTACAGCGCGCTGCCTGAGCTCACGCTGCACTTCCTGGTGCTCAGCTTTGACCGCTTTGCACGTGATGATGTCATCGGGGAGGCGGTGATGCCCCTGAAAGGTGTGGACCCAAGCACAGGACGAGTCCACCTGAGCCAACAGATCAGCAAGAGGAACATGCAGGTGAGGGGGCTTAAAGGGCCAGTACGTGTTTTTTTTACTCCTGTGGTTTGGTGATATGGTCGGTGACTGCAACTGTGACATCACTTCCTCCCTGGGTTAGACCCCAGACAGGTGATTAGCTGGGCCAATCAGGGTCAGTTTAGAAGAACCAGCATGAACCCACCATCTCAGTTCTCCTCTAAAACAGGGGCGTCAGTCCTGGTCTCAAATCTGAGTGATGACCAGAGTCCGTCTGAAGATGATTAGCTCAGATTACAGGGATCCACACTAACTTTGTCCACATGTTCTCCTAAGTTGAAAAAGTAAGGAGCACACAAAGAACTTTAGGGGAACATTGAAAATTGATCAATAATGTTTGTCTTATTGATCGACCTTAGTGCTATTATTTGAAATCAATTTTAGGTCTTTTGGTCACATGACATTGAAGCCATAGAAGGAAAACAGCCTTTTCTGAGAACATCAACTAGTAATTTATTGACGGTCCCTTATTCAACACCTGACGTTGACAGCGAGGGTGCTGAGTAGATTTAACCGCGCTGCTGTTGTTATTCCCGGTTATGGAGAGTGAGAAGACACTGGTAGATCCTCAATGAATGTCCGTCAAATATCCAAACTAAAACTAACTTCACCGCCGTATTTATAGGAAAAAAAAAAACATTTGTTGATTTTTTTAATGTGCACATGACCCTAAATACATTTTACAATTCAACACATCTATTTTTAGTCGCAAATGAGAGAGAAACGGTCGCACTGTCGATACCTGCATTAGCAGGTCTCTTACAGTTGAGATGATGTTTGTCTTTATTAGCAGTCTCTCACATGAGTGGACCTGCTCAGCTGTTCTTTCTCCCAGCAGATCCTCGTTCTCCTGAAGCGTCTCAACGTTTCTGTTTCAAACACAAAAGAAGTGAAAACAGGTTTACCTCTAAATTTAAGAACATCTGAGTCCATGATGGCGAAGTCCTGACTGTGTGTGTGTGTGTGTGTGTGTGTGTGTGTGTTGTTGTTGTAATGGTGACTCAGTGGGTGTGACCTGAGGTTTGCAGAATGTGATGACCTGATCCGATCACTGTTGTTTTACTGACTTTATCCAACGCATGGATGCGCGCGCATGTGTGTGTGTGTATGTGTGTGTTTACAGTGTGAGAGTCGTGGCGAGCTGCTGGCCTCTCTGTCCTACCAGCCTGTCTCTCACCGCCTGAGTGTGGTCGTCCTGAAGGCTCGTCACCTCCCCAAGATGGACATCACCGGCCTGTCAGCCAGTGAGTAAAGACAGCTGACCAGCAGGAGGCGCTGTCTTCTATCATAGTGAACATTTACAGTCTTAAAGCCTCTTTTTAACCAAACTATTTCCTGTTTGTCTTTGGCTGTAAATAAATCCCTCAGAAAGAGGATTTGAATGTCTGTCCTCAGGACTAAAAAGACTGAAAATAAATAAACGTGTTTACCTCATGTGTAACAACAACAACAACAACAACCATATTAAAGTGGAGATTACTGCAGGGTCAGGGGAGAAGGACACATGTGGAGTATGTGTAGAGCTCCCCCTGATGGATTATAAATCATATTACAGCTAAGATATCACATATAAATATCACATAAACAAAACCCAATTCCATTGAAGTTGGGAAATTGTGATAAATGTAAATAAAAACAGAATACAATGATTTGCAAATCCTTTTCAACCTATATTTAATTAGATACACAACAAAGACAAGATATTTAATGTTCAAACTCATAAACTTTGTGTTTTAGCAAATAATCATGAACTTTAGAATTTGATGGCTGTAACGCGTGACAGCAAAGTTGGGAAAGGAGGCTAAAAATACTGAGAAATTTGAGGTATGCTCATCAAACACTTATTTGTAACATCCCACAGGTGAGCAGGCTAATTGGGAACAGGTGGGTGCCATGATTGGGTATAAAAGCAGCTTCCCCAAAAATTCTCAGTCATCCACAAGCAAGGATGGGGCGAGGTTCACCACTTTGTGAAACAGTTTAACCACATGGGCTCAGGAACACTTCAGAAAACCCCTGCCAGTAAATACAGTTCGTCACTACATCTGTAAGTGCAAGTTAAAACTCTACTATGCAAATCCAAAGCCATTTATCAACAACATCCAGAAATGCCGCTGGCTTCTCTGGGCCCAAGCTCATCTAAGATGGACTGATGCAAAGTGTTCTGTGGTCTGTCGAGTCCACATTTCAAATTGTTTTTGGAAATAGTGGACCTCGTGTCCTCCGGGCCAAAGAAGAAAAGAACCACCTGGACTGTTATCGACGCAAAGTTCAAAAGCCAGCATCTGTGATGATATGGGGGTGCATTAGTGCCCAAAGCATAGGTAACTTACACATCTGTGAAGGCAACATTAATGCTGAAAGGTACATACAGGTTTTGGAGCAACATATGCTGCCATCCAAGCAACGTCTTTTATAATGGACGCCCCTGCTTATTTCAGCGAGACCATGCCAAGCCACATTCTGCACATTTTACAACAGCGTGGCTTCGTAGTAAAAGAGTGCGGGTACTCGACTGGCCTGCCTGCAGTCCAGACCTGTTTCCCATTGAAAATGTGTGGCGCATTATGAAGCGTAAAATACGACAACGGCAACCCCGGACTGTTGAACAACTGAAGAATGGGAAAGAAATGGGATCTGCAAGAATAGGAAAGAATTCCACCTTCAAAGCTTCAACAATCAGTCTCTTTAGTTCCCAAACGTTTATTGAGTGCCCCTGTCCAAACTACTTTGTCACATGTTGCAGCCATGAAATTCTGAGTTAATTATTTGCAAAAAATACGTTGTTCTTAAACTGTTTGACTATTTGCTCACGCAGTTGTTCACAAAGTGGTGAAGCTCGCCGCATCCTTGCTTGTGAATGACTGAGAATTTTTGAGGAAGCTGCTTTCATACCCAATCATGGCATCCACCTGTTCCCAATTAGCCTGCTCACCTGTGGGATGTTCCAAATAGGTGTTTGATGAGCATTCCTCAAATTTCTCAGTATTTTTTGACACTTTTACCAACTTCTTTGTCACGTGTTGCAGCTATGAAATTCTGAGTTAATTATTATTTGCAAAAAAAATAAAGTTTATGAGTTTGAACATTAAATATCTTGTCTTTGTAGTGTATTCAATTAAATATACACTACAGGCCAAAAGTTTGGAAGCAAGATCATATTTGTACAAAAAAAGATCATAGTGCAACACGATAAACATGACTATTGTGTAAAGAGTAACTTATCAGAAGACATTTTGACTATAATTATTAGGTATTTGAGTTATTGTTGCTTAGACTTTGCTTTCTTTAAAGTAACCTCCTCTGACTTTAACAACAGCTTGGCATATACAAGGCATTCGTTCCACAAGTTTTTTAAGGTATGTTCCAGGGATTTCATTCCAAGCTTTCTTAAGTTCATTAAAAGGAGACTGCTGATTCGTGGGACGCGTTTTTCTGATCGATCGATCCAATTCATCCCGCACAAGCTCAATTGGAGAAAGGTCTGGAGACTGAGGGGGCCAAACCATTTTGAAGAACACCTTCCTCTTCTTTTTTGTCTAGGTAACCCTGACAGAGCTTGGCAGAGTGCTTAGGGTCATTGTCTTGCTGCAAAATAAACTTATGAGCCACAAGTCTTAGTCCAGATGGAGCAGCATGGTGCTGGAGGATGGAGTGGTACTGTTCCTTCTTCATGATACCCTTTACGTCAAACAAATCTTATAGTCTATCACCTGCAAAACATCCCCATACCATGGAACTACCACCTCCATGCTGAATTGTGGGTGTAACACATGGTGCTTTCAGACGTTCACCAGTTTGTCTGCAGACATAGACTCTGCGTTTTGAACCAAACAGTGCAAACTTGTTTCTAGTCATCATAAGTCCAATTTTTGTGAGCTTTTGCCCACTCATATCTCTTTTTCTTGTTCTGTGGACTAAGTAGTGTTTTTTTTTGCAGATACACAACCCTTCAGACCAGCCTTTCTCAAACGTCATTTCACGGTTGTCAGAGATATGGGTTTCGACCTTGTCATGTTGATTTCCTACCTTATTTGTGGTGCTGTCTTTCGCCGTTCTCTCTTACTGGTGACAATGCTATGTTTATCCTCTGCTTTCGTCCTTTTGTCTTTTGTCCAGGTCTTTTTTCTATCATCGTAACTTCCAGGTTCCCCTAGTCTCTTCAGAGTGTAGTGGACTCCTTTGTTAAACAACTTTAGGCGTTTTGCAATTTCTCTTTCTGTGTATCCTTCTTTCCTCAATGTAAAAAGCTGTACTTTTGTTTCTTTACTCAGTTGCTTCTTTCTAGCCACTTTTGCGGTAGTTTGAACGCAGTTGAGATTTATTAGGATTTTTGTATGCAGACTCTCAAAAACCCAAAAAGTTGAAGTGAATAATCCAACTGTGATTTGTTTTTATGCTTTTGCCCTGAAGTTGTGACTCTTGCGAATGTTTTCAACCCTAAAACTAAGCCCTTTTTATCTTTTGCTGACATATATTTAGCAATGGTCTGTTAACATCAATGTATATCTGAAGGTAATTGGAGGAAAATGGTGCATTTCCATGAAAGCAACATCTGATCATGGAGTAAATACATCCCAAAATACATAAAACTCATGCTGGATTATAAAAATAGCATTGTGAACAAATACTTAAGTTACTCCCAACTGTTCGGCCTGTAATGGCCTTGCTTCCAAACTTTTGGCCCGTAGTGTAGGTTGAAAAGGATTTGCAAATCATTGTGTTCTGTTTTTATTTACGTTAATCACAATTTACCAACTTCAATGGAATTGGGTTTTGTAGCTATCACCTTTAGATATCATATATAGATATTGCTGAGTCCGTGTATTTGAAGTCATCATCCTTACTCTTCTTATCCTCCTCCTCAGATCCGTACGTGAAGGTGAACGTGTTCTACGGCCGTAAACGCATCGCCAAGAAGAAGACTCACGTGAAGAAGTGCACACTGAACCCTGTCTTCAACGAGTCCTTCATTTACGACATCCCGCCAGAGCTGCTGCCCGAGATCTCTGTAGAATTCCTGGTTGTCGACTTTGACCGGACCACCAAGAACGAGGTTCTGGGCCGTCTGCTGCTCGGCCTCCACAGCCCCGCCTCCTCTGGCGCCTCCCACTGGAGGGAGGTCTGCGAAAACCCCCGCCGGCAGATCTCCAAATGGCACAACCTGAGCGAGTACTGAGGAGGAATCAGCTGAGAAACAGAGGCCTGGAGAAACAGACTCAGTGTACAGAACACACACACACACACACACACACACGGATGCACACACACACACAAGGACACACACACATACACACACACACACTCTGTTGTGATCATAGTTACACTCTCTCTCTCTCTCTCTCTCTCTCTCTCTCTCTGTATTATCTCTCTATGACATCTGCAAGTGTAAAAGAATCCTGCAGTGATTTCTGAAACTAAAGAAAAACACGTTTTTCAAAGAAAACCATGACGTCCATTTCTACGACTGTTCTCGTGTCTACTCGGCTGTGTGTGTGTGGACGGGGGGGAAGGAATGCGCGATCCAAAAGAAGAAAAAAAGAGACCCCCCCCCCCTCGCTGTTGTTGTCATGCAGTTCATCGCATGTCTGTCCCAGAAAAAGAAGCATTACAGACTGAAAGTGACGGGGAGAGATTTCAGCTCCAACCTAAGACCAAGATGCTCACTAACACTGCTTCTCAATGATATACTCCAGTTATAAATACTTCTCTGTAGGACCAGTAAGAACCCGCTTCAGACCCCGACTCACTCCTGATCCACCGCTTGGTCTAACGGCTCCATGTTTGAAGGGGGGATTCTGTTGGTTTTAGGCAGCATGTTCCCCGCCTGCCTGCAGAGAGACAGACCCTCACCTCCAAAAGAAAATCAGATATCAGTTCATCGCCGCTCCTGCAGCAGAAAGAAAGACCCTGACCCTGAGGAGGAGGAGGAGTGAGAGTGAGCTCCTCCTGACTGGACTGTAGATGCTAACAGCACCGCTCACAGACTGATGGACCCTGTAAAATACCTGTTTGTAACATGAATGATACCCAATTTACAAAAAAGCCAACCTCCTTGAAACGGGCGGGCAGGAGGACCGCTGACGGACGTTTGAACCCTGTTTGATATTTATCATGACCTCATTATCTCAGCAGCTCCTCCCACTGTGAGCAAGACGCCGCCCCTCAGAGCTCTGGAACTCCTCACTCAGTGCGTTTACATGCAAAGTTCAATCAGACTAAGCTCATAATTAGCTTTTTTTTTCACAGAATCAGACTTCTTTCTTTGTTCGCGTATACATGCAGCTGAGAAAATTGAGTTATTGACGTGAAGGTGTCCTCCTCCCCAAAACTAGGGGCCGATATGGGTCTTCTCAGCAGCGCTATTTCCGACCCCATACAACCGTCAACAACAACAACAGCAGGTCCATGTCAGACGTCAGAAGTGTCTACAACTGCTACTGGGCATTTTGGAGCAAGAAGATGGAGCATCATACAGCGTTGTTTTTGTCCTACATGATGGACGCGCTACTTTTTCTGCAGATGAGACGCACGTTACTCCTCTTCTCTGGTGTTTTTGATCCGGGGTTACCGGGGCGTGGCACACGCGCACATGAATTGTTTGATCATACTCCAACTACGCTGGTTACATGGTAGAGAAAATCGAATTCCAATCGCATTATCTGGGGGTCTTAATCGGAGTTTGAGAACTCCAATTATAGTCGGACTAAGGTGTTTCAGTTATCTGGTCTTAATCGGAATAAGGCAATAATTTGGTTTTCTTGAGTGTCATGGAAACGTACTGAGTGTTTCCCATTCCCCACAGCCGTGAACTGGAGATCCTCGGCTACCCAAGAAAGTAGATCCAGCAAAGACCCAAAAATCAGGTCTAAAACATTCGCACGATACTGCTCTCCGTAAACAGACTCAGATGATCGGATTATTAATGCATTAACTCAGAATACTGTCAGAGAAAAAAAAGGCGGGGCAAGAAAACCGACCAATCACGTCTCTGGTTGGAGGATGATGCCATGAACAACGTCCCATAATGAGATAATGAGGTCATCTTTAAACACCAGCGCCCTTGGCTCCACCCCCGCCCTCTTTCTCTCTGTGCATTTTTAGCTCCTCCCCTTCAACTGTCCTCTGACCTGCACCTGTCTGTGAAGGACTTCTCCCTGTGAACATTTCCCCTGCAGTAATGCTTTAATCTGCCTGCTGGTGGCGCTGTCTGAAGTGACTTAAGTGGTTTTCAAAGCCAAGTGAATATCTGTCAAAGTGAACTGAATTCATTTGTTTTTTGAAACGACAACTAAAACATTCAAATCCCAGTTTTCATTTAATCAAAATATTCTAGATTAATCTGTTTATCATCGAGCCCTCGGCTGGATTATTCCAGATTAATCTGTTAATCGTGGAGCCCGTGGCTAGATTATTCCAGATTAATCTGTTTATCGTTAAACCCTCGGCTGGATTATTCCAGATTAGTCTGTTAATCGTTAAACCCTCGGCTGGATTATTCCAGATTTCTTGATGAAATAATCTGTGTAAAATAAAGAGTCTTTCGAACAGACGCTCTGACTGTAGATTTGTACAGATGTTTGCGATTTTTGCTGGTCTTCTTCCTGTCTGATGTCCTCGGAGCTTCAGTGTGTTTGAGCGCCCCCTGCTGTAGACCTGGATGCTAACCTCTCTGTTAGGTTTGTTAACACTAATTGGACGTGCAAATAAAAAAGTTTGCCCTGAACGCCTCGTCTGACGCTTCATTTGTTCAATAAAGTTGTCGGTCCGTCTCCTCTGCCATGAAAAATAAAAATGTTGATTTTCATAATTTCAGTTTTCATCTCCATCCATGTTTCTGTCCCTTTCACTGTTTGTTGAAGTGGGACACATCTGTTAAAGTTTTGATCAGTTTTCTTCATTTCTGTCTTTACAGTGACTTGATACCCTGCAGGTTCTGATCATGAACATTTACAGATGAACATCTGCATCAGCTGAGTAAGTCTGTAAAAGTGAGATTTTTTTTTCTTAAACAGCTCTCCTGCTGTGTCAGCCTGAATCAGGTGACTCCGGTTAGAAGACATAAAGGGGGCAGATCTAAATGTCCCCACTGACGACTGATCCTGTTATCCTGAAGTCTGTGAAGGAGAGGAAGATAAAGCCACTTGGACCCTGACTCAGTTAAATCATGAACCTCCAACACCCGCATTCAAACCCCTAAAGGTTCCTGGAAAGCTTCTGGATACTCGACTGTAACTGTGAAAACTATCAGGAGCAAACCGTTTTGTAATGAGAAAGCAAAGCACTGACCTCAGATCTGCTGATTATGAAATAATGCTGGAAATAAAACCATGTGAGAGTCAGTCTGTGACACAGGAGGTGTTTTTTTATGACAAAAATAGACTCACAAAAGTCACACGGACAACGAAGGCGATGTAAATAAGTTCAAAATACACATAAATCCAAAATATCCGAGAAACACAAAACTGGCTGATTATCCAGAGGATGTTTTTCTCCTGACAGGTCCATATTTTTCTAAAGTCACAGTAAAAATCCTACAGTGAGGTTTTTGTTGGGAAAAGAGGTTACATCACTCTACGAAAATGACACAGAAAAACAGATTACCCCAGGAAACCTGACACAAGCTCAGTGTCTCTGCTTCAAGTTTCTGACTGAGCAATAGGATTTAACTGATGAAATACAACTTTGAACAGAAGATTATCTGGAAAGACCGGAAGAGTAAGAACAGACCAGAGTGGAGAATTAACAGACCAGAGAGAAGTAATAACAGACTGAAGCAGAGGAATAACAGATCAGAGCAGAATAATAACAGACCAGAGCAGAGTAATAACAGACAAGAGCAGAGTAATATCAGACCAGGGCAGAATAATAACAGACCGAGTAGTGATAACAGACCAGAGCAGAGAAATAACAGACCAGAGAGGAGTAAAAAGACCAGAGCAGAGTAATTACACACCAGAGCAGAATAATACCAGACAAAAGCAGAGTAATTACAGACCATAGCAGAGTAATGACTGACCAGAGCAGAGTTATAACAGATCAGAGCAGAGTAATAACAGACAGAAGCAGAGTAATAACAGAGCAGCAGAGTAAGAACAAACCAGAGCAGAGTAATAACAGACAACGGAGTATTAACAGACCAAAGTGGAGTTATGACTGACCAGAGCGTAGAAATAACAGACCAGAGCGGAGTAGTAACAGACCAGAGTGGAGTTTTAACAGACCAGAGCAGAGTTATAACAGACCACAGCAGAGTAATAACAGACCAGAGCGGAATAATAACAGACAAAAGCAGAGTAATAACAGACCATAGCAGAGTAATAGAAGACCAGAGCAGAGTAATAACAGACCAGAGTAGAGTAATAACAGAACAGAGTAATAACAGACCAAAGAAGAGTAATAACAGACAAAAAAGTAATAACCGACCAGAGTGGAAAAAATAACAGACTATAGCAGAGTAATAACAGACCAGAACAAAGTTTTAACAGACCAGAGGCCTGTACTACGAAGCTGGATTAACACATCCAGGATAACTCTGCGACAACTCGCTGAACTTCACCGGATCTCCGCGATCCCAATCAGCTGTACTACGAAGCCGGCTATCAACTCGATAACTGAATCCAGGTGTGGCCACTTAGGATCTGTGCGCGCACACGTAAAAGGAGCGGGGTTAGCGGCACTGGACCATTTTCCACAATGGATAAAACAGTGAGAGCGTCGTATTTCACCGCAGAAGAGCAGGATATTATCCTGCGAAAGTACGAGGAGTTCCGAGAGGCAATCACGGCGAGGAGCAACACGGCCGCAGCCGCCAGGATCCGGAGGGACTGCTGGCAAAAAATTGCCGATTCTGTAAATGCGTAAGTCACTACGATGAAGATATTAATGTGTCATCACGATGGCACGGATAGATGTCGCTTCATTTGTGCGTTCATTAATTTACGGTCCCCAAAGGTGTTGTAATTCAGTGTTTGATCACCATCATCATCGACCTCATGATTTCAGATGCTGCAGCAGTGGGGGAAAAAGAACGTGGGAGCAAATCCGACATAAATATAAAAATATCCTTCAGAGTGGTTAGTAGGTTTATTGGCAGATGGTATTTGTACATACAGTATTTCATCATGTACACAGCGATTTCCTCACAATGTCTCAGCTGTAGGATGATGATAAACGAGGTCGTGTGATATTATTTGCAGCCCATAAGAAAAAATGTGCGGCCAAACAAACCGGGGGAGGGCCAGCTCCAGAAGACTTCACCCCGGCTGAGGAGCTGGCCCTCTCCTTAAACAGGGGTCGCCCAGCCACTGAGGGCATCGAGGGTGGCGTGACTTCTGACCCTGGTGGGGGTAGCAGCTCGCAGAGCTCCTGCTTTGTACAGGGTACGTTTCAGTGAGGCAAAGGCAAACCACTGACTTGCTCAAAAAGCACAGAGTTGTTTGTGAAAGGTGACTGCTAATGTTCTAATGTTTCTCCCCAGTGGACAGTGACACACTGACTGTCACGCTGCTACCTCCACCCAAGCAAAAATTGCCCCTTACAGAGGTAACTGCAAATTCAACCAGCCATTCACATAATTCACCTGTGGCTGCTTATGATTCCTTCACCCAACAAAACCTTTGTCATCATTGATGTAGGCGGCGGTCATTGATGATGAGACTCTCTCAGCCTGCTCAGAGAGACCATGGCCAGTACAACTTAGTCATTGTTCTTTTCTAAAGTGGTTCTCACAGTGGTGGGGAGATTGTGGCAGTTATTTATCAATGGCAAATTCCACAGGTGATGGGGTCTGCTGCTGTGAATGATAAGTGTGCTCACATGCTCTCTCATCCTGTGACTCAATTTCAATTGTTCTTCTTTCACAGGAAGAGGCAAACCCAGCTGCCCCTGAGCCAGTGGCCTCCACCTCTAGACCAGCCAAGAGAAGGGAATCACAAAATGTAATCCATTTTCAAATTAACCAAAGTTTAATAGGCACATTTTCAAGCACACAATGTAAAGAGGGAAATGCTTGGACATTGAAGCAACTGCATGTGTTTGATTTCAGCCCGGGGCCGACACAGTGAGGGCGCTATACAAAAGACAGCTGGAAGAGGACATTGAGTGCAAAGCACTCCAAAAGAAAGTGTTACAGCTCAAAATCAAAAAATTAACATTAGAGGTGGAAACACTGGAGTATGACAAACAGGTAACGCAATTTCTTGTATAAAGAGAAGCAATGGCAATTTCACATGTGATCATCCTCCAAGGAAATTAGGTTACATCTGCCCTGCAGTGGGCTGCGCTCATGCTCACAGAGTACAGTTGTGGAATAATGTTTTTCCTTTTTCTTGCAGGAACGTGAAAAAAAAAGACTTTCCCAATAAAATCAAAATACAAACCAAAATCACGCTTCTCGTGCCTATAGAAAAAATTGTTCGGTTATGGCCTCCCGGACAGCCCTCCCTGAAGGGAAGTCCACGGTGATGGGGTCCACCACATCAGGGGGGGGGGGTGTCAACAGGAGGGACCCTCTCCCGCTGTATGGCTGCAATATTGTGCAGCACCACACAAGCTGCAATCACTCTGCAGGCCCTCTCTGGAGCCATCCTGAGCCCACGGAGACAGTTGAAGCGGGCCTTGATGACCCCAAAGGTCATCTCTATCCTGACCCTGGTTTTAGCCAGGGCCACATTAAACAAAGTTTGTGGACCGGCACCAGGGTCAGGATAGGGGGTCAGTAGGTAGGGCTGGCAGGCGTACCCTCTGTCTCCCAGCAGCACTCCACTGAAGAGCCCTGCAGATAAAGAGGAAGAGCCTTGAGGAGCTGAAAATGTGGTTGACATCAAAGAACAAATTCAGTGTACAGTAGTTTTACCCTGCTCGAGTTTCCTGCACAGCTGTGACTCTCTGAAGATCTGGGAGTCATGCACAGAGCCTGGCCACTTTGCCTCAAGGCTAGTGACCATCATTTGATGGTCACATGTCATCTGCAGACACATTTGGTGTTAACAGGAGTTTTCGAATCTGCTTAAATACATTCAAAATGACTGATATGCCACATAAAACTGGAACTTATATTAGTATATTACAAATATTAGTGCATCGCTTAGACTTCACACTACCTGAGTATTGATGCTGTGGAAGTTTTTTCTATTTACATAGTCTGCCTCATTTGGTCCCAGACTGGCTGTAATGGGGATGTGAGTGCAGTCTATGGCCCCCATCACTCTGCGGAAGCCTGAGAAAAGAGAATAAGGTTTGAATATCCAAATACATACATGGAAAAGTATAATATGTGGACTTGCCATTTATGGACCTACCTGCCAGTGCATAAAACCCCTCTTTGATTGCATGCAGAGCCAGATGTCCGGGGAAAATAACAAACTTGTCCAGCAGATCGCTCAGTGCCCTCGCCATTTTGTGGATTGCTTTGCAGCAGGTGTTTTTGCTGAGGTTCTCTGCATCTCCCACAGCATACATGAAAGTGCCTGTGTGTTTGGAGGAAATGGATGAGTGGGGGAATAAAGGAGACTCATACAAATTCTTCTATAGCCCTTTCTTGCGAGCCGTGCTTTGTTAGTTGTAATTGGACAAGTAAATCTGTATGAATACTCACCGGTGGCAAAGAACCTCAGCGCGAGGCAGACCGTCTGCGGGACTGTGAGCGCCCGACTGCGGTGAGTGACGTTCGCCACGTAAGGCTCCAACAGCTCACTTAAATAAAGCAGCCCCTCAAAAGAAAATCTGTAACGCTCGTACAGAATGTCATCTGGTAAATCAAAAGGGTTACACCTGTCACGAAAATAGCGTTCTCGTCGAAGCGCTCCTCTCACGATCCGAGCAACGGCATCCACGCGATCCGGCAAAAGTGGGCAAGCCATTTTCCAAGAGAACCGATTGGTCAGTGGGCGGTCTTTTATACCCGCTGAGCTCTTATCCTGAAACATAACCTGCTCCGGAGCAGGTTTGGCGTTCCGCGTAAGTTACCGGGGCAACGGACCCGGATAAAAAGAGATCCACCTTCGTAGTACGGAAAACCAAGAAGTTATCCAGAAGTTATCTCGCTAAGACCAAATCCAGCTTCGTAGTACAGGCCTCAGAGCAGAGAAATGACAGAGCAGAGTAATCACAGACCGTGGAAGAATAATAACAGACCATAGCAGAATAATAATAGACCAGAGTGGAGTAATAAAAGCCCACGTAGTAATAATAACAGACCAGTGTGGAGTTATACCAGAGTGGAATAATAACAGACCAGAGAACAGTAAATACAGACTGAAGCAGAGTAATAACAGACCATAGCAGAGTAATAACTGACCGGAGCAGAGTAATACCAGACCAAAGAAGAGTAATGACAGACAAAAAAGTAATGACAGACCAGAGTGGAGTTATAACAGACAAGAGTGGAAAAAATAACGGACCAGAGCGGAGTAATAACAGACCAGAGTCGAGTTTTAACAGACTAGAGCAGAGTAATGACAGACCAGAGCAGAGTAATAACAGACTGAAGCAGAATAATAATAGACCAGAGTGGAGTAATAACAGACCACAGAGTAATAACAGACCAGATTGGAGTTATACCAGAGCGGAGTTATAACAGACCAGAGAGGAGTAATAACAGACTGGAGCAGAGTTATAAAAGACTGGAGCAGAGTAATAAAAAAAATAATAGTAACAGACCAGAGTGAAGTTATAACAGACCAGAGTGGAGAAAAAGCAGACCAGAACAGAGTAATAACAGACTAGAGTGGAGATTTAACAGAGCAGAGTAATAACAGACCGAAGCAGAGTAATAACAGACGAAAGAAGAGTTTAAACAGACCACAGCAGAGTAATTAAAGACCAGAGCAGAATAATAACAGACCACGGAACAATAACAGACCAGAGTGGAGATATAACAGACCAAAGCGGAGTAATAACAGACCAGATCAGAGTAATAACAGACTAAAGCAGAATAATAACAGACCGAGTAGTAACTACAGACCAGAGTGGAGTTATAACAGACCAGAATGGAGAAATAACAGACCAGAGCAGAGTAATAACAGACCAGAGTGGAGTTTTAACAGACCAGAGCAGCGTTATTACAGACCTGAGCAGGGTAAGAACAGACTGAAGCAGAGTAATAACAGACCATAGCAGAGTAATAACAGACCAGAGCAGAATAATAACAGACCAGAGTGGAGTAATAACAGACCACAGAGTAATAACAGACCAGAGTGGAGTAATAACAGACCAGAGAAGAGTAATAACAGACTGAAGCAGAATAATAACAGACGAGAGCAGAGTAAAAACAGACCAAGTAATAATAACAGACCAGAGTGAAGTTATAACAGACCAGAGTGGAAAAAAAACAGACCAAAGCAGAGTAATAACAGACAAAAGTGGAGTTTTAGCAGACCAGAGCAGAGCAATAACAGACGAAAGCAGAGTAATAACAGACAAAAGCAGAGTTAGAAGAAGGGAGAAATAACAGACCAGAGTGGAGTTATAACTGACCAAAGAGAAGAAATAAGACCAGGGCAGAGTAATAACACACCAGAGCATTTAATAAAAGACAAAAGCAGAGTAATTATAGACCAGAGCAGTTATTACAAACTAGGGCAGAATAATCACAGACCAGAGTGGAGTAATAACAGACCAGAGTGGAGTTATAACAGACCAAAGCGGAGTAATAGCAGACCACAGAGTAATAACAGACCAGAGTGGAGTTATAACAGACCAGAGCGGAGTAATAAAAGACCAGAGAAGGGTAATAACAGACTGAAGAAGAGTAATAACAGAGCAGAGTGCAGTTGTAACAGACCAGAGTGGAGAAAAACAGACCAGAGCAAAGTAATAACAGACCAGAGCATAGTAATAACAGACGAAAGCAGAGGTGTAACAGACCAGAGCAGAGAAATAACAGACCAGAAGGGAGAAATAACAGACCAGAGTGGAGTTATAACAGACCGGAGAGAAGTAATAAGACCAGAGCAGAGTAATAACACACCAGAGCAGAATAATAACAGACCAGAGCAGGGTAATTTCAGACCAAAGCAGAGTAATTACAAACTAGAGCAGAGTAGTAACAAACTAGAGCAGAGTAATAACAGACTACAGAGTAATAACAGACCAAAGCGGAGTAATAACAGACCAGAGCAGAACAATACCAGACCACGGAGAAATAGCAGACCAGAGTGGAGTTATAATAGACCAGAGCGGAGAAATAACAGACCAGAGCAGATTAAGAACAGACCAGAGCAGAGTAACAACAAACTAGAGTAGAGTTTTAAAAGACCAGAGCGGAGTAATAACAGATTAGAGCAAAGTAATAACAGATGAAAGCAGAGGTATAACAGACCAGAGCAGAATAATTACAGACCAGAGCATTGTAGTTTCAGAGTAGAAGGGAGAAATAACAGAGCAGAGGGGAGTTTTGACAGACCGGAGAGAAGTAATAAGACCAGAGCAGATTAAAAACACACCAGAGCGGAATAATAACAGACGAAAGCAGAATAATTACAGACCCAAGCAGAGTTATAACAAACTGGAGCACAGTTATAACAGACTACAGAGTAATAACAGACCAAAGCGGAGTAATAACAGACCAGAGCAGAACAATAACAGACCACAGAGTAATAACAGACCACAATGGAGTTATAACAGACCAGTGCAGAATAATAACAGACCAGAGCAGATAAAGAACAGACCAGATCAGAGTTATAACAGACGAGAGCAGAGTAATAACAGACTGAAGCTGATTGATAACAGACCAGAGTGGAGTTATAACAGACCAGAGTGGAGAAAAACCAGACCAGAACAGAGTAATTACAGAACACAGTAGAGTTTTAAAAGACCAGAGCAGAGTAATAACAGATTAGAGCAGAGTAATAACAGATTAGAGCAGAGTAATAACAGAGGAAAGCAGAGGTATAACAGACCAGAGCAGAGTAATTACAGACCAGAGCAGAGTAATAACAGACCAGAAGGGAGAAATAACAGACCAAAGCAGAGTAATAACAAACTAGAGCAGGGTAACAACAAACTAGAGCAGAGTAATAACAGACTACAGAGTAATAACAGACCAGAATGGAGTTATAATAGACCAGAGCGGAGAAATAACAGACCAGAGCAAATTAAGAACAGACCAGACCAGAGTAATAACAGACCAGAGCAGAATAAAATTAGAAGATAGCAGAGTAATAACAGACCAGAGTGGAGATTTAACAGACCAGAACAGAGTAATAACAGACCAGAGCAGAGTAAAAATAGATGAAAGCAGGGCATTAATAGTGGAAAGCAGAGTAATAACAGACGAAAGCTGAGTAAATACAGACCAGAGCAGAGTAATAACAAACTAGAGCAGAGTAATAACATACCAAGGAGAAATTACAGACCAGAGCAGAGTAATTAAAGACCAGAGCATTGTAATAACAGACCAGAAGGGAGAAATAACAGACCAGAGGGGAGTTTTAACAGACCGGAGAGAAGTAATAAGACCAGAGCAGAGTTATAACACACCAGAGCAGAATAATAACAGACGAAAGCAGAGTAAATACAGACCAGAGCAGAGTAATAACAAACTAGAGCAGAGTAATAACATACCACTGAGAAATTACAGACCAGAGTGGAGTTATAAGTGACCAAAGCGGAGTAATAACAGACCAGATCAGAGTAAGAATAGACCAGAGCAGAGTAATAACAGACCAGAGCAGAGTAATAATAGATGAAAGCAGAGTTATAAGCCCACTGCAGCCCATTTACATTCCTATGGTGAAGAAACAACCCCCCACCATCAGGTATGTTAAGAGGTGGTCTGAGAAGGCCACTGAGGCGCTGCAGGACTGTTTTGAGACCACAGACTGTGATGTACTGTGTGGCCCACATGGTGATGACATCGACACCATGACAGATTGTATCACGGACTATATAAACTTCTGTGTTGAGAACACCGTACCCACCAGGAAAGTACGGTGTTTCTCCAACAGCAAACCCTGGGTGACCCCGGAACTTAAAGTCCTCCTGAAGGAGAAGAGGAGGGTCTTTAAATCCGGGGACAAGGAGGAGCTGAGGAGGGTGCAGGGGGAGCTGAAGAAGAAGATCAGAGAGGGGAAGGCCAGCTACAAGACCAAGATGGAAAACCTTCTGCAACAGAACAGCGCGAGGGAGATCTGGAGAGGCCTGAAATCCATCTCAGGTCATAACAGGGGCCACGAGAGGGGACCTGAAGCAGGAGACAGGGAGTGGGCCAACAAGCTGAATCTGTTCTTCAATAGATTTGACTCTGCTCCCACTCCTCCCCCGACTCATCAAACTGTAGCGATTTGAATTCAGAATAAATGTCCAAAATTAATAAAATTAAATTATGACATTTATGCACTCATTGAAGGGGCACCACCCACCTCTCTGGTGGGAAAAGGATGAAACAAAGTTCAATTGAGTAATCAAACGTTGAATCAGTCTTAAACAGATTTAAATCAGTCTCTCATCTGAGGCCGGAATTCTCCATTCAGGGACTCTACTTTCTGGAAAGACCACTAAGAGACGACAACTTAAAATTAAATGGACAATTTATTAACAAGCTATATGAAAACAAAACTTCAATAAATGATGATCAAATAATGAGAAAATCAAAGAACATCTAATGAATAAATGAAGGAATGGTTTGAACTGAACGTAAGAATGGAAGTTAATGATAGTGAGTGAATAAGAGAAAATTTAACCTACGTTAACAGAGTTACGAGGGTAAATTTTTAAAGGAATTTGGATAACTAAACTATAACTAGGAAAGTAAGCTACTGAACGCTTGACGGCATCACCCAGTTGATACAGCAGTTTCGAGGAGTTTGCCTACTTTGGATGTCAGTTCTCAGCGGCACTCTTGGAATGGATCAGCTGAAGTTCTGTGGCTACCGGACCGGATGCTGAAGGTTCGGCGGGGAGTTCTCCGCTGTGAATGGTCTCAGGCTTCAGGACCGTGTCAGTGCCGTTAGATACTTCAGTTCTCTTGGCCTCTCGG